CAGAAGGTTAAAAACACTTCTCTGCTCCGAGTTTGATCAGTCGGTCTTCCTGTCGGCGTCTAGACAGGTCTAGACGCCGATCTACAGGTCCTGTAGATCTACCTACAGTAGATCTACAGGATATTTATATTTATTATAACTTCATAAAAAATTTTTTTTAAATCTGCTGATTAATCGGTAATCAGATTTTTTCTTCCCTAATAATCGGCATCGGCCCTAAAAAATCCATATCGTGTTTACCTGCCCTAGTGTTTCCATGACCTTCAGTTGTCCGGTCTTAATCGGAATAAGGCGATACTTCGGTTTTCTCGGGTGTCGTGTAAACAGACTGACAGAGACGCTGCAGGTTCAGGTTCATGACTGCAGAATGTAAACGTGCACGCCACAGCGCCCTCACAGTTCTGCTGTCACCGCTCCGAGCAGAACCTGGACCCGGTGCAGGTTCACGCTGCAGCCGTAAAGTGACACTAATGAGGTACTGAAGGGGGTTTACTCGGACCGCCTACACCTGCAGAGGTGTTCTGGTCTCTGTGGTCCACTCTTCTCATCGGGCTGGACCAGCTAAATTGGACCTCAGTTCTGGACGCCCCCTTTGTTGTCTGGGTTTAGTTTCCTGTGGTTCTGGTCCAAAAGCCTGAGATTAGACGCAGTTACAGTTCAGATTTCCTGACCTCTGCCTCAGAAAACAAACATTTGAAGGATGTTTTCAGACCCGACAAACCCGGACTTTTTACCTCTCACTAATCTGCATCATGACCTGCTGAGTGTGCAGTTCCAGCTCACATCTGAGCACGCTCAGGTGCGCCTGAATCACCTGCAGCTCATGGCGGCGTTCATTCATCCTCTCTGAGCTGGATGACAGCAGCAGGACTCATTGTTGGATCTGTTTTGGAGGTATGTGAGCTGTGAGGGCGGCGAGGATCTGATCATGCCAGAGCTGAAGTCCTGCTGGGTGAGATCACCGGCGCAAACGGGCTGCTGACATCACACTCTGCCAACACCGAGGGAGGGAGGGAGGGAGGGAGGAGAGAGAGGGAGAGCAAACATCCTGACTGCACAGAACAGCTCCCACAGATAGCAGCGCTGCCTTCAGGGTGTGTGGGAACAAACAGGGCTGCACCCTCTCCGTCTGTTTTTAATGCAAATACAAACTTTGACAGACAAGCAGAACATCAAAACTCAAAACATGAATCTGTGTGCGGCTCTGAAACCGTCTGACGGCGTCTCTTTGCGGCACAGACACGTCAATGTCAGGTCTGTCTGAGAGGACATGAGAGGACAGTCACAGGTGGGGATCAGAATCAAGAACCGGTTACAGACGGTTCGACTCATCGACACCGTTTACATTTTATCTGAATGATTCCAGGTGCCTTGAAAAACACCTTGAACAGAGACTTCGAGGAAAAGACATGGCGGACGGTACGAAAAGTCAGCAGAAACGATCTAAAGCGTGGCTTCATTTTACAGCGCGGCGTGTCACGTTTGTCGATCAGCGATAACACGCAAATGTGGAAACACCAGCGACCACGGCATCAAATCTAAGGCCGGTCGTCAGTCGCTGCTGCTCCGTCTCAGAACGGCGTGGAAGGTACTTACATCCTGCGTTAACATCGGCACAATTCATCTTAACAACGTCCTCTTTTACTCTGACATGTCCTCTTTTTGGGGGTTGTCCAGCCTCGTCCGGGGGAGTTTATAAAATCCTTCAAATGTCTGCGGTTTAGTTTGGAAGTTTTGAGTTTGTGTAACGTGGACTAACTGGGTTAGAAACACGTAAAAAAAAAACACCCAACCCAACCCAGAATATGGTCACCCTGATTTGACTTTATACCGACCGAAGTAAACGCTGTATAAATAGTTTTGATTATTCTGAGACTCTCACTGACGGCGGAAACATCTCAATATAATTCTGAGTTAACGGTGAAAACCTACAGTCTACTTTTATTAATCAAAGAACGACATTGATAAGGGAATCCTTCAAGAACTGAATCGATGAGCAGAATCAATAATAGCATCAATATTAATAGCATCAGTTTTGTGTCTTACAGGCTGCAGGGTTCCTCTCATTTCAGCTCCTCTGATGGGAAACTCTTTTTTTTTTTGGTGGTTGCCAGAGACAGAAACCCCGAGCCAAGACCGGGCCGCCAGTTTCTCAACATGTTTGCCAACAGCAACCTGGCAACTATCGCTGTGGCGCCCACCCTGGGTCCCTGCGATCATTCTGAGAGTTGTGACCCAGATACATACTGAGCAGGATGTTAGACCAGAGTCTGAATCTAATCATGGCCGCCAAAAAGAGGATCTGTGGTCATGAAGTCGACCACAGACCTGACCGCACCGTTCCTGTCACACAAACACAGAAATGAACCAATCAGAGTCATCCGGACCAGATAAACAGAGACCCTCGCCGTGTTATCGAGGTTTTCACGCATCTGTTTGGAGCAGGTGAAGTGACTCCATGTTTGTTCAGAGTTAGTTACCAGGATTTGGTCGCCAGTTTCTCACATGATCTGTCGATATTAAAGGTGGTGAAGGCAGGAAGCATCTTTTTTTGTTGTTTATTTACAAAAAATCTTCTAATATCAGTCAATAGTTCTTAGTTATTGATGACATTTGGTAATATATCGATATCTCTGTGTTCTCTTATGTCTGTGTCGTCAACATTTGAACATTTTTGAGCGGTCCGCTCTTTCTGACTGTAAACAAAGCCGTTCTCCACCTCCTCTAACCTGATTGGTTGTGAGGCAGACGCTGCTCCCCCGTGTCGTTCAGGAGCCCAAACAAAGTTAGCGTGCTACAATATCGGACAGTAGAAACCAACCAGAAAGTTCGGAAAATTGTCTGAATCCTCCTTTGGCCACGACTGCCGACACAAGCGAGAAAACACTCAAACATAAACAATCAGCAAGAAAACAGTCAACAAGAAAACGTCAACTATAATCAGTCAACAAAAAAACAGTCAACACCAAAACAGTCAACCATAAACAGTCAACACCAAAACAGTCAACAAGAAAACAGTCAGCAAGAAAACAGTCAGCAAGAAAACAGTCAGCAAGAAAACAGTCAACATCAAAACAGTCAACCATAAACAGTCAACACCAAAACAGTCAACAAGAAAACAGTCAGCAAGAAAACAGTCAGCAAGAAAACAGTCAACAAGAAAACAGTCAACACCAAAACAGTCAACAAGAAAACAGTCAGCAAGAAAACAGTCAACAAGAAAACAGTCAACATCAAAACAGTCAACATCAAAACAGTCAACCATAAACAGTCAACACCAAAACAGTCAACAAGAAAACAGTTAGCAAGAAAACAGTCAACAAGAAAACAGTCAACAAGAAAACAGTCAGCAAGAAAACAGTCAACATCAAAACAGTCAACCATAAACAGTCAACACCAAAACAGTCAACAAGAAAACAGTCAGCAAGAAAACAGTCAACAAGAAAACAGTCAGCAAGAAAACAGTCAACATCAAAACAGTCAACCATAAACAGTCAACACCAAAACAGTCAACAAGAAAACAGTTAGCAAGAAAACAGTCAACAAGAAAACAGTCAACAAGAAAACAGTCAACATCAAAACAGTCAACCATAAACAGTCAACAAGAAAACAGTCAACAAGAAAACAGTCAGCAAGAAAACAGTCAACAAGAAAACAGTCAACATCAAAACAGTCAACCATAAACAGTCAACAAGAAAACAGTCAGCAAGAAAACAGTCAGCAAGAAAACAGTCAACAAGAAAACAGTCAACATCAAAACAGTCAACCATAAACAGTCAACAAGAAAACAGTCAGCAAGAAAACAGTCAACATCAAAACAGTCAACCATAAACAGTCAGCAAGAAAACAGTCAACCATAAACAGTCAGCAAGAAAACAGTCAGCAAGAAAACAGTCAGCAAGAAAACAGTCAGCATCAAAACAGTCAACCATAAACAGTCAACACCAAAACAGTCAACCATAAACAGTCAACAAGAAAACAGTCAGCAAGAAAACAGTCAACATCAAAACAGTCAACCATAAACAGTCAGCAAGAAAACAGTCAACCATAAACAGTCAACAAGAAAACAGTCAGCAAGAAAACAGTCGACCATAAACAGTCAGCAAGAAAACAGTCAACAAGAAAACAGTCAACAAGAAAATGCTGCTCCCCCGTGTCGTTCAGGAGCCCAAACAAAGTTAGCGTGCTACAATATCGGACAGTAGAAACCAACCAGAAAGTTCGGAAAATTGTCCGAATCCTCCTTTGGCCACGACTGCCGACACAAGCAAGAAAACAAAGTAAATACCGGAGACTCTGGAGGAATAACGGGCGCTTAAAACGGAGGTAGACCGGACAAGAGCTAAAAAGCCGGGTCAACATAAACCATGGGGGACGCTTGGGGATCTTGGTGACCCTGTAACCTTTCTGCTGGACAGGTAAACCGCTTTAACAAAGTAAGACAAGTGTCTGTAACAGAAGTGTTTCTTGTCAAACGGACCTGCTGTAGCGTGTTGTAGCGCCACTAAACTGTCCTCCCTCGGGTCCTGGACTATGTCACTTTATCCTCGTTGTAGAAGTCCTGCAAACATTGTGTTTGCTGGTAGTCTGTTGGCATCTACAGTAGCACCAATGCTTTTGACTTTCACCTTGACTGGGCCCCATTTGTAATGATCTGAAGTATTTATCTGCATTATATCTGAATTTAATTGGAACGATACGAGCGAGCAGGAGCGTCTGTTTGTGGGCGGGGTTTATATCTCGTAAATACTCTGGGTGGACTCATCATCCTGACGTAGTCCCTCTCTGGTTCCTGGGTCACATAAGTCCTCGGTGATGTTGTCGGGGTGTGGACTCTTGACATCACTGCAGACAGCAGCTCTGACTCACTCATTCACTTCCTCTGAGAGCGACAAACAGGGAAAAAACACGGGGAGCCCGTCAGCAGGCCGACTCACCGTCACGGAACAGAGTTTACTGAGCTTAGAGGAACTTTTATTTGAGGAATACAGGAAGTAAAACCCTGAAGAGACTCAGACTCCAGACTGACTGACTGTAGAGGTCAAAGACACAAACTCAGAGTCAGTTCTCCCAGTTTTCTGTCTGACAGGTCAGGAAATACATCCATGAATCATGACGAGGTAACATGGAAACTTCCTCCACTGAACTCAAGCATGGTTAGATTCCTCTTTCTGATGACCTCTGAACTTTACCCTCCCGTCACTTTCACATGTAGCTGATAACTTTAATCTGAACGGCTCCGACAAACAACAAGAAAACAAGTCTGTCTGATTATCAGATTTTATTCTTATCTTATTTCTGACTGAAGTGCACATGTTTGTATATTTGTCATTTCCTGACACCATGGATGAGGAGATGCTGATTCTAGAAGTCTACAAATTGATTTCCTCCTCTGGAAGGACACAATCTACTGCTTATATGTCTATGTGTCTGTCTTTAGAGAGACAACTCGTTATCGCGTGATTGAATGTAAATCCACGGGTTCCTGTGAGTTCTCACGATTTCTAATGTCTGTAATCGACCATGAAATTCGCCTCACAAACGGATCCAGTAGGAATTGGCGAAAATAGCCGTCATTCAGGATGTGGTGAAAATTGGGGGTAATCCTGCGAAACGATGCAGAAGTGCTTCAAACTGCAGTTCCTCAAGTGTCCACTAGACGCTGTCAGCAGGAGTGCCAGCAGCCACATACACACTCATTCAAAAAAGCTCCTTTTTACAGCGACACTAAAACTGTTTCAAATTTTGAACAAAAAACACTTTGGGTCTGATCAGCTCAGCTCTTTCTTTCAGATATTAGGGGGTTAGCAGATCGGCCAATCAGGAGGAGGCTCGACCAAAGGTTAGGTTGAGTCAGCATTTCAATGTGGCAACCACCTTTGGACAAAAACGGGTGACATCACCGAGATAACGTCCGTGTTTCTAACAGATTGTGGTCTACATACGGAGGTGGTCATGAGGCGGGTTCTGATCCGATAAAGATGACTCATACAGACACTGATGAGAATAAAACTGATGATCTGTAGGACTAAGGTCGATCAATAAGACAAACATTATTGGATCCATTTTCATTGTGTCCCTAAAGTCCTCTGTGTGCTCCTAAGTTGAAAAGACGGTTGTCCCCTGAATCAGCTGGACCTCATCTGTCGTTTATTAGAAACTCACTTCAGTGTTCAGTCACAGCCACAGCATCTCTCTCTACACATGCTGCCATGTTGCTCGAACCCTAACCCGGCCTCCTGCAGTGAAGTCAGGTACTCAGACTATCCTGTGAGTCATGACGCCATAAAGTCCCATCAGCCCCTTCAGCATGAAAACAGCAGACTGTGACAGATCATAGAAGACACAGACGGTTCAGTGATGCTGTAAACTCACCTACTACATTTATAATGACTGCATCACCTTACAGGACAAACACACCTGCACTACTTCTTCACACACACAGACATCATCATGAGCTCTCTCAGCTTATGTCTATATCACGCTGATAATATCGTGCACCCCGAGTTTAAAAGACACCAGCAGGAGCGAGTTTGAGTAAAAACAATCATGAATAAATAATAAAGTCAATAAATAATAACTGTGGAAGTGGGTCAAGCACCAAGACTGGCCCGACGGTTGGCACAGAGCGAGACATGGCGTGGTGTTAACCCTAGAAGACTATCACCGGGTGACCAAACCTGTTTTTAGGGGATTTTCATGATGTTGCTTTTGTCCGAGTATCATAAGTCCGGTAGTATATAGGATATATTTTTATTTTTTTAGGAGTTTTTTTGTCCATGAATGTCTAATTTCTGTTATTTTGTATTATTTTTATACGGTCCCCTGATGGTACTTTTGTTCCTCCCTTTGGACATTACACAGTTAAAAATAAAAGAAAACTACTTCTATTTGTCACGTTTTGTTCTTGGCTATATTATTTCAGACGACAGTGATGGTGTTATTAATTTTAGTGATAGTGTTGTTGTGTTAAAAGGTCTGTATCCTGAGGGTGTGTGTGTGTGTGTGTGTGTGTTTCAGAGGCCCACTATGGTCCCCTCTCTGACCGTAAAACACACACACACACAGTGGAGGATCTGAGCTGTATTTGTTTTATTAAGTACTTCTTTGGAGAGGTGTCATAAACTTTACTGATCCCTGCTTTTCAGGGTCGATTTCATTCAGGGCAGAATGAGTCCCAAAATAGTCCAATAATATTTATGTATATTTTTATAGCTGAATTTTTTTTTAATGAACATGTTAGGCACTAAACAGTTCAAGTGTAAACAAGATTAAAGTGATACCAGAGGGTTAAACTCTGTTTAACTGAAACTTATATCTGTTGTTGTTTGTATGGTTGCATAATGATATATGGAGGTAAAAGAGAGTCCAGTACAGTTATGTGCTTTTACACAGAGGTACATTTAAGGCTTTAGGGCAGCAAACATGTAAGCTGCTTTTGTGTCATTTTTGTATTTGAAATTATTGAAATAGTGTGGGGGACACCTAGGGTTGGGCATTGAGCCTCGAGCATCGATGGAAACCGATGCTAACATTCCGATTCTCCCGGAATCCTTAAAATTAAAAAGTTTCGATTCCAAGTTCCGATGCCGGAGTCCACCAACCAGAAGAAATAGCCGCCGAACACCAACGAGGAAGACGATTAAACACCTCAGGATTCATGAAGGAGAAATCCCCGAGTGCCTGTCTTAAACGCGCTTCGCCGGTCTACCAAAAACCAGCTAGAATCAGAGAAGTCAAACGATAAATTACATCTGTCTTCTGCGAACATTAAAGCGTCAAACAAACTGTACTGTGTACTGTGGGTCAACTTAAATATCCAACTAATGTTAGCCTTCGTACTTTTTCACAGACAAACAACCTGACAACAAAAACTGATACTTATATACTGGTTGAAAATGTGAGAAATTCGTAGTAAAGTTCTTAAAAAGTTAATATAATTTAAAAATTCATGGAGAAGTTCAGAAATTCCATCAAAAAGAAGAACTCTGGTTAGCACCCTCGTTTAAACAATGCAGTTTTTCTTATATCCTGCCTTTTAAAAGAATCGGAATAGAGAATCGTTAAGAATCGGAATCAAAACGAGGAATCGGACTCGGTAGGGACACCTGACCGATATAAAAATATCACTTTCTTTGTAAACACATTTGTTGGTCATATTCAGAGAGTTTCCTTATTGTCTATAACGGGGTTGAAGAAAAACAGGGACCACATCTTGAAATAATGACCCCCCTCACAGCCGGCCGGTATCCGCCATGACCTCGTCCCCTGCCCGGTGTTACCTGTCTCTCCACCCGGTAACACCCTCCAGCCAACCCCCGCAGACAGCCCCGCGGACCCCCGCGTGGTCCTGTGGGGTCATTTGTCCCCTCTTTCTGACCGTTATTCTTACCGTAAACTCGGAGCCATCCCTGCTGCTGAGACACGGTGTCCACCAGGATCCGGTCCACCAGGGGGTCCAGGAGGCTCAGTCCGCCGTGGAGAGACTCCACGTCGCCCGCTGCTGAGTCCGTCTCCATATCCGGACGGGATAAAAACTTGTTCTGGTCCAAATAAATCCTCCAGAAGTGGACGTTAATCCTTTCAGAGTGAGTTAAAGTCCCGAGGCGGAGGGGCGGGAAACTTTCTCCTCCTCCGGCAGACTTCGCTCGTGTTGACCGCCCTGTGGTTCACAGTTAGCCGTTAGCTGAAGCAGCAGCAGCCGGCAGAGGAGGTCCGGCAGCCCGGCTGGTTCTCCCTCATTGTTCCGCTCTCCCAGGTTAGCTTAGCGGGGTCCAAACTTCTCACAGACCGGTGTCCTGGAGCGGCGGGAACTCCTTTTCCTCTCTATCCCCGGAATATCCACTCAGGAGCGGCTGTTAGGTCCCGTGTGAGCCGCTGAAGTGAGCTCACTCCCGGTGTGGTCGGTCGGTCGGTCGGCTGCCCCCCCCCTCCTCTCACCGCTGCTGCTGCTCACACAGTCCCCTACAGCCCCGGGCACGAGCCAGCGGGAGCGCGCAGGGGCTCGGGTTCCTGCCTGGACGGGCGGGGACGCGCACCAACGTCTGACCAACAGAACTGAGAGTTAAAAAAAAACTGAGTTAAACTTTTATAAAGATTAACTGAATTTATTTAATTTATATATTTATTCTATATCTTAATTTATTTTAACGATAAAAACACGATCTGAGTTTCAGAACCACCGAGAGGGTTTGATAAGAAATATGAGGAAAATGTAAAAAATAAATTAACATATAAAAATAAATAAATAAAAATAAATGATGCTTTTTTTTTATCAATATGGTTATCTCAGAACTGCAGGATAACTTTTTTTTTTTTTTTTTACATAATTCCTTTACTGTTTTCTAGAATGAACAAGATAATTTCTGTTGTTGTATTCATGTTAATTCCAAAATTAAATTCCGAAAGATATAAATTTGTTAGTTAGCATAAACTTAATTTTCAGTTTGTATTGTTGGATTAGAAAAACTGTGGATTTTTTCTCAAGTGAATGTGATATGGTTCGAAAATGAATCGATTAAAATAGGAAATAAATAAATCATTATAAAGTTAAAGCTCCTGTGAGGAGTTTTTTTAATGCTTATGAAACAAACTAATTTATATTGACACCTTTTATGGTTTGGTGTTCTTAATGTAGGAGATAATCAAATGAAAGTAGATGAGTGTGAAAATAATAAGGCGATAAGAACTTTCACATTTCTATCTGTATATCCCATCAAAGTTGGTCTTTCAATAATTATCAACATAACTTTAATATATATCCATTTATCTCATTTATATAGCTCAAGTATCATTTCTGCATATTTACTTCTTTCATTTATGATTTACACACTAATTCCTTTATGTTTTAACATTATTTTATTACTTAATATGACACTGCATATAATATCATTGGGACATATCTGAGTACCTGTATTATTGAATTCAGGACACTCTAAGGTTTTTCTCAGAATAAAAATCAAAATAATTTTCAGTTTAATAAAATATAATCATTTTTTTAATTGTCCATTTCATTAAATAAAAATATAAATAAGGTGATCTTTCCTCCCGCAGGTTCAGAGGACCCAAACATGACTCTGACGCCCCCTGCTGGTGATCACAGTGAGTCAGCCGCATAATAGAAAAAAATAGAAACAAAGGTAAATGAAGGTAGTTATTAATTTTTTAAAGGTAGTGTTTAGAAACCAGAAGATGATGTCTGAGACCGAGTATATCAGCATTAAATTTATAATGAACAGCCCTGATTTTAAAAAGTTGGGACTATATTTTCAAATAACTTTTTACCTGTTTGGTTGTTTCTCTATAAGAGCAATAATTCTTTAAAATCCAGTTGAAATATCGAGTGTGTTTCATCTCAGATCCGTAAAAATAAAGTTTCCATGTGACACAGCACGCTCCTTCACACAGTGTTTCCTGTAGTAATTTTTTATTATTCAAATGTTAAGTTTGGATTTACAGGCACATGTGAACAAACAGGGTCATTCAGGTCCTCACAGAGCTGCAAACATGACGTCAGAATAAAAACACAGACTGCAGAGGAGACCTGCAGGCTGCGCAGCACTCACATCAGCATCTAAGACGACAACAGGGTTACAATACAAATAACTGGTACAATATAACTTAAAATACTGTTTATACATCATGTGAGAGAGTGCGTGAGTGCTGCGCAGCCTGCAGGGCGGCCGTCTGGATGGAGGGAGGAAAAAAACGGCAAAAATAAAACAACAGAAAAGTGTCAGACAGTCGAACGTCACAGACTTCATGATCTCATGTCTGTTTCTCTGCAGAATCCAAACTAAAACCCGAAACTCTGGAGTGTTTGGCTCGAACCTGCTGGACTTGGATCAGTTTTTTTTTTCTTCTCTGTTTAGGACCTGATTTTTAAAAACACCCCGCTTCAGTACCGACATGAGGAGACCGTGAACAACAAGGAAAATCAGGTGTAAATAAAAACGTGGAGGCCCTCGACGAGGAGGACTGTGATTCAAACTGCATTTTATATTAAGGCACGAAACACAAATTCAAACTAACGGAGCGACAGGTGATGAAGCTCGCTGTAGGTTCAGAGTGGGGACGTCTCCTTTAAAACATGTCCTGATTGGTAAAAGGGTCAAAAATAAACACTAAAAAAATATTCAGTTAGGTTGAATTAACTGGTGAAAACCCACAGAGGATCAATAAAACACAAACGAAATATTGGCATCGCTATGAGGCAGCAACACTGAGCCGTGTATACAAGCAAGCATATTATAATAATAACATACCACAGACGTTATCATAGATATTTATATATATTTAACCTGGAGGTTTCTGTTGATTGATTGTGATAAAAACTTAATGCGGCTGTTTGCACGGTGGAGCTTTTCTTTCTCAGCCCGTCCTGAATCATTTAAGCATATATTTACACAAATATCAAATTCCTCACTCTATGTCATAATAAAAAACATTCACACAAAAATATAACATTTGAAATAATTATTAGCACCAGTGTATCAGATAAAATTCTCGCTACGCAAATGTACAAAGTTGCATAGTGTTGGATTGAGCCTGGAAGAAGGAGACGAAGTTAGCGTGTGAGACAAGCAGCAACTTCTGACAGAACGACAAGGAAAATCGAAGATCGTAGAGTTACGATGTCAGTTCACGAACCAGCGACAGGGCTGAGCCAAGACCTACTGAGCTGCTGAAGTCCAGAAACATACAGGATCTTGTTCGCACAAGATAATCTTGTTGGAAAAGTCAACGCAGAGAAAGCATTTCCTTTTAAACTATAACTTCTAAACCTAAAAGTAGATCTTCATCTTGGGGAACAATGCAGACAGTCATCACGCCAGATAGTATCTTGAGCACACAAGCTGGCATCTATTCTCACAAGCTCCAGATCCTGTGCAGTTATCTTGCAGTAACAATATCATATCTTCACACTCTAAAAATCCATTCTTCAATGTTCACGGTTGCACCCAATTTATCTTGGTAGCAAGATGTGCCCACAAGATCCATATCATGCGCACACAGGATGACATCTTGATTGTGCAAGGTAATTACTTGTGCATTATAGCTAGCATATTCAGTTGCTCCCACAAGATCCATTTTTAGAGCACAATTTAGGATCTTGCTACATATCCTCTAGCCTCAAAACAAGATCCTCATGTTTTTAAATCAAGATACTTGTCTGAGAAGGTGTTAGCGTGTGTGCATAGACTTCAAATCATTTTTTTTTCTTTCACCAACATATCTTGTGCACCCAAGATAATATTTGGTGTATCTTGCCCATAAGGATAGCATGTTTGGTGCACAAACTCCATCTTGTTCTCACAAGACCAATATCTAAGCCAATACCTTTTGAAAACAAGATATTAACTTTTGCATATAAACACATGAATATTAATCTTGCTAAAGATATCTAGTTTTACCTACAAGATCCATATTTTGTGACACCAGATGCTGTCTCACAAGATACTATCCTTTTGCTCACACCAAGCTGATGTTTAGTGTGGGCAAGATAATATGTTGCGCATAAGAATAACATCTTTGGTGCATAAGTTACTATCTTCTCACAAGATACATATTCTCAGAGCACATTTAGTATCTTGGGCAAACAAGAAAATGTCCCCAATATCAAAACACCTTAAAAACAAGATATTGACACCAGCATATAAATGATTAATCTTGCTAATCAGCTAAAATGTTTTACCTGTATGATGTTGTTTTGTGTACAAAAGATGGTGTCTGGCGTGTGCAAGATGCTATCTTGTTGCACCTCAGCTGACATTTGGTTTGTGCAAGATGATGTTTTGCATTAAGAAGACAGTATATTTAAGGTAAAAGCTTCTCTCTTGTTCTCACAAGATTCATATCCTGAGAGCACTCCTGATATCTTGCGCAAAAATTAAATTATCTTCAAGATTTGACATAATGTAAATACCTTTTAAAAGCAAGATGTTAACTTTCGCACATTTAATATAAATCTTACCTACAAGACTCATATCTTGTGTGCACAAGATGGTATCTGGCGCTACTGTCATGTTGTTCCCATTGAATCTTTGTTTCCATAAGGTTCGGATCTTGGACGTAAAAAAGGATCTTCTAACCCTCGGGCCAAGACCAAGACCTTTTAAAAACAGGATATTAGTATCTGGTGCAAACAAGATCCTCGGGCTCATTTTTCTGGACTTCAGAGGTTTGAAACGCCTCGTTAAAGTGGGTGTGGCTTAACTCAGCCCGTGTGGGAGCGAATACTGCTGGAGGAAAGAGGTGCGATGGTGTTTCCTGCGCTCTGAGTCGCAGCGTTGGGAGAAAAGTTCCTTCACTGTGGTGTCTGAAAAAATGGCTGATCTGAGAATCAAAAAGCAACTAAAATCTGACGTGTGTCCCAGGGCATGATGGGTAATGGCTGAAATTCGAGCGGACCTTCCTCGCGGCGTGAGGAACTTCAGTGTGGTTTCTGCGTCGGTGAAGCGTCCTCTGTCGGAGCAGACGGTGCAGTCACGTCGGGTTTGTGGTTCTGGTTTTTCTCCGAGGATCCTCCACCTCTCTGCACGGCTTCTCTGCGCCGCTTAGTTCACGCTACCGAAACCACGTCACTGCGTGTCGAAGGAAAAAAACCCTAAAGACAAACAAAAACAGCTGCTTCTGTTTGCGTGAGAGCTGGAAAGATCGGCTTCTCTCTTACAAAGAAAAACAAAGACAAGAATCGGAAACAAAAACGTTAAAAAACTGTTTTGGTAAAGGTCGGCGTGCTCGCCAGAGTGTTAGAAGTGAAGGGGGGAGTGTTGGAGGTGGATGGAGGAGGAGCAGGGGGCAGGTGGGCGGGGTTAAGGCCTCTCCAGGGACGGCGTGTTGAAGCAGCCTTCGGGTAACGTGTTCTTGATGTCGTTGAGGTTGTTGATGTCGCTGCGGATCTCGCGGATCTGCCGGTCGTAGTCGTTGATCATGTCCTCCTGGGTCCGCGCCACGTCGTTCAGCTCTGTCAGCTTCCTGTCCAGCTCGCTGTCGGCCATCTTTCCTTTGGCGCTCTTCAAGGACTCTTCGATCTGGTTCAGCTTGCTCAGGTCGACCTTATCGATGTTCCCTGCAGGGAGACAGGAGAGGAAATCACGTTTTTGGGCGGCTGAACCAGTCGGACAAACTGGGATTTATTCTCAAACTGAGTCTGAGGAGATGAGCTGGTCTTACCCAGCTGATCCAGCAGGGCGGTGATGGTGCTCAGAACCATCTTGACAGCGCCCTTGGCCTTGCGGGCGTTGCCCTCCGCCTCCTTTGCGTTGTCTGACGCCTGTGAGACAGAACCCAGGGTTGATCTAACACTCAGCCTGGAAATCTCTCAGATTCACTTTAACGACATTAACGTTTTCTCAGACTCGAGTCCCGCCCTGAAGGACCAGGTCTTACCATCCCAGCCATCATCATGTCATTGTCGGCCTCCGCCTTCTTCTTGGCGAGCTTCTGCTCAGCGTCAGTCAGCTGGTTCATCATGTCGTCCACCTCGTCGTCCAGCTTGTTGGTGTCCTGCAGCGCCTTCTCGGCGTCCTCCTTGGTCTTCGCCGATCCCTGAGAGGACGCAGGAGTGATTGACAGCGGTGAGTATAAATGTGCGTGAAAATAAGAAAATCGGCATCAGGACAGGTAGCGGTCATCGTCATACCTTCTGCACGTTGCTGGCGATCCTCTCCGCCTCCTCCGCCTTGCTCTTGGCCTCTTTGGCGTCGTTGGCGGCGTTTCCGAGCTCTGACTCCGCCTGCTTGGTCTTATCGTTGGCTGCCTTGATGATGGCGCTGATGACGGGGATCTTCTTCAGAGCGTCCTCGGCGGCGGTCTTGTTGTCGTTAACGCGCCTGTCGAAATCTACAGACGGCGAAGAGACGAAAAAATCAAATAAAGAAAACTTCTGATGAGTTCGCTGAACGACGCCTCGTGTTCCACTCTGAAGGTGTTTCAGTCCAAGACAGGAGACGGTCAGGTACCTCTGAGGTCCTCCAGGATGCTCTCCGCCTCCTTGAAGGTGGACTGACCCTTCCTCGCCGCCTCCTCAGCCAGAGCTTTAGCAGCGTCAGCTCGAGCCAACAGCTGATCGGCCGTCTACGAGACAATCAGACATGGTTACCAAAAACCTCCTGACCCTGATCTCCAGGTTCTCAGTCAGACCTCCGTTTGAAGGACCAGCCGTGACTCACCTGCTGCTCACTCTTGCCCTTCTCCAGGAGTTTGCGGACCTCCTGCTCCTTCTCCTTCAGGTCGTCCCTCAGGTCGTTGTACTCCTTCTCCGTCTTGTCGATCAGCTTGTCCAGGTCCGACGCCTCCTTCTTGATCTTTTTGGCCTCGTCCTGCAAACACACAGAGCTCTTTAACCAGTTCAACACTTGAACGCGCACCTTAAAGACCTGAGAGCGTGTCTGGGCGCCGACCTCCAGAGCCTTGGTGTCCAGCGCCGGGATGCTCGTCAGGTTGGCGAACATCTTCAGAGCTTTGTCTCCGGCCTCCTCGGCCTCGTTCTGGACCTTGTTGGCCTGTTTCTCCAGGTTCTTCGCCAGCTCCTTCGCCTCGTTGTACCTGAACACGGACAAGCAGGCGTTACACCCGAACGTCACACTCACAGTCAAACGGGAAACAGGAAGCTACGGCGGGACGTACTTCCTGTTGAGCTCATCGATCTCCTGGCTCGTCTTGCCCTCGCCGTCCAGAGTCTTCAGCAGCAGGTTGTACGCTTTGGTCGATGTGTCGTTGGCGTCTTTGGCGATTTTCTCGATCTGGTCGGCATCCATCTTGTGCCTGAAGACCGTGAGATAGATCAGATAAGGGTCTGGGGTCTTGGCGAGGAAAACGTGGACCGGACTTTCTCATTTTCAGAAACTTCGTGATTGAAAAACGTTTGAAACTTGTTAAACTTGTAAATCTTAAAACCTCGACCGCCGCACTGAACCGTTTGTGCGTCGACCGTTTGTGCGTCAGTCTTACTTGTCAGCCAGCGTGCGAGCCTCCTCAGCCAGCAGCGTCATGTTGTTCGGGTCTCCGCCGCCGCTCGGAGGTTTGATGTCCTACAGAGAGACAGAATCACCGCCGTGAGCGCCCCCTCAGGTTGAAAACGACCCTCATACCTCATCGGCGGCATGACTCACCACTTTGCTGATGGCGTCCTTGGCCTTGTCCAGCTCCTGGCGGGCCCGGTCAATCAGGTTCTCGGCGTCTCGGACTCGGGTGCGAGCGCGGTCGGCCTGCGTGCCGGTGTCCTCCACGGTGTCGCGGATGTTCTGCAGACGGTTCCACTGAGTGGTCAGGGTGTTGTTGATGTTGTTCAGACGGTCCAGCAGGCCTCGGTCCACGTCTGCAGGGTCAAAGGTCAGAGCATGGTGTCAGTGTCGGGGTTGTTGGGGTGCAGTTCCCCAAACAGACACTGGGGGGCAGTGAGAGGAACTTTGACATGAGGACCCCGCAGGTGTGGGTGTCGTTACCTTTGCTGGTCTGAGCCTCGTCCAGCAGCTCCATGATGGCTCGCTCCGCCTCCTTCATGCGATCCTCGAAGGCCTTATCGCTGACCGTGTCCTGACCCGAGCCCAGGTTATCGATCAGGGTCTGCAGGTCATGGAGCTTCTGCCTCTGCTGGTTCACCTGGACGCACAAACACACACAGGTGAGCACACACTGGTTCTCAGCAGAACCTCCTGATCCTCGAACCCGGCGTCCTCACCTTGTCCCTGACCAGGCTGTAGCAGGACGGGCACTGCTGGCAGCCCGGCGCCGAGCGGTTGTAGAAGTAGTTCTCTTCGCACATGTCGCAGCGAGCGCCGACGAAGCCGGGTCGACACTCGCAGCGACCGTCCTCTTTACACTGACCCGACTGGGAGCCTTCGGGGTCGCAGTCGCAGGCTGAAGAGGTAAACGGAGACAAGACGACAAATCAAAATCAGACGGAAACATCAGCTGACTGCAGGAGTCCCCCAGGGCGCGGGTCTTCGCCCTCTTCGATTCTCTTTAGTGATCGTCTCTTTATGCTGCGTTCGCGTTTCCTCGGAGGTCAGATGCTGAAAATCACACCTGAGTTAGCAGCGTTTCAGTTACCAAGTCGGGAAAAAGTAAAATCGGAGGCGGAAACAAGATGGCGACATCTACGGAAGCTAGTAAAAAAACGTTCGTAGATGTAGCCATCTTGCTTCCGCCTCCGATTTTACTTTTACCTGAATCAAGATGGCTACATCTACGAAAGTTAGGTTAGGGCTCTTTATTCGGACAAGTCAAGCGCCAAAATAATTTTTATAGATGTAGCCATCTTGATTTCCTTTTTCCGACTTGGTAACTGAAACGCTGCTAACTCAGGTATGATGTCATTTTCAGCTCCGACATACGACTTCCGAGGAAACGCGAGCGCAGCTTTAAAACACGCCGATGTTCGGACTCTTACGTTTACATCCCGACGAGCTGAAGCCGAAGAAGTTGACCTCGCAGCGTTCACAGTGCAGACCCGTCACTCCGGGCTGACACTCGCACTGACCGGAGATGATGTCACACTGACCGTTGGTGGAGCCAATAGGATTACAGTTACACCTGTAGGGGGCGACAGAGACACAGGTGAGCGTTCAGAGTGCGGAGCAGCAGCAGGAGCGTCTCTCTGAGAGGAGGTGAAAGCTGAGGCTCGCTGACCGTTCACAGCCGTTTCCGCTCTGCAGGTTGAAGAAGCCGGGCTGGCAGGCGCTGCAGTCTCGCTCCGCCACGTTAGGGAGACACGGGCACTGACCCGTGACCTGGGAGCAGGCTGTCTGATGGTCTACGGTGCCGAGTGGCGAGCAGGAGCAGGCTGAGGAGGAGGAGGAGGAAGAGGAGGAGTCAGAAACAGCATGGAGGCTCTGAACAGGCGTTATCTCTGACTAACAGGAAGTGATGCCGTAACCATGTCCTTACACTTGCACTTGTCCGAAGGGTTGGTTGCGAGGGCATTGCCGTAGTAACCCTCCTTGCAGCGGTCGCAGAAGAAGCCGTCGGTGTTGTAGATGCACTTCAGACACTCTCCGGTCTCCCGGTTACAGTTGCCCACGGCGTTGGGGTCGATGTTGTCGCTGCACTTACAGGCGCGGCACGCTCGGACCGGACCGCCCTGACCCAGGGGGTCGCCGAAGAAACCGTCATCACAGAGCTCACAGCGCTTACCTGAAGACAGTTACCGTGGTAACGTTAGGACCTCTGATAACAGCAGGCAGGTGTGTGTGTGTGTCAGGTGTGTGTGTGTTTGTGTGTACCTGTGGTTCCTGCGGGACAGTTGGTGCACACCACCTCTTTGGTCTTAAAGACGACGGCGCAGGTCGCTCCGGCGGGACACGGACATGGCTGACAGTCGTTCGGCGTTCCTCGTGTGGCGTCGCCATAGAAACCGTCTTTACAGCGCTCACAGCTCAAACCGCCCGTGTTGTCACGACAGTCACACGCTCCTGAAAACAAACATCAGAGACCGTGAACTCGCCGTCTGAAACTAAAGCAGTCAGTAAACAGTCAGTCGGCGGTCTCTCACCTGTCCCGGGGTCACAGGCCTCGCTGTGTCCGTTACAGTTGCACGGCTCACAGGGGCTGAAGGCGCCGAGCTCCTGGCGTACGCGGCGGTATCCCACGGTGCACTGCTCACAGTGCTGACCATGGTAACCCTGAGGACAGGTGCATCGCTCCACCCAGCGGGCCGGGACACCGGGACCCCGCCTCGCCGTCATCAAGGACACATCATCCAGGTAACCAGCACCTGGAGGGAGGCGTGGATTAACGCAGAGGCTAACAGGAAGTGACTTAAAACCAGGAAGTGTGTGTTTGTGTGCGGCGTACTTCTCTCGCTGTACGTGCCGCGGATCTTGATGGCGGTCAGATTGTGGAGAAGCTTCTGGAACTCTGAGTGGCTGATGGCCGGCCTCCAGGGGTAATCTGTGCTGTCATGGAGCCTGAAGAACCAGATTAAACCATTAACAACAGGACAAGAGAAACCAGATTAACCAGTTTATACCTGAGATTATACTCTGTTTAATCCAGATTAACCAGTTTATACCTGAGATTATACTCTGTTTAATCCAGATTAACCAGTTTATACCTGAGATTATACCCAGTTTAATCCAGATTAACCAGTTTATACCTGAGATTATACCCAGTTTAATCCAGATTAACCAGTTTATACATGTAAAGATACTCAGTTTAATCCATATTAACCAGTTAATACCTGAGATTATACCCAGTTTAATCCAGATTAACCAGTTTAAACTTGAAATTATACTCTGTTTAATCCAGATTAACCAGTTTATACCTGAGATTATACTCAATTTAATCCAGATTAACCAGTTTATACCTGAGATTATACCCAGTTTAATCCAGATTCACCAGTTTTTCTGTCTCTCGCTCACCTGAACACGTAGGTCTGCATGTTTTCATTGGGGTAGGCGTTGCCCTGAGCGATGAGGGGGACCGCCACCCTAAGCCCCGCCCCCTCCAGGACCAGATCCTCTGCCGACAGCCGAGTGTCTCGTCGGTCGACCCGGAAATTCAGAGTCAGGTTCTGAGCGTAACTCAGCATCTGGTTCCCCAAAAACTTCTCTGTGAAATAAAAAAACGAAACAGGTGGGTTTAATCCTAATCTGAGGTAAAAGGTGAGTTTAGTCTTCTTAATCTGTGGTAAACATGTGAGTTTAATCCTAATCTGGGGTAGAAAGTTAAGTTTAATTTTCTTAATCTGAGGTTAACAAGTAAATTCGACCTAATCTGAGGTAAAAAGGTGAGTTTAATCCTAATCTGAGCTAAACAGGTGCATTTATCTTCTTAATTGGAGGTAAACCGGTGAGTTCAAATGTAATTTGAGGTAAACAGGTGTTTGTGTGTGTGTGTGTGTGTGTGTGTGTGTGAGTGTGTGTGTGTGTGTGTGTGTGTGTGTGTACCTGGGGCGATGAAGTACATGGGGAAGTAATCCTCGGAGATGAGGGAGATTTCCTGTCCACTCGGAGACCACTGGACGGAGACGCTGGCGCCGTCTCTCTGCTGAGCCGTCCACTGCTCGTCGTCTGATTCAAACACACATTAGCATTAGCGTTAGCATTAGCAGCTACACACACACACCTGTTCAGGTAAATGCTCGGTGGGTTTTTGTGTCCATGTGTCCCGCCTGCAGGCGCTGCCGTTACCTCTGCTGAAGGTGGAGCTGATGGTGTGGACGCTGTAGCCGTCGGCGCTGTCGCACACGGACGAGTGCTGGAAGCAGAAACACGCCGTGCAGCCCTGAGGGTTGTTGGGGTCCAGGTTAAAGTATCCCAGTTTACACCTGGAGGATACAGAGACGGTCAGAACCAGAACCAGAACCAGAACCAGAACTGATCCACTCACTCTCCAATTCTGTCTTCAGCACACCTGTCTGTACCTGCTGCTGTCCTCATCATTGAACACACCTTTACACCAACAAAGGGTGTGTGTGTGTGTGTGTGTGTGTGTGTGTGAGTGTGTGAGTGTGTGTGTGTGTGTGTGTGTGTGTGTGTGTGTGTGTGTGATTGTGTGTGTGTGAGTGTGTGTGTGTGTGTGTGTGTGTGTGTGTGTGTGTGTGTGTGTGTGTGTGTGTGTGTGTGTGTGTGTGTGTGTGTGTGTGTGTGTGTGTGTGTGTGTGTGTGTGTGTGTGTGTGTGTGTGTGTGTGTGTGTGTGTGTGTGTGTGTTACCTGTCACAGCTGAAGCCCTCCACGTTGTCTTTGCAGCGACACTGTCCCGTGTTCACGTCACACTCCTGAGTGCTGCCGGAGGGCGAGCAAGAGCACGGCCTGAGGGGAGAGAGAGAGAGAGAGAGAGAGAGAGAGGGAGAGGGAGGGAGAGAGAGAGATCAACGTTAACTTTCAGTTTGTAGAAGAGAGAGAGAGACTTATGGGAGGAGGAGAAGAGAGGATGTTGTTTTCTACTACAGTTCACTTCCATGTTGATCCAGCAGAGGGCGCTCAGACCTCACTGAACTCTCTATGATCCTTTTAAAAGCACCGGTCCATCAGGAGATAACAACCTGGACGTGAATTTTTTTTTGTAGGATGGTAGAAGAAGGTCCCGCCCTCCTTCGCCTCTGATTGGCTAGAAAAGCTGGGCTCTGATTGGTTATTCCTAATGACTGTGGAACGTCATCGTCTGTCGGGTAAGGAGACTCAGAACTGCGATAATGTTCCGTCATGTTCTGTTCGATGTTCAGAGCTGACAGGCCGCACTCGGCTTAAGCTTGTGATGACGTTTCCAGCTTTTCTAGCCAATCAAAGGAGAAGGAGGCGGGACTTTGGACCGGTGTTTTCAGATGAAAACCAGTTTAGCATTTAGAAATAAGGTCCAGAATCCCAGGTCTCTGAAGCTCACGGCATCAAAACGACCAAAATGAGCCTGTGTGTGTTTGTGTGTGTGTTTTTGTGTGTGTGTGTGTGTGTGTGTGTTGTACCTGCAGCCGGCCTCGGTCAGACTGTGGAACCCCGGCTGACAGCGATCACACTTCTCTCCGGTCACTCCAGGTTTACAGGAACACACTCCTCTGTTATCACACTGTGGGGACTCGGAGCCTGAACACACACACACACACACACACACACACACACACACACGTTAACCATCAGCTCCTGTTACAGAGCTGTCAGTGTGTCAGTGGGTCTGGATCCTGGATCTGCAGCTGGTTCCTGTTCCAGAGCGGTTTACCGTAGAAAACCACAGAGACCGCAGAGCTCTGAGGGTTCACATGTTTCCACTTTAGGAAAACACCGAGGGTTAAATCATGGAGACGTTTGTGTGACAGGACACTGAGGAGCTGAGGACCAGGGTTCAACGTTTCACTCTCTGAATGTTTGCAGAGTTCTGCTGCTGCTCTCCTGGTTCTGGATCCATTTACACTGAAATATGGGATCTGCATTCCTCTGCTGCAGAATCCGGGCAGCTCCCTGCATCCTCACGTTTAACGGGACGTGTTTCGTCACATCAGGAATCAAATCATCGACTTAACGCCATCGCTGCAAAAACACAGACGAGCTAAATTTTCTCTGCCGGAGGAAAAACTGCTTGAGGAGCTGTGGAGGGTTTTAGTCTGGATGAACCAAAACCAGGTCTGATGGTTTTAAAGAGACTCTGAATCTGCTGAAAATCTACTGAATCTGAATAATACAGATTTAATAGACTGACTCAAAGGTCACACACTCAAGTGAACAAACACTCCTGAGGTCAGTCCTGCTGTTACACACCCTCTATTTTAACCCTGTGCCCCCCACCCAACACACACACATGTGCTCATAAACACCTTAATACAGAAACTAGGTTAGTAAAACATCGGGCCTGTGTCAGGGGTAAATGTGTGAACCAGGTGATCAAGAGTAAAATGAGTTAATCTGATCCCCTCTGAACAGGACTGATCATCCTGACTGTAAATATATTTATATAGAGTCACGTCTCTGCGTTTAAAACATGTGGTTATAATGGGAGTCAATGGGGCAAAAACAGACACTGAGACCAGAAAAGGAAGTTTGTTTAAAAATCTGTTTCTGCACAAAAACTAAATATGCATAAAAGTCATTAAAGTTACTGATCTAAAGGTCCTTACACACCAGCGAATTTGTGGAGCGAAGCGACATTGGGCGACCCCTCTGTGGTACACACTCCCTCCCATCATTGCTCTTGGTGCCAGTGGTGGTGTGTGTCATGTGAACTGCAGCCGCATGGGTCTGTGACGTCATCAACAACATGACTTTTGATTGGCCAGTGGTCTAGCAGGTCCAGATATTCGCCTGTGAATCTCCGAAAAATTCGACACAAGAGCGAAAAAAAAAAGACGCTTTTCGCCCCGCGGAAAAATCGCAGCCGGTGTGGAAGCTTGCACTGACTTTATGCTGTTTTAAAAAAGGGCGAATAAATGCAAATAATTCGCCTGGCGAATAAGACATGTCCAAGACTGTGATAATATAAAAAAAATTCTTTGTCCAATCACCTTTTATCACTTTTCATACTGAAATGAGCTCATTTTGTGTTTATTTTTCCCATATCAGTGACTTTCTTCATTAAATTAGCATTCAAAGGGTTAATTAAAAAAAAAAAATTTAATAGTTTTGATCAAGACTGAGATTGATTAAAAGATTTATGCAAAAAAAAAAAGATAAAAATATTGATCTGATATATTTTCACAGCAGTCAAAGTTAGTGGCTGAAAACAGTCACTCATACAGCTACAGGGTGGTAAATTTGCTGACAGTGAACTATTGACCTTTTGAAAAATTTGAATCATATTTTCAAATTAAATGAAAAAATAAAGTTTGTCAGAAAAAAAATCAGGTCATTTGCTTCAATACAGTGAAAGTTTTGGTCAAATTTAGAGGAAAGAGTGACGCTGAGTGTCGTTTTTATCACTAATACTGAATAACTCAGTCCTGTCTGCAGAGGAAGCTCCTGAGCTGTTGTGTGTCTGTGTCTGTGTCTGTGTCTGTTTGTGTGTGTTTGTGTGTGTTTGTGTGTGTCTGTCTGTGTCTGTCTGTGTCTGTCTGTGTCTGTTTCTGTTTGTGTGTCTGTTTCTATTTGTGTGTCTGTTTGTGTGTGTCTGTCTGTGTGTCTGTTTGTGTGTCTGTTTGTGTCTGTCTGTCTGTGTCTGTGTCTGTTTGTGTGTCTGTTTGTGTGTGTGTCTGTTTGTGTTTGTGTCTGTTTGTGTGTCTGTCTGTTTGTGTGTGTCTGTTTGTGTCTGTTTGTGTGTCTGTCTGTTTGTGTCTGTCTGTCTGTGTCTGTTTGTGTCTGTCTGTCTGTGTGTGTGTCTGTTTCTGTGTCTGTTTGTGTGTGTGTCTGTTTGTGTGTGTGTCTGTTTGTGTTTGTGTCTGTTTGTGTGTCTGTCTGTTTGTGTGTCTGTCTGTTTGTGTGTGTCTGTTTGTGTCTGTCTGTCTGTGTGTCTGTTTGTGTGTCTGTTTGTGTGTCTGTTTGTGTGTCTGTTTGTGTGTGTCTGTTTGTGTGTGTGTCTGTCTGTGTCTGTTTGTGTGTCTGTCTGTTTGTGTGTGTCTGTTTGTGTCTGTTTGTGTGTCTGTCTGTTTGTGTCTGTCTGTCTGTGTCTGTTTGTGTCTGTCTGTCTGTGTGTGTGTCTGTTTGTGTGTCTGTTTGTGTGTGTGTCTGTTTGTGTCTGTGTCTGTTTATGTGTGTCTGTTTGTGTGTCTGTTTCTGTCTGTCTGTTTGTGTGTCTGTTTTGTTTCTGTTTTGTGTGTGTTTGTTTGTGTGTCTGTTTGTGTGTGTGTGTGTGTGTGTTTGTGTGTGTGTGTGTGTGTGTGTTTGTGTGTGTGTGTTTGTGTGTGTTTGTCTGTTTGTGTGTGTGTGTCTGTTTGTGTGTGTGTGTTTGTGTGTGTTTGTGTGTGTTTCTGTTTGTGTGTTTGTGTCTGTTTCTGTTTGTGTGTTTGTGTCTGTTTCTGTCTGTCTGTTTGTGTGTCTGTTTCTGTTTGTGTGTCTGTTTGTGTGTCTGTTTGTGTGTTTGTTTGTGTGTGTGTTTGTGTGTCTGTGTCTGTTTGTGTCTGTCTGTTTCTGTTTCTGTGTCTGTGTGTGTGTGTGTTTGTGTGTGTTTGTGTGTCACACTGACCCACGGAGTTGCAGCTGCAGGGCAGACAGCGGGCGCCGCTCTGGTCTCTGTGGTAGTTGTCGAGGCAGCGCTCACAGTTGGGCCCGTCCGTGTTGTCGGCGCAGTTCCTGCAGTGACCTCCGTGACCCGTGGCCCGGTACAGCTCGGCGTCGTAGTAACACTCAGAACTCTTCCCGTTACAGTCACAGGCTGAAAAACAGAGAGAGACGGAGGACGACTGAGTCTGGAGGAAACGACACGAACAGACGTGTGTCTGTTTGTTTTTGTGTTCATGAAATAAATGAAAGAAGAATTAATAAAAAAACAGACGCTGTAAAAAAAGTGAAAATATAACAGAAGTCATAAAATCAGTGAAAACTTTAAAAGGTTTAAGATTTTAGAAACCAGCTCCTTTCTTAAACCTGAACCCACTTTAATCAGCTGTTGGTCCTGAAGCTGCAGAACTTTGAGTTTTAATGATTTTCATCTTAAAACTGCAGGTTTAAAAAAGTCTCTAAGTGTCCTCTTCCTGTTTGACCCTGATCAGCTGCAGCATGTCCACAGGAAGAGGACTGAGACAGATGCTCCTGTGTACCTGAGCCCACTCTGATCTGAACCCAGAGGGTCTAAACCCAGACCGAGGGTCCACCCGGGTCGACTGAGGTGAACTCTCAGCTGTCCGTCTCCATCCTCTCAGGTTGCTCGGGTTTCCGGCGCCGATGTGGGCGAGGATTAAACCGAGTGTGGGAGCCGAGGAGCCGGAATATTCCCTCAGCCCTGTTAGTCATGCATCTGCACAAGCATATAGGAACTACAGCTCCCACAATCCCCCAGAGACCCTCATGACTAATGCTGAGGCTGGGATCAGTTTCTGCAGAGTAAACTGTGCAACAGCAGGCAGCAATGCATCATGGGAAACACTCAGAATGTTCTGCCAATGTGTCTCAATGTTACACAAACAGAGTGCGGGCGTACTGTCTCTTTAAGAGACTTCAACGCAGTCTAGAACTCTGCACCCCGGAACCCAGACTTCTAGAATCTAGTGTTCTACACCGGAGAGTTCTAGAACCCAGAATTCCATCAGTCAGGATTATATGAAACTCGGAGTTCTGGAACCCAGAACCCAGAATTCTAGAACTCTGTATTCTGTAACCCTCCTCCACTGTTGCCGAGCTCGTCACTGAGTTTCTGTGTTCAGAATGACACAAACACAGCTGTATCTGACCTGAATCTGACCTGGAAAGTTTGGTAAAGACCCAAAAGTCCTTCAGGACCAAAGAGCAGAACCGCTTCTGTTTGGACCTCGCCCGCGCTCAGTCTGACCTTTGACCTTTGACCTTCATAGTTTCTATAAAAACAGAGCGCCGTCTCTTTAAACCGACAAACTAAAGTCCTAAACCAGAACCGTGGTGACCCTGTTCCTTCAGGTTCAGACCCGGGTTCTTGTGTGGTAACAGCTGCGGTTCTGTGGCGGACTCACGCAGACACTCGTTGGAGTTGTCGGCGGTGGCTCTCCTCCACGGTCGGTCGTTGTAGAAGGGTTTGCAGAGCTGACAGTCGTCGCCCTCCGTGTTGTGTTTGCAGTGACACACCAGACGCCCGCCGCCGTTCTTCAGACACTCGCTGGCGTGGCCGTTACATTTACACCTGAGGGGACAGAGACACACACACACCTGTTAGACCGGAGAAACTCGGACAGTGTCGAGGTTTTATTTTTTTATCGTTAACAATCAGCTGTGTTTCCACGGTAACCCCCTCTCTGCACGTGCTCAGTCAGAAACAGAAACAGCGGGACTCAGGACAGTCTGGAGTTCTTGTTTGTGCTCTGATCGTGGTTTTCCTCTGATCCAGGTTTTCCTCTCAGCGGCTCTGAGCCAAGGTTTTGTTAGACTTCCTGTCGGGGGGACAGAACCCCTCTGAGCAGGACCGGACTTGCTCTGCAGCCACCTTCACTTATTGTCTCAGGTGTTTCTGTGGAAAATCTGACTGTGAGGAGAGAGAGGAGCACCAGAGCGAGCGCCAACACCGAGGTTCTGCAGAACCTGGACCTCAGCACAGTCACATGACCTCCTGTCTTCAACAGAGACCGGTTTGATCTTTGTAGACCACCTCCAGACTGATCCTCAGACCTCTTTATCAGGTTTTAAACCGAGTCGAGGAGCGTTAAAACCCTGCTCACCTGGTTTGTGGATGTTTACAGATTCAGGTCTCGGTGTGTGGTCTCTTCAGGAAATGAGGATTTGTTGGATTGTTGGCAGAGATCCTCCACACACCAGGATCTGCACAAACAGGACTATAATCCCGCCCCCCTTTCTCTCCTGGAGGAACACCCTCCTCTGAAGGACTCACGGGGGAGTCTGGATCTCCTGACCCTGATGAAGCTTCAGAATCAGGTGATCATTCAGCTCCAGTTCAACCCGCAGAACTCCAAGTTATATTTGACTATTTTTGGTCCTCCTGTTTTTATGTTTCACCTCGATCTCTTCACTCACAGCAGATATAAACACGTCTTTGTTTCAGGACGACCTCAGCTTCAGTTTATGGAGCAAAAATGATGTAAATAAATGTGACAGGAGATTCAGAACCAACAAAGTCGACCAAAAAACAAAAACAGAAATTAGCTCCAACAGAACTTTTCTCTAAAAACACATAAATCTACAGTGACCGAGCCTTTTCTCACCTGAACATCATTCCTTCAAGTCTTGTCTATCAGGAGAAGAAATATTGGGATTGGAACAAACACACAACAGAAACTATTGACATATTTACACTCATTCTTACAGGTGTTCTTTACTGTTTACAGTTGTTTCTGCCACTCCTGGGATGAGACAGAGGACCACCGTCAATTTAACAATAGAAGAGAGTCAAAGAGCTTGGACCTGATCTTTGCAGGAAAAGATGAGAGTCAAAGAGCTTGGACCTGATCTTTGCAGGAGAAGATGAGGGTTAAAGAGCTTGGACCTGATCTTTGCAGGAGAAGCTGAGAGTTAAAGAGCTTGGACCTGATCTTTGCAGGAGAAGATGAGGGTTAAAGAGCTTGGACCTGATCTTTGCAGGAGAAGATGAGGGTTAAAGAGCTTGGACCTGATCTTTGCAGGAGAAGATGAGGGTTAAAGAGCTTGGACCTGATCTTTGCAGGAGAAGCTGAGAGTTAAAGAGCTTGGACCTGATCTTTGCAGGAGAAGATGAGGGTTAAAGAGCTTGGACCTGATCTTTGCAGGAGAAGATGAGGGTTAAAGAGCTTGGACTGGATCTTTGCAGGAGAAGATGAGGGTTAAAGAGCTTGGACCTGATCTTTGCAGGAGAAGATGAGGGTTAAAGAGCTTGGACCGGATCTTTGCAGGAGAAGATGAGAGTTAAAGAGCTTGGACCTGATCTTTGCAGGAGAAGATGAGAGTTAAAGAGCTTGGACCGGATCTTTGCAGGAGAAGATGAGGGTTAAAGAGCTTGGACCGGATCTTTGCAGGAGAAGATGAGGGTTAAAGAGCTTGGACCTGATCTTTGCAGTAGAAGATGAGGGTTAAAGAGCTTGGACCTGATCTTTGCAGGAGAAGCTGAGAGTTAAAGAGCTTGGACCTGATCAAACAGACATTAAAATAAACCTGACCTGACTGAGGGAGGAAGTGCAGTTCATGAATCTTTAGGATCTGGTTCACTGAGAATATGGGACCGTGTAATTGGTCGAAAGTTTGACAGGAAAAGACGTCATCAAAACAGCTCGTCAAACCTGGAAGACATTAGCAGCATTTAGCGATCTTTTTCGATCACAACAATCTGATCAATAATCCTGTTTTCACTGTAGATTTACCATCAAACGTCTCTGATCAAACACCTGTTTTTGAGGCTGGACTGTAAACCTTGTTGCAGGTGTAGAAATGTCTGGAAACCCTCGATAGATCAACAAAACGGTAAACTAACGAACAGTTTTCATCCCGTAGAGAAACACGGTATAGATCCTGAGAAACTCTAAACTATATTCATGGTTTCACGTGGAATCGACGGCGATCCAGCGGAGTTTTAAGTGTTCAATAAAACAGTGAGTGAGCAGCGCTCTGTTCTGATTGGAGGAGAAGAGGAGGTTGAGCTCAGTGGGCGTGGCCTCCATGAATGTTGGCGGTCTGTTCTGGTGGCTGAAGAGTTTCCCGTCCAGCAGAGGGCTCGGAGTTTAGAGAAGAGTGTTTCCTTCAAACGCAGGAAGCTGAGCCGCTGGAGCTCCTCGCTCTCAGGTGAACAGGTTCAGGTAAATCAGGGTGGAGCTGACGGAGGAGCGGACCCCTCAGAAACCCCTCCTCCTCCTCCTCCTCAGGACTCTTCCTTTTCTTCCGCCCGTCACGGCGGTGGGTCCGCCCCCGTCCCGGTCTCCCTGTAATCCCGCCCTGCCGAGCAGGAATGTGAGGAATGCGTGTGTGTAATGGAAATCTGCTCCACATTTCAGAGCCGCTCCGTCTGCAGAGGGAGCCGGTCCAAACCCGGGAACAGGGGTTCTGATGTGGATTCAGGGGCAGACCACACAGTCACACGTGAAGACCTGGACCCACAAACACACCTGACCCTCCCCCAGCAGGTCGGGTCTCTCGGTCTCTCTCTCTCTCGGTCTCTCTCTCTCTCTCTCGGTCTCTCTCTCGGTCTCTCTCTCTCTCTCTCTCTCTCTCTGACTCTGATGAAACCATGAGGGTCACGAAGGACCGGGCGATTCCGAAAAATAAAGATCACGATATATTTTGTCGTATCGTCCGATCCCGATTATTATCACGATTTTTCTTTAAACTGTCAGTTTTAAAGCATCTGAACTAAAAACTGAAGAAACTAAAGATCAGTTCAAGATTTTATTTACATACAAAGTAAAAAATAAAGAAAATTAAATAAGAAAAACTTAAAAAAATATTTAAAAAAAACGTTTTAACTCAACAGAACAACAAAAGTCGATAAATATTAAATTATTAAGTGTTATTAAACAAATGGCCTTAAAGACGTCTTAAAATTTTAACATTAGATGATTTAAACGTAGATAAACGATCAATTTTGATCACTGCTAATTCTAATCGTACCGTCAGCAGTGACAGGCTGTACAGACTCCGCCCACATTTTCATGATTTCCTCATAATCGCTGTGGAAGAACTTCGTCTGATAATTAAACTGATCTGTTGTGTTTCCGATCTTTGAGGCACCGACCGCCGACATACTTTACACATCGGATTAATTACTCAACGTCACTTTGGAGATAATGACGAATAACTTGGAAGGATAACTCAAAGTCATGGCGTTTAGCTCCACGTTCGGTCGTTCTGTTCACTTCCTGTTTACTTCTCCTGTAACTAACAGAAGTGAGCAGGAAAAGCTCGACTCTGATTGGCTGTTGTCACGCACACTTCCACCATGTTTGATCGAGTAAATAAACTCACAGCTGATCACCGTGATCGAACTAAAATTTATCACGATCTTATAGATCTTATAATCGCCCAGTCCTAGCGTCAGGTGTCTGCAGACCTTCTCCAGAACCAGAACCGGACCCGCTCCGTTATCATTCATCATTCATCAGAACTTTACCTTCCCCCCACGGCGAAGTCTGAGATGGCGTAGTAGTAGGACTTGAGGACCTTGGGGTCGTTGAAAACCTCGTCTCCGAACGTGTTGAGCCTGTTCAGGGTCACTCTGATGTCGGTGGCGGTCACCCAGTCCTGCAACAGACACAACAAAGAGCCTCATTAGAGACACATCAGGACCGTTTATCGGGGACAAAACAGACCCTGCAGACCGCCTGTCAGGCTGCAGGGCGTCATGTGACTCTGAAGGACTCGGAGAAACCACAAAGACACGAGGATGAGCAAAAATAACTCCTGAACAATCCTCGATTCAGAAAAGAAGAGGAAAAACCTTCAGAGAGGAAAGTCCAGATTCATCAAAAACACTTTATTTTGACCTAAAACACAAAAATCTGAAAACAGTTTAATTTTCATCTTTACAAATGAGAGAGTTCATCATCTGAGGACGGAGAATCTTCATCTTCACCTTCAGAAACTTCATGAGAGGAAACATCTGCTGCAGATCTTTGACTCTGTTTGACCTTTGACCTCATGGTGACCTGAGTCCCTCACCTCTCCTTTTCATTTCATATCATTTTATCATCTTCTATTAACTCACATGATTAACACACCGACTCTAACTGATCTACTTCTACAGCTTCATCCATCAGAGGGAGGCGCTGACGTCATTCTAACTCTAAAACACGATTATTGAAGCTGGAGCAAAATAAAGAGAGAAACTGAGACTGAGGTCAGAGTGAGATGAGACATGACGAGTCAGCTGTTATTAGGCCTGTCGCGATAATCAATAAATCGCCTTATCGCTCGGTAAATAAAAACGAGGTCGATAACTTTGCCAGCCTCGATAATTGACGTGCGTTTGTTTTCCTCCTCTCTCGCTACCAAACACGCTGGATGAGAGAAGAGGTCTCACTCTGCGCATTTTTCTCGGCACCTGGGGGCGTTGGCTGTATAGCGGAATGAACGGAGTTAGTGAACCCTCCTGTCAGTCATTCAGTGTCTTTGTCACGAGGGGGCTGGCGCGCACAGGCACACAGACACAGACTTTTGGATACAGTGCTGCAAGTGAGCGTCGTGAGTGAAAAGCAAGCTAACAGAATGAACACGACAGCTTTGGTGTCTAAACCGAACGCAACAGCCCAAGTGTGGGAATATTTCGGCTTTAAACCAGTTTTCTTTTCGTCAACCACAAAACTCCACGTGTGTGTGTGCGCGCGTGCGTGTGTGTCTGTGTGTTGGAGGAGCACAGCAGGCTGATGAGAGCTGTCAGAGCGGACTGAAGCTGCTCCTATATGTTTAGTGTTTAACTGACTGAGTTTTGCAACTCTGTTCGTCATTTTCGTCTCGTCCACATCAACGTAAACGCACTTTCGTCTCGTCACATTTTAGTCATCTCCGACTTATGTTTAGCTCGTCAACGTTACGTCTTCGTCGTGGGTGAAATTAAAGTTTATCACTTTTGACACGGTGTGCTCGCATTATTATGCCATATAATATCATTATCTATAATTTAAAAAACGGTGTCAATAATATCGTTTATCGGCGATTATTTGTAGCACAATTATCGTCCAGCAAAATTTGTTATCGTGACAGGCCTAGCTGTTAGAAAGTCTGTTTCCTGTTTGAGGTCCTCTCCTCTGTTTCAGGGGATCTGATTGGTCAAAAATTAAACGCTGAGTCATGATTCAAAGATTTTGTTTATAGTTCACGTCAATAATTCAGTTTTCTCAGCTGCATGTAAACGAGGACGAGGAGAGAGTCTGATTCAGAGAAGAAGATGAATTATGAGTTTAATCTGATTAAACTGAGACTGTAAACGGACTGAGTGACAGGAAGAAGGTCGATCCACAGTTCCCCTGCAGACCTGATCAGGTAGATCCTGGACTAACGTGTGTTTGGGGTCTGAGATGTTGGGTGTGAGAACTGAGACGGTCTGGATCCTGTTTCTGAGCCGAGGTGAAAACAATCATCCTGCTGATGAACAACAAACAGGGCGAGCAGCTGAGCCCTGTGGGAATGTCAGAGCGCCATCCAGAGGATCTGAGGCCTGATGGGGGCGCTGGACCCAGAGTCAGAGGAACAGCTCTCCTCTGGTTCACCCTGAGGGGGGCACCTGTGATCTGGATCAGTCTGTGGAGATATTTGACTGGAAACCAAAACTTCAACAGCCCCTCTCTGGACTGCGGGCGAAAGCAAACACAGATGTGGAGTCCAGCATAACTCAGATATGAAGTTCCTTGGCGGGTCCGGCGGTAAACCGGGTCCAGGACTGTGGGAAAACCTCGGGAACGGTGACGCAGAGCAGCAAACTGTGACATTTTCAGAGAAATGGAATTTATTTTCTTGGCTTCGTGGAGACGAGAGGCAGCTGGAGAGCATTACTGCAGCCGGACACCTGCTCCTGCTCGTATCATCGGCGAGGAGAAAGACGGACCCGACGCCCCGCCTGTGAGAAAAGGCTCATGGGAAACTGAGAGCGAAGGCCGCTGATAGCTTTGTTCAGTATCAGCAGGAAGATTATCAGGCCGGAGCTCAGAGCAGCTGTTTGAAGACAAACAAACGGCTCAGAGACCTGGACCAGAGTCCTCTACAGGACCTGGATCAGAGAGGGGGACTCTTCTCTTCTCTTGTGAACCTCAACGCTGCCAGGAACATGAAGAAGCTGCTTCATGGTTCAGCAGCGACTCCAAAGCTCTCCAAGAAACTGTTCCACCCTGAGCAGGAAGTCTGCCGGACCATCTGCTGACAGCTGATTAGAGTCCGTCACACATGAGCTCAGAGCGAGCAGCAGGTCGGACCCTCGTGTTTGGAGAGGGAGGAAACATTTAGAGGAAGAAGAAGAAGAAGAGTCGGTCTTTCTGTGAATCTCGCTCAGGTCTCTTAAATCGTCCCACGCAGGAAAACTTCAGCCCCCTCCTCTTCTTCTTCTTCTTTTACACTCTGATGTTAAATCCTCGTGTAACTGACGGGAATGTGGAACAGATTTATTCTGATTCACCCACAGGTTGTTTTTTTCTCTCAGCTGTGACTCAGAGCAACTGAAACATGAAGTTTTGTTTTCAGAGGAAACCCACAGAGATCACAGCTTCCATGGAAAAACGATTCCCCGTCTGTCCCCGCCCACGATATCGAGAAGGTCACAACAAAGAGAAAGAGGAAACATGAAGAGAGGCTTCATGGAGCAAAACAACCTCGAGAGGGGAAAAATCTGAATCCCAAAAAACACAGTTCCCAGAGTGTCCACTAGAGGCTGTGAGTCAGCCCCCATAGAGCCTCATGTTAAAACCTTAGAGCAGAAGTAAAAGGTATACATGTTCAGGGGCGTGGCCTCTAAAACGAACAGAGGGTCGTTTTTAGAGGGTGGAACATGATGTCATATCCTCCTCAGAACATGATGTCATGTGATTTGTTCAAGTAACTTTCGTAGCTGTAGCCATCTTGTTTCAGGCCTCCGATTTTCGCTTTTTTCCGACTGTGGAACTGAAACGATGAGAACTCGGGTGTGACGTCATTCTCACTCGAGTGCAGCAGTACCCATAGATATATCTATACAAATTCTAGATGTCTCACACACGCTGTTAGCCAATGGAGACTGACGTCTGCACATGGCGGCCATTTTGCTTCAGGCAGCTCGCCCGCTCCTAACATTCCAGTCTACAGTTCAGGTAGCATTTAAATAACTATAGATTGATTAATTTAAACCGATTTTTAAACAGTTTGTTTTGTAACATTCATACATTCATAAATAAACATTAAACAGATAGATAGAGCTACAGTTATTGACCTACACACACAAGACAGTTATATTCAATCATTCATATATAAAACATTTAATCATGTTTGTTATATTAGTAATATTTCCATAATAGGGATAACTAACAATAACATATATAATATATATTTTCAGTATAAATTTCTGCCTCTCCATGCCGATTATTCGCCTCCTGTCAGCTACCATAGAGCGGACCAGAACGGTGTACTGGAGTAAGATGGCCGCTGTGTGTGACTCCGCCTCATAGAGTCATCTAGCCTTTCTCATAGATATCTATGGGTTTGTCCTCCAGCTTTGAAAATACTGACTGGTGTTCCTCAGGGGTCCGTCCTGGGTCCTCTGGTCTTCTTATGTCATAATGTTCCTGGTGTTACCATGACAACTGTTGTTGTTTATAATTTCAGCTCTACATAAAAAATAAAGTACGGTGAATGAATGAATGTAAAATCTACTCGCTCTGTGAGGCCGGCAGGTTTACAGTGATGAACTCTGGGACATCCAGGAGCTTCAAACCCACAGAGGAGATCACAGATCCTTCATAAACAGATAATCTATTGACCAATCAGAGGCTGTATCTATGACCAGCTGACCTTCAAAGGCCCAATAAGAAGCCAGCAGTCTCAGCAGAGCAGTGAAGGTGATCAAACTTTAGAGACTCTGATCAATAAAGTCATCAGTATCGATCAGATCTCCTCTTTGTCTCCTCAGGTGGAGGTCTGGAGTTTAATCTGGAGTTCACAGAGCTCAGGTTCGTGGTCGTCTCCTGCTGCAGCGGCGTTCAGATGAACTTCCACATCAGTGGATGTTTATCCTCAAACTCTGACAGGCCCGGTTTCTGGCCCAGAGCCTGTTTCTGGTTGACATTTAGCTCTCATGAAGGATTGTCATTGTTAAAAACTCCCTGCAGCTGCTTTCTCAGCTGGTCACTTATCTGGAAGCTTCCTGCGCTCGGCGACGCCCATGTTTCCCTCGCTCTCTCTCTCTCTCTCTCTCTCTCTCTATGATTCATGCAGAATAACTCGTCCTATCGTCTGTCCGGTCGGCAGCTGCAGCTCTTCAGACTGTCCGGTCCAGGAAGCTGCTGAAGTTCTGGGCTGAGTCAACACTGAGTAAACTCCACTGAACATTTGTTTGCCATCAATCATGAGCTTCTCCGAGTTCTCAGCTGAGACACATGTGTGTGTTTTTTTCTGGAGGAGGAGGAGGATTGTGGCTGACGCTCCAAAACTCCTCAGGGAGACACAAACATTCAGCTGAGCTGCAGCAGCCTGAGAACAAGAACTCCGACTGTCAGGGGCCCGACCAGAACCAGTACAGGTCCTGCTTTCAGATACTGTAAGTCCCAGGAACTTTGTCATCCTGGTGACCCGTGAAGAGCGAGTTCAGAGAGCGAAAAATACAGATATAAAAAAACACGTCTAACACGGTCACCTCAACATCCAATGACGATTCAGGAGGCGACGGTTCGATTATTAAACAATTATCATGATTATTAATCGATTATCACGATCATTGGTGCATCTTTTTCCTCATACAGGAAACAAACGACCTGGAGGTTCCTGGGAACCACGGACCTCAAAGTCGACAGGTCAGTGTCTCACTCAGAGATACTGAAGGATCACTTTCAGGGTTGATTTGTGTCTGCAGGTGGAGATGTCTCCTTCTTGGACCTTCTCATGGACCTTCTCATGGACCTTCTCATGGACTTTCTCATGGACCTTCTCCTCTGTTTGTACAAATCTGAGTTTATGAGAGGTCGGAGAAGGCCGACAGGAAGTCAGAGGGTTTTATCGTCTGTGAAACTGAAGACGTAAACAAAGACGTCTCACTCCACACTTTAAAGATCTTCATTTTGGACGAGAACATCTTCTCTTTCAGACTGAGGATTGTTGCCTACAGGGGGCGCAGTTCGATGGGTCCCAGTCCTGAAAAGTTCCTGAATCTGTGTTTTAGAAATGTCTCTGAATAGACCTGAAGATCGTCCTCAAACAGATCATTGGTGGAGACACCTCGGCTCCCTCTTCAGGTCAAACCTTCTCTGTTCCTTAAACTCCCATGAACCTTTGCTGCACAGGCTTTTATCTCATATCCTGCTAACTTCTCACCCTCTCATCAACTTTTTTAAATCAGTGATTTCATACGTTCGGCTCACAGGTATCTGACCCGGCACGTCCATGCCGCTTTATTTAAGGGCTCATGGTCCAGAAAGGTTTCAAACCGCAGCGCAAGAATAAAACGGGTGCGAGCTGGTCGGCGGCCAAAGCGAGCGCCATTAAGGTGGCGGGTCTCAGCTGGTGGTTATTTCCCTCTCAGAGATGACAGACAGCGGGAATGTCAGAGAGCGACAAACAGCCGTCTGACGCCCCCGAAGAGTCCACAGCTTCAGTATAAATAGCTTCATGCCGACGAGTCAAATAAGGAAGTTTACAGCTGAGTGTGTGTGTGTGTGTGTGTGTGTGTGTGTGTGTGTGTGTGTGTGTGTGTGTGTGTGTGTGTGTGTGTGTGTTGGGGGGCTAAATCTGTTCATTTACATGGAGGCTGAGAGGGTGAGGACACCATCACAGGAAACTCTAACTCACAATTAGTCCAGAGTAAATGTGTCAGAGATAAGAGGAGGAACCAGGAACCAGGAGAGGATGGAGAGACTCTAGAGAGAGCAGGACCCTCTGTATGAAGGGGCCCCTCTGGAGAAAAACTCTCAGCTGGTTTCATGTCAGGCCAGGGGGTCTAATAAGAAAGTGTATATGAGGAGAACCTGCGGCTCTACATGAGGGGCATCTGCAGCTCTACGATCTATCTTGTAGAGCTGCAGAAACCTCTCTGCAGCTCCTCCACGATGTTAAACTTTCATCCCTCCTTCAAACTTCCTGTTTTCATGTATTTTTTATTTTGGTTGTTTTGGTGTTTTTTTTTGTTTTGTCAGCTGGTTTGCTGCAGATCAAATTCACCCACAGGTTCTGTTGCTGTAGTCGAGATTCAGTCAGTACCAGTCAGAGTCAGTCTCACAGATTACCCATAATTCCCTTTGAACAGGTCTCTGCAGAGCTTTGTTGGAGTGGAACAGCTGGATTCTTTGGGTCTGTATCAAATCTGAGGAGATCAGGACTTTGGTGCACGTGAGAGTTCAGTTAGAGAGTTCAGTTAAAGAGTTCAGTTAGAGAGTTCAGTTAAAGAGTTCAGTTAAAGAGTTCAGTTAGAGAGTTCAGTTAAAGAGTTCAGTTAAAGAGTTCAGTTAAAGAGTTCAGTTAGAGAGTTCAGTTAGAGAGTTCAGTTAGAGAGTTCAGTTAAAGAGTTCAGTTAAAGAGTTCAGTTAAAGAGTTCAGTTAAAGAGTTCTGTTAAAGAGTTCAGTTAAAGAGTTCGGTTAAAGAGTTCAGTTAAAGAGTTCAGTTAGAGAGTTCAGTTAAAGAGTTCAGTTAGAGAGTTCAGTTAGAGAGTTCAGTTAAAGAGTTCGGTTAAAGAGTTCAGTTAAAGAGTTCAGTTAGAGAGTTCAGTTAAAGAGTTCAGTTAGAGAGTTCAGTTAAAGAGTTCAGTTAGAGAGTTCAGTGAAAGAGTTCAGTTAGAGAGTTCAGTGAAAGAGTTTAGTTAGAGAGTTCAGTTAAAGAGTTCAGTTAAAGAGTTCAGTTAGAGAGTTCAGTTAAAGAGTTCAGTTAAAGAGTTCAGTTAAAGAGTTCAGTTAAAGAGTTCAGTTAAAGAGTTCAGTTAGAGAGTTTGGTGGTTAAAGAGTTCAGTTAAAGAGTTCAGTTAAAGAGTTCAGTTAAAGAGTTCAGTTAGAGAGTTCAGTTAAAGAGTTCAGTTAAAGAGTTCAGTTAGAGAGTTCAGTTAGAGAGTTCAGTTAGAGATTTTAGTTAGAGAGTTCTGTTAAAGAGTTCAGTAAGAGAGTTCAGTTAGAGAGTTCAGTTAGAGAGTTCAGTTAGAGAGTTCAGTAAGAGAGTTCAGTTAGAGAGTTCAGTTAAAGAGTTCAGTTAGTAAGTTCAGTTAAAGAGTTTAGTTAGAGAGTTCTGTTAAAGAGTTCAGTTAAAGAGTTCAGTTAGAGAGTTCAGTTAAAGAGTTCAGTTAGAGAGTTCAGTTAGAGAGTTCAGTTAAAGAGTTCAGTTAAAGAGTTCAGTTAGAGAGTTCAGTTAAAGAGTTCAGTTAGAGAGTTCAGTTAAAGAGTTCAGTTAAAGAGTTCAGTTAAAGAGTTCAGTTAGTGAGTTCAGTTAAAGAGTTCAGTTAGAGAGTTCTGTTAGAGAGTTCAGTTAGAGAGTTCTGTTAGAGTTCGGTTAAAGAGTTCAGTACATCAGAATAAATCCTTCTTCTCTTACAGTAAAACAGCAGATTCTGCACAAACGTCTCTTTATCATCCAGGACTGATTTAAGGTCCTCAGAGGAGCTGTTTTTAGGGCGGGGCCTAACCCTGCAGCTGGTCGGAGGTCAGATGATCTGACCCGGGTCAACAGTGTATGAATGTGGATTCTGGTTCTTCCTGATCATGTTCAGATATTTACGTTAAAACAGCTTTAATAAACTGACGATTTCACACCACAGACTGTTTCAGAGGAAAAGTTCTGGATCGGTTCTGCCAGAGTCTGAATCCAAAAGTTCTGAATTATGATTTTTCTGCAGGTTGGAGAGCAGAGGAGCGAGAAATCAGCTCCACATGAGGAGAGAGAGAGACGGAGAGAGAGAGAGAGGGAGAGAGAGAGAGGGAGAGGGAGAGAGAGAGAGAGAGAGAGAGAGAGAGAGAGAGAGAGAGAGAGAGAGAGAGAGAGAGAGAGAGAGAGAGAGAGAGAGAGAGAGAGAGAGAGAGAGAGAGAGAGAGAGAGAGAGAGAGAGAGAGAGAGAGAGGGAGAGAGAGAGAGAGAGACAGAGACAGAGACAGAGAGAGAGAGAGAGAGAGAGAGAGAGAGAGAGAGAGAGAGAGAGAGAGAGAGACAGACTTGTGCAACAAACAGAGAGGAGAGAAGAATGAAAACAGACTTTTCTTTCCAGAGATTAGGCAACCTCAGAGTGAAGCAACATGGAAACACAAACATGCTGGGGGGGGGGGGCAGTGAGAGTGTGTGTGTGTGTGTGTGTGTGTGTGTGTGTGTGTGTGTGTGTGTGTGTGTGTGAAAAAAGTGAGTGAGGAAGAGGAGGAAGAGGAGGAGGAGAGGAGTCAAACTGAGCTGCAGTGGGAAACTCGGGGGCGTCACCAGGCAACACTTGGCAGCTTCACACCTGCAACCTGAGCTGCAGAAAGGGATGCTGGGAAAATAACCACCATCACAGGAGTCTTAATCTTCATGAGCAGGTTCAGTTCTGCTGAAAAATGTCAAATCTGCTCTTGGGGGTCCGGGTTTAGTCCGGCAGGGTCCTGGTTTGTGTCTGTACAGCTTTAACAAGAATCTGGACTTCAGTTTGAGTCACAGATGAGAAGATCTGAGAGGAGGACCGCAAGATTAATGATCATGATCAATTTCAGTTCGATCACAGTGATCAGCTGTGAGCATATTTACTCGATCAAACATGGCGGAAATGTGCGTCACAACAGCCAATCAGAGTCGAGCTTTTCCTGCTCACTTCTGTAGGATGAAAACACTTTCCTGGTCTGAGTTTGATCAGTCGGTCTTCCTGTCGGTCTGTAGAGCAGTAGTCTACAGTAGATCTTCACTATATTTATATTTATTATAAATCTTTATTTTAACTAAACTCTTTAACCACCGGAATCTTTATTTTGGGTTAAAAATATGTGAATTAAATGTTGAACTAATCTCTTGTTTATTTAGTTTTTTTTTGTACAGATGCTTTAAAACTGACAGTTTAAATGAAAAAATCGTGATAATAATCGAGATCGGACGATACGACAAAATATATCGTGATCTTTTCTTTTACCAAATCGCCCCGTCCTTCCTCAGAGGCTCTTCCTGTTCACTCTCCGTGCTTTTATTTTGAAATAGTGTCAGCTGCAGGAACCCTCTCTCTCTCTCTCTCTCTCTCTCTCTCTCTCTCTCTCTCTCCCTCCCTCTCTCCCTCCCTCTCTCCCTCTCCCTCTCCCTCTCCCTCTCTCTCTCTCTCTCTCTCTCTCTCTCTCTCTCTCTCTCTTCAGGTCTCATTATAAACCCTGACAGCTGGACTAGAGCAGAGACCAGGACCTGAACAAGAGCAGACTGTCCTCCTGGATCAGACAGAGACACCCTGATCTGAAGCTAAAAACAGAGACGGCCCCGCTCTCTTTAGACCCTCGTCATGTGACCCACAGTTTCTGCTTTCACCGCCATCCTCCTCCTCCTCCTCCTCCTCCTCCTCCTCCTCCTCCTCCTCCTCCTCTCCTCCTCCTCCTCCTCCTCCTCCTCCTCCTCTTCTTCTCTGGATTATAAACTCTTCACTCTCACTCTTCTTCTCCTGTTTTTGTTTGTTTGTTGTTTTCAGGACCTGTGTGACCTCTCACCTGGAGGACGGGGCTGAAGTCGAAGTTGTAGGCGCTGGGTCGTCCCTCCAGCGTAGAGAACGCCACGTTTCCTCCGGTGAGCGGCGAGATGTCGCTGAAGTCGTCGGTGCAGAGCGCCTGCTGCTCGTCCTCGCCGGTGCGGATGAAGCCGCGGTTCGCCTTCTGGTACGTCTTCTCGCAGGAGCCGCTGTAGTACTGGTACGGCACCCAGGGGCCGCCCTCGCTCGTACGCTTGTAGATGGCGAAGCTCTCCGGGCGGCTGGTGTGGAACTTGAGCCGGACGTAGGTGATGTCGAAGGCCTTACCTGAGGAGGAGGAGGAGGAGGAGGAAGAGGAGGAGGAAGAGGAGGAGGAAGAGGAGGAGGAGGAGGAGGAAGAGGAAACACAAACACAGACGTTAACATTCACATGAAGTCTGAAAGAGAAACACGCATTTGTCATGAATCAGAGAGACGGAGATTTTATAGTCCGATATATTAAAGCGATATTTTAAAGTCCGATGTTTTATGTCGGATATTTTTAGTCCGATAACATGAGTCTGATATTTTAAATGCTGATATTTTATAGGCGGATATTTCAAAGTCTGATATTTAAACTCCGATATTTTAAATTTCGGATATTTCAAAGTTCGACATTTTAAAGTCTGATCATTTAAAATCTAATATTTTGGACTCCGATATTTAAAGTCGGACATTTCAAAGTCGGATATTTTAAAGTCCGATATTTTAATTCCGATATTTTAAAGTGAAAACTCGAACAGTTCTTCACAGAGTTCCAGTAAAATCTTCCTCCTGATCCTTCAGCGGACTCTTAAACTTCTCTCCTTATTCCTGCCCGTTCATCAAGATTCACGCTCTCAATAAAACCGTCACGCGGTCATCACCAAACTGACCCGGACGCTACAGTTCTCTCTCCTGATTGGCTGTTCACAGACTCAGTCTAGACCCTCCTCCAGACCCAGTCCAGGTTTATGTTCAGAGACAGAAACCAGACTCTGAGTTTGTCGTAAACTCTCCTAAACTCTCTCTCTGATGGACGGCGTTCAGCAGAAAGTTTAGCCCAGGTTTTCCTGGAAACTAACAGGAAGTGGCGTTGGCGGCGTCTGCTCTGAGTCTCTCTAAGAACGAGGGTTTGGAGGCGGCGAGCAGGAATGTGAGGTGAGGTTTGAACATGCAGCCGCAGCAGCAGCAGCGCTCTGGTCCTTTAACTCCTGACACTCGGGGGGCTGCGGGGTCTCCGGTCGCTCTGCTCGCTGCATACTTGGCGAGTCCGGGCACGCCGGCGAGCGGGCGGCTGGATGTTCCAGGAGCCGTCAGTCAGCGTGTGAAGGAAGGCCGCCATGTTTGAGCCGGGCGGCGAGGGGTACGGCTGTTTGCTCAGCCAAAGAATCTGTTCTGTAAACAGACGCTGACAGGGGCCCCGGCCCCCCGGGGGGCCCCTCTGTGTCGACGACAAATAAAGGTGAAGCAGCTGATAGGAGCGAGGGGGAGGGGCCACAAAGAGCGAGGAGCTTATTACAGGAAACAATGAAGAGAGAGAGAGAGAGAGAGAGAGAGAGCAAACACACCGACTTCCTCCTCCACCCCCACTCTGAGAGAGAGTGTGTGAGTGTGTGTGTGTGTGTGTGTGTGTGTGTGTGTGTGTGTGTGTGTGTGTGTGTGTGTGTGTGTGTGTGTGTGTGTGTGTGAGTGTGAGTGTGAGTGTGTGTGTGTGTGTGTGTGTGTGTGTGTGTGTGTGTGTGTGTGTGTGTGTGTGTGTGTGTGTGTGTGTGTGTGTGTGTGTGTGTGTGTGTGTGTGTGTGTGTGATGAACTCTTCAGCTGAAGGTTAATAAGAAGCTTCAGGTGGAGATGATTCACTGAAACTGATTCAAACTGAGGAGGAAATTATTGATTATTGATTTTGTCTGAAATTCACTTTGATCACTTCATCACAGAGAAGAGAGACATGAACACGCGTGACCATCTCAACAAATCTGAACATCATTTCAGACTCGTACTGCGGGACAGTTTCACAGTTATTGATCGTTTTTGATTTCCAAACAGCTGATGAAAAAACGTCAACAAGTTCAGACTCCGACATCTCCTCAGAGGGTTAGAGTTAGACCAGAAATAAAACTGTCTACGTTTGTTCAAAGTTTGATAAAAAGTTTGAAAAAAAATGTTTGTAAAAAAAAAAGTTTGTGAAAAATGTTTGTAAAAAGTTTGTAAAATTTTGTAAAAAGAGAACATAAAAAGTTTATTAAAAAGTTTGTCAAAAATTTGCAAAAAGGTTTGTAAAAAAATGTATAAATTTTGTAAAAAAAATTGGTTGTTAAAAAGTTTATAAAAAATTTTGTTTAAAAAAACTTTGTCCAAAGTTTGTCTAAAGTTTGTCGATCGTTGTCCTTTTTTCTTTTCTTCTCATCCAGATTAAATCGAACTCGTTTTGACACGCTAAGACTCGAACCTGAACTGACCCCAACAAAGTCTAAAACTGACCCTGGTCCAGTCCAAGTCCAGGTCTTAAGAAGTCCAGGACCTGAGAGATCCCCAGATGAGGCGACAGAGAAATTCAAAACAGGAAATCAAATTAAAGTTCCTTATTAAAGCTCAGACCGGGTCAGAGCCGGGTCCCGGGTGGATCCTGTAGACCTGTTATCAGGTCTCTGCTGGGTCTCAGCTGTGTGGATGTTGACCAGGAAGTGTCGGGGTCTCTCTGGACCCTCAGAACAAAAGACTCTTGAGGAGCTTCACTCAGACGTGATGGTGAACATCTGTGATCTTCACGCTGAAATCCTCCCTCCTGAGTCTTTCCTGGACCCGCTTCAAAGATCCGGAGGAGGAGGAGGAGGAGGAGGAGGACGGACACCAGCCGGCAGGATCCGGCTCTGTCACCGACGTCTCTTTAAAAAAAAACACGCCTCCAGATCCTCACAAAAGACCCTGTCAGAGCCCAGACCGGGACGAGGGGGACGAAGGGGACAAGAGGGACAAAAGGAGCCGGAGCCGAGCCAAGGTGACTGCTGGGACACAAACTACAGACCCTCCAGGTCTCCCGTCTTCATTTAGACCACGACAGAGTAGGCCTGCACGACATATCGTTTGATCATCGTCATGGCGACGTACGTGTGCGTGATAGTCACATGTCAGAGCCTGTGATGTTGGAGGAGAATAAACTCTGACTGACATACTCTGCAGGTGACTCTGCAGTGATCCACCAATCACATTCAGACTACCCTACCAGCTGTCAATCAAAATCAGAGGAGGAAACCACGCCCCTGCTCGTGGAGTGAGTCGCTGACACTGACGATGTTGTTCTGAGAAACGCCGAGAATGAAACGAACGAGAGAAAACCAGCGAAGAAGAAGACAAAACAAAATCAAAGTCAGTTATCAGGAATTATTTCAGTTTTCAGGAGAGCATGTGTGTGAAAATCCTCGAATCATTACAGTGACAAAAAAAGTCAGAGCAGAAGATGAGCGTCCAATCATGGCGTCAACATCAGGACTGACCAATCAGAGCTCAGCATGGCGATGACTGTAACTTCAGAGTAAAGCGCTCTGAGGCGTCTGAACGTGACGGTCTCTTCCTCAGAAACAATCCTCGTATTGAAGAGAAGAAGAATCTAAAGGATCCGCTCAGACAAAGAGGACGCTGTTCCCATCGCCATGACGACAGAGGACAGCCCCGAGTCTGAGTCAGATCTGAAACATCCCAGCAGTCCTGGGGGGGCGGACCCAGACCAGAACACCCCAGTGTGACGCAGACTTACAAACAGATCTATCAAAATAAAAGACCTGAACAAGATCTGAACAAGATCAAGACCTGAACAAGACCTGGACAAGACCTGAACAAGACCCGAAAAAGATCTAAACAAGACCTGAACAAGACCTGAATAAGACCTGAACAAGATCTGAACAAGACCTGAACAAAACCTGGACAAGACCTGAACAAGACCCGAAAAAGATCTAAACAAGACCTGAACAAGATCAGAACAAGATCTGAACAAGATCAAGACCTGAACAAGATCTGAACAAGTCCTGAACAAGACCTGAACAAGATCAAGACCTGAACAAGATCAAGACCTGAACAAGACCTGAACAAGATCTAAACAAGACCTGAACAAGACCTGAACAAGACCTGAACAAGATCAGAACAAGATCAAGACCTGAACAAGATCTGAACAAGATCAAGACCTGAACAAGACCTGAACAAGACCTGAACAAGACCTGAACAAGACCTGAACAAGATCTGAACAAGATCTGAACAAGACCTGAACAAACAAGACCTGAACAAGACCTGAACAAGACCTGAACAAGACCTGAACAAGCTTGGAACAAGATCTGAACAAGACCTGAACAAGCTCTGAACAAGATCAGAACAAGACCCAAACAAGACCTGCTCCTGACTCTGATCCACCTGAACCAACAGGTGTCTTCACTGCAGACAAAACTCAGGGCTAAATCTGACCCGCTCAGGTTCGACTGTGACCGGCTGAAAAGATGCTGACAGGATAAAGTCCAGGATTTGTCAGGCTGACAGTTTTTAAATCGCCTGTTTTTTCAATGAGGTTTGGTTCTGGACTCCCTGACATCTCCAACATCAACATGAACTTCAGAAACATCCTGATGAACTCAGAGGAAGTTTCCTTTTTTAGGACCAGAGAAGAAGAAATCTGAACCCGTCTCTCCGGGTTAAAAACTGCGAACTGGACCGTTAAAGGAACCAAACCGCCTTTCTTCCTCTTTCTTTTCTCTCTGCAGGTCTAAGATCCCGTTAGGACCCTCCTGGACCCACCTCCCCGCTCAGAAACAAACGCCGACCTCCTCAATTAGCCCGTTTGGCTTTAAGCGGCGCTAACCCGACTATTGTGGAGCGCTGACCCCGGGAGACTCTCCTCAGGGGGGCCGGACTCAGGGGGGCCGGACTCAGGTCTGAACATGAAAAGAGAGAGGAGGAGGGGGGAGGGGCGAGCGAGCGCGGTGACGGCGGGAGTGAACCGGCTGGAATGTGTTTCCGCCGGGCAGAGTGACGCCGAGGACTGAGGGACGAACGAGGGGAGAGAGAGAGAGAAGAGAGGAGAGAGAGAGAGAGCGGGAGAGGGTGAGAGAGAGAGAGAGAGAGAGAGAGAGAGAGGGAGAGAGAGAGAGAGAGAGAGAGAGAGAGAGAGAGAGAGAGAGAGAGAGAGAGAGAGAGAGAGAGAGAGAGAGAGAGAGAGAGAGAGGGAGAGAGAGAGGAGAGAGAGAGAGAGAGAGATAAAGGTCAGTTGAAGGTTTTTCTGTTTCACTCTCAGAGTTTATTTGAGGGTCTTAAAGGTCAAAGGTCACAGCACACTAATCTAGTCTGCTTCGTCTTCGTCTGAACCCTCGTCTTCCTCCTCGCTCCAGCTTCCTCGCGTCCATCAGACCTGCAGAGACTCGTCACAGAGACGAGTCCGGACCTGTAGGAGGACTAAACCTCAGAGACCAGAGCGTCTGATAAAGACCGGCTCCACCAGAAGATCCTGATCCTACAAACCAGATTAGACTCTGTCTGAAGGTCTCTCTCTCTCTCTCTGTGTGGACCTCCTCCTCCTCCTCCTCCTCCTCCTCCTCCTCCTCCTCCGATGTTTAATAAATACAGTTCGACCCACGCTCCTGTCCTCCAGATTTCGTCTCTGTTATCACAGATGTTTGTCTTCATGGAGAGACAGTAACGAGGAGGACGTCCTTGACGAGGAGGAGGAGGAGGAGGAGGAGGAGGAGGCTCTGCAGCTGCTCTGACATCTACTAAAGACTTCATACTCGCAGAAATCACAACAGGTAACATGTCCTGACCTGACCTTTGACCTCTGACCAGAAAGAGGATAAAAAGGCGACTCCAGTCCTGACAGGAGGAGGACGGACACGGACTTCAGCGGAGAACATCGTCAGACACGAGCTCAGAACCGAGAACCTTTAAAGAACCGAACACACGAGGTCCAGATCTCTACACGGGTCTGTTTACTCCCTGATCCTGTACTGAGTCTGGATCAGAACCCCGTCTGTCTGTCATCATGGATCAGTGTCTGTAGACCTGGAGGAGTGTTTGTGTCGTTCATGAACGATTCGTTCAAAAGAGCAGCTGAGTGAACGACCTGAACTGAATCACTCTCAGACCTGATTGGTTCTTTTCTCTGGTCAGTTGAGCTCAGCCTGACGTGTCGGTCAGGAGTGGAACTGACGCCTTTGACTCTTTGAAGAACGACACACAGCCAATGAGCGAGCAAGTGGGCGGAGTCTCGTGATTCGATATTTGATATCTTTAAAAGTCTCTGAATCCTCGTGAACGACACGAGTCACCCAGAGAACGACGCTGTGACTCCATCAGCAGGGGAGGGGAGGGGCCAATGAACGAACTCGCTGCTGTGTCACTCACTGGTTTTACTGCAGCGACAGGGCGGGGCTCCGAAACACTGACTGATTCAGTGAACGAATCTTTTGAACGAATCGTTTTAATGAACTGATTCTAAAGATTCAGTCAAAAGACCTGATCTTCCATCACTACCTGAAGACGTCTGCTGTCATGATAATGAGCGTCTGCTTCCTCCTTCTATCGAATTTAATAACGATTATTGACGTGTTTTATTGATCAATAATTTGATTAAAGTCAGAGTTAACGATCGTTAGTCGATCTAATAAACCTGAAGTCGAGATAATCCTTCATCACAGCAGAGAGACGTGGATTTGTTTGAAAATGAAAAAGGAAACTTTATTGATCAACAGGATAATCGATATCATTGATCGGTGTTTGATCAGTCGAGGTCTGACATGTTTCAGGTGTTTCCGCTCACGCTGACTGAACTTTTACATTCCTCTGAATCTTCTCGCCGGAGCGGAGAGCCTCGGGGTCGGCCTGAGGGTCGGGAGGAGGCTGAGGGGGGGTTTGAAGGTCCATTAGGGGGGAACGCCCTCGCGGCTCGCAGCACGGTCCAATTAAATTTCCTCCCATGACCTCATCGCATTCTTCTCCAGGAGGAAACAATGAGCGCTTTGACTCCTGAGCGTGTGGGCACGAGCGCGCCGCCGCCGCCTCCGTCCATCCGTCCGCCCGCCCGACTGAAAACATCTTCTGCAGCGAGCGAGCCGCAGCCTGCGGCGGTGTCAGGAGAGCGGCAGGTACCGAGAGGGGGTCAAAGGTCACGGCGAACACACAGCCCCCACTGTGTCTGTACACGAAGCACGGTAATCGGATTATTCTGAGCGAGTTCAGCCGCACAAACCGCCATCATCTGACGAACAGTCCGCACACGCACAGAGTGGGAGGGGCAGACAAAACAGAGGGGGAGAGAGGGAGACCGGATTATACCTGAATAATCCTAAAAAAGAGAGGGAGAGAGAGAGACCGGATTATACCTGAATAATCCTAAAAAAAGAGAGCGGGAGAGAGACCGGATTATACCTGAATAATCCTAAAAAAAAAAGAGAGTGAGACCAGATAATACCAGAAATATTCCAAAAAAGAATAAAACCGAAAAATACCCCCAAAAAAAGAGAGACTGAATTTTACTGGAAATATTCCCAAAAAGAGAGAGACTAGATTATATTGGAGATGTTCCAAAAAAGAGGGAAAGAGAGACTGGATTATACTGGAAATACCCTCAAAATAGGGAGAGACTAGATTATACCGGAAATATTTCAAAAAAAAAAAAAAGGGGGACAGAGACTGAATTTTACCAAAAATATCCTAAAAAACAGAAAGACCAGATTACTCTGATTATTCCGGATATATCCTGATACGGAGACCGGATTATACCAGAAATATCCTAAAAAAGTTTTTCACTTTAAAGAGAAGTCAGAGTTTCTGCTGACTCATCAGGTTTCAAAAATCTCCACTGATCCGCTCAGAACCAGAATTTACTGCTCAGAACTGAGAGAGACAAACCGGATCAAACCGGATCATCACAACAACAGAACCTGTGAACTGGTCCCTTCAAACCCACAGAGTCAGAACTCCAGTTTGGACCCAGTCTGGAGGATCGATCAGCTGATCCGAACAGATCCGTGAGGCCTTCACTGACCCGCTTTGATCAGAACAGAGTCCAGACCGGCACCGTGAACCAGTGAACCGGGACTGTGTGGGATCCTCAGAGAGCTCGCTCCTCTGCCTGCAGGTGCAGAGGTCAAAGGTCACCAGGCTGAACCCAGGCAGAGATAAAAACGAGTGAACGAGTGAACGAGCGGAGGAGGAGGAGGAGGAGGAGGAGGAATGTGAGGAATGCAGCGACTTTACACTCCAAACATGAAACACCGTTCTGGACCTGGACCTGGACCTGGACCTGAACACGCCATGAGAGGTCAGAGGTCACCGCCGTCAGAGCCCTGAGCTCCACGACACTTCAGAGAGAGACATGAGATAATCTGAGATAATCCTCATTACTCTGTTTTAACCTGAAAACTCTGTGTGTGTGTGTGTGTGTGTGTGTGTGTGTGTGTGTGTGTGTGTGTGTGTGTGTGTGTGTGTGTGTGTGTGTGTGTGTGTGTGTGTGTCAGAGTTTAAACTGGGTCACACTGTTACTCATTCACTCAGAGTTAATCTGTAACCTGCTCCTAAAGAGAGGAATGCACCTGAACGCCACTAAGGTGTGTTTGTTTTCTACACAGGAGCAGCCCTCTGGACTCACATCCACCTGAACACGATAACAGACATTTACCACACACACCTGAACGCCTCGTTTTTGAACTCCATGTGCTCCTGAAGGCCTCGAATTACTCCAACTGGTCTCAGTGTAAATAACTACGGTCCCTGAACGCCTCATCATTTATTTACCATTTACATTTCAACAGTCGATGCACCTGAACACATCACGATCCGAATACACAAGTGTCAAAACAACTCTTTACTCCCATAGTGAGTTCTATCACCTTCAGCCTCATTATTCCTACTGTAAAGATCTGTACCTGAACGCCTCATCATTCATACTTATTCATACCATTTGTTTGTAGCGAGACCTCAGGCCAGTCCATTACAGACTACAGCGGGGTGCCGCAGCTCAAGGAAGAACATTTATGATCATTTCCTTGAAGTAATAATCACCATATTAATCATTTTCAGACGCGGTAGTTCTTCTGTCTTAGCGTCTCGGTCTGATTGTATTTCCATGAAGAAATGATCATAAATGTTCTTCCTTGAGCTGCGGCACCCCGCTGTAGTCTGTAATGGACTGGTCTCTCTGGAAGAGAGTAGGTGAGTTGTGTTTAGTCTCTTTGCTAAAGTTAAAAAGATGTTTGGTGACTAGTACTATGTCTGTGACCCTATATGTACAAACCTCAGTAGATCATGATGTAGTTCCGTTTAGTAACAGAACCTCATTGGAAAATTATCTGATTTAACTTTACTGTGCTCTTGTTCACATATATTAACTCAACAGCACATAAATCTATACCTGTTAACAAAATCATGATTTTATTGATAATTCGGCTCAATAAAAACACCTTTACCTTTTCATTTTACTACAGTAGAAGTTTATTGGCCCAGCTTATAGACTACAGAAGTGGAGAAACGCCCCGCTTAAGTTTGTTTTCTTAGGAGTCAGAACAACTCTGAATATAGTACTATGTCTGTGACCCTATATGTCCTGTTGATGAAGTTAGGTGCTGTTCTGAGCATTATTTGTGGCTATAGAGTGGCGTTTTGGTTGGGGGCGTGGCTCTCTGTATTTCTATCCTGCGGTCGTTACTAAAGTTGGTATAACTAGAGAAGGAAGCGGTCGACAACATTCATCTCTGGAGGGGGGGTCTAACTCAGTGTTACGGTGGGTTTAATGGAATATCCTTTTAACGCGTTTATATTCACTCACTCCACACATGTCCCTGAACGCCTCACATGAATCCCTGATTATCTTTATGAATCAAACCTGTCTGCACTCACACCTTCACATTCAGACTGTGTGTGTGTGTGTGTGTGTGTGTGTGTGTGTGTGTGTGTGTGTGTGTGTGTGTGTGTGTTGTGTGTGTAGGTCTGACCTCCCTCTCTCTCACACTCTCTCAGCTGAGTGTTAACAATAACAGAGAGCAGTGAGAGAGGCCCATTGTGAGCGCGCTCAGTGGAGCGTCTGCAGGATGATGCCGCTGATATCACCGCCATCTTTCCCTCTGTTTGATAAACAGAGCAGCCGCCGAACCGAGCGCTCTGATTGGACAAGAGGAGATTAAGGTGGCAGAGCTGGAGGGCAGGGTGGTGTGTGTGTGTGTGCAAGAGAGAGAGAGAGAGAAAGGGAGAGAGAGAGAGAGAGACACATGTCTCCAGGATTGATAAGAGCTTCAGGTGATAAAGAGTCTGAAAGACGATAAATCGAACTGAAACCTCCTCCTCTTTGACTCTAAAACCTGATTTTGGGTCCAGGAGCAGGAGGTCCTGTGAGGAGGTCCAGTCGGATCAGGACAGAGACGGGTCGACCTGCAGAATCTTCAGAAAGTTCAGGAGGAAAAACAAAAACTGTTTTTGGCCGAAGGAAGAAAAAAGTTCTACTGAATGTGTGTGTCTGTATGTCTGTGTGTGTGTGTGTGTGTGTGTGTGTGTGTGTGTGTGTGTGTGTGTGTGTGTGTGTGTCTGTTAGGGGATTTCCAATTAAGTGTTTTTGGCAGGAAGGGAGTGAAGGAGGAGGTGGAGGGTTATTGTGAAAGGACTCATCCTCTCATCCTCTCATCATTCACTCATTCACAGACCTGACCCGGTTTAAACTGAAGACCCGGTTCTCCTGTCTGAGTCGGTCCTAAAGTTCTGGTTTCAGATTCTTTAACCCTCCAGAGTCCACCTTAAGCCCAAAATAACCCGGAGCCAGATTCCCATCAGACCGGCTCAGCAGTGAAGATCTAATCAGCCCTCGCCCCCCCCCCCTCGGCCCCCCCCCTCGGCCCCCTCCCCGGCCCCCCCGGCCCCTCCCTCACAGACTCTTCACCTCCTTATTTACTGAGCAGTTAACAGCAGAGACCACCAAAGAAGAAGACGACACCCCGCCCACAGTCGTCACCACACCGGGACGTCAGGAACAAACGAGGAACCATCGTCGTTATCGGAGACAAAGAGAGTCAGCAGGACGCAGACCCACCCCCAAAAACCACCCCCAACAGACCCCCAACAGACCCCACAGCTGCAGGAACAAAAACCAGAGTGAGGAGTCAAAGAGTCACAAGGAGGACCAGAGAGTCCACCAAGACCTGAACCTTGACTTTCGTCCCTCAGGTGGGACACCAGACCTCCTCAGACCCTCAAAGTCCCCGTTTTAGGGGGTCTCCCTGAGGGTCAAATCCTGTCTCATCCTCATCAAGCAGATCGGCCTGTTCGAGTGAAAACACCAGATCCTACATTTCCCATGATGCACCTCTCAGTACAGCTGATCTATCCGCTTTGATCCCATCGAGGTCAAGAGTGTCGTTCGACAGTCGGGTTACGACGAAGGTCACAAGGCGGAAACTTTACAGAACATTTCCAGAAACTTTCCAGGAACTTTCCAGGAAAGTTAAACTGGAGAGTTTAGGAAATATTCAAAGTCAGATACTTTCTGTGGGAATTTTGGGAATTAACTGGAAATTGAGGGTAATTTAAAGAAACGGTGTCATCTTCAAACATAAATGTAACAGAAATATAGTCGGCTAAACAGCTGGAATGGTCTTTAAAATATTTATTATTGATGATAATTGATAAAATGATTGATTGGTTAAAGAAAACCGTCTGTCAGGAGTCTGAAGAAACAGCATCTGAGGAAACTTCCACCACCAGAATAAACTCGACCCTTAAAGGGTTAATGAAATGAAAAATAACTTTTAGCACCGATTTTTATTTAAATATTAAAACTATTATAGATCAAATATATTTACAGAGCATGTAGGGGGTGTGGCCTCAACGTTAATTCTCACTAAAGTTTCCGACTTTGAAAATTCACAGAATTTTGCAGCCCTCGTCATTCGACGGTCGGGTTACGACCAAACGCCCTCTGCTGGATCAGACGCCAAACAGCCCCACCTCACATGACCAGCAGTCCTCCGCCTGGTGCTTCTGCGCCCCGGTCTCTGTCTGTCAGGAAGCTGAACCTGAACCTGAGCTGCTGGAGGTCTTCCTGCCTTTGGGAGCAAAAATGTCCAATAAAGGAGCAGAAATGTGAGTTTTCGGGGTGAGCAGACGGTCGTGGAGGACATCAGAGCGAAGAGAAGAGAGCGTCTGTTTCAACAAATCAAACCCACATCAGAGCGGCGTTTCTGCGCAGACACAAACAACCTGAACCTGAATGAGTCAGACTGCAGACGGCCTCAGTCTGACACTGAAGAAGAGGAAACACAGATGGACCGCTGATTGTCGAGCTCGCCGCTTTGAAACTTAAGACGGCGTGAGGAGATCAAAGATTAATCTACTCGTACCACCTTAAAGAGCCGAACGCCGTTTACTGTTCGACAAATACCGAGTCATTAAGCCGAGGTCTGTCTCTATAAACCAAACTCTGTGTTTGGTGTCGGAGCGTCTGCCAGCTCGTCTGACTCAGACTGTGTCTGCAGGCTGTTTACGGAGCTCCGCTGGAGACCATCAGGAGAACAACCGCTCAGCACGCCGCGACCTGTGAAATACTCATCTGATAAAACAGCCAGAGACGCACAAACCCGAGACACGGATATTAAAAATCAGACAAACATGGAGGTCTGCTCCAAACACACAGGTTTAAACCAGTGCTTCTCAACTGGTGGGTCCAGACCCAAAAGTGGGTCGCAGACACGTTCTGGATGGTCACAAACAGCTGGTCAAAAAAGTAAATATTTAATGTACATCTGATGTTTGACATGTCTTTTATTTTGAAAAATAGCTTATTTTGAAAGGCACACGTTATGTCGTGGTCCTCCTGGGGTTCTTCTGAATCTGCTCTGAATGCAGAAATCCAAATAAGTCACATTTTTCATTTTGCTCCATTTTGAGCGTTTTGATATTTTCTGTACACGAAACTTCGGTAGTTGTCGTCCTCAGTTCATGCGCTCTGAAATGAACTTTACTCAAAAAAAAAAGTGTATTTATGTTAAAGTTTTAATTTTTTTTAACATTTTTTTTTTTATAAGAAATTATTTTCTTGGTTTGAATTTTATAAAAGTGGGTCACGACTGAAGGACCATGGGAAAATTTGGATCCCAGAGTGAGACCAGTTGAGAACTGCTGGTTCAGAATCAGACCAACATCTCAGAGGGCTTCATGTGGACTGAACCCCAGCTGACTGAGGTGAACCAGGTCCCAGTTTTATTTATCTGTAAGTCCGGATCAGAGTCAGGATTTCTCTGATGGACCCCAGCTAAAGGTTTCTCGTTAAAGGACCAGGACTAAGTCTGAGTTTTACTGGATCAGTCCAGAATAAACCGACCCGACTGATGTCATCATGTTCAGACTGAACGGTTTATAAAAAGTCTTATTCCAGGATTTGTCAGGACGACTCCTTTAAATTCAAACTTTTATGAATGGAGTTTGGTTGGCAAATATTTCACTCTGGCCACTCCCCTCTGTGATGTCATGATGAGGGTTTTTAACCAGCTGTTAAGGCCCACAGTTACATCACTGTTGAAGGCGGAGTCTGTGCAGCTCCAGGTGAAGGTGAAGGTGCGAGTCTGGGTCCCGGGTCTCAGGTGGAGCAGAAGAACAAAGACCAGCTGATCAGGTTTCAGGACCAACATCAATCTCTCTGCAGCCTAATTATCTGTTTACCCTCCGTGTGTTTCACTCACTTCTTCTTACCCTCCTCCTCCTCCTCCTCTGCCTCAGCCGAGCTAAAATTACCCTGCATGCATCTGCTTGTCCCTGTAATGCCGCTCCGCTCGTTCACAGACTCTGTAATAATAGAACCCCCCCCCCTCCTCGGACCCCCCCAGATCCCCCTCAGCTCCCCTCAGGCCTTCAATCACTTCCTGCACAAAACAAATCAGGAGTCCCAGCAGGACAGGTCCCACACACACACACACACACACACACACACACACACTGAGTCTCCTCCGAGGTCAGGAGCTGCTCTGCGTCCGGATGAATTCCCACACTGACGTTTTCTTCCCACAGGACAGGAAATGTTCACAGCGGGGTCAAAGGTCGACTGTGTCACTGCTGAAGCTACGACTGAGCGGCTGCACCAAACTCCACTCAGAAAAAGCTCGATTTAAGAGATCCTTCAGTCTGCAGCCCGGGCACAGCCTGGCTGATTTACAGGTTCATTAGACAGGTAATTAATCAGGACCTCAGGTGTGAGGCGCCAGGGACAGACCGCAAACCCCGCCTCCCCAGATTCAAGTCAGGACGCCGTGTGGTTCACCGTCTCTGTCTGCTTTCATTTCCTGTGTTTTAACAGACATACCGATCCTCCGCAGGGCCTTCCTCCAGAGTCTGAGAGTCTGTTAAAGGGACAACACGGACGATAAGTCCGGGTTAGACTGACGGTCTGAGGGGCCGCTTCAAAGGCGCAAACACGGGCGGACCAGAGGGGGCGGGGTCAAGGAAGAATACTGACAAAGGTCACGTTAACGGGAAAACTATAAAACCTGAATCTGTCACATGACTCGGGTAAAAACCAGAACAAGCCGTGAAAAACCTGAACTCTGATCCTGGAGCTGATCAGAGACCAGGAAAAATCCAGAACAAATCCAGGACAGAACAGGAACGTAGTCAGAACAAATCCAGTAAAAATCCAGAACAAAACCAGGACAGAACAGGAACATAGTCAGAACAAATCCAGAACAAATCCAGAACAAACCGTGACAAACAGGAACTCTGAGCCTGGAGGTGCTTTAAGACCAGGAAAAATCCAGAACAAATCCAGGACAAATTCAGAACAAATCCAGTAAAAATCCAGATCAAAACCAGGACAGAACAGGAACATAGTCAGAACAAACCGTGACAAACAGGAACTCTGAGCCTGGAGGTGCTTTAAAAAATCCAGAACAAATCCAGGACAGAACAGGAACATAGTCAGAACAAATCCACAACAAATTCAGGACAAAACCAGGACAGAACAAGAACAAACTGTGACAAACAGGAACTCTGAGCCTGGAGGTGCTTTAAGACCAGGAAAAATCCAGAACAAATCCAGGAGTGCTAACTTGACTGTTTCATGACCTCACTCTGAAAACCAGCCGGTCTACTGGGTCAGGTGGAGTCAGAGGTTCTTCAGACACACAGAGAGGATTCAGCTGGACCAGTTCTTGGTTCCTGCTGATCCTTCATCAGTTCCTGGGTTCGAAGTCGAGACTGTAACTCTCCACCGTCTGAGCTTCACTTTTCATTTCCTACAAACTCTCACTGTCCTTAAACGCACCACAGCCTGAACGCGACCCTGGACCAGCAGGCTGCAGAGGATTCTGGGAGATTAAAGGACACGCTCCGGCTCTGAAGAAAGCAGACGGGTCCTTGAAGGCATCATGGAGGAGCTGATAAGAGTGTTGACTCTGACGGCAGATCCTATCGGAGCGTCGTCTTCACTCGGATTTCTGACTGTTTAGTCTGAGCCGACATGTGGGGGAGGGGTCTGAGGGTCTCACTGAAGGGACCCTTTAAAAAACAGACAAAGTCAAGAGTACAGGGGCTTTAGAGGGTCTGGGGGGGCGGACTTTCAGAGACCAGGACCTCACAGCAGTCCTTGGTGAAGTTCTCGTTGTTTTCATCGACCTTCATATTTAACTGAATCAGCCGTCAGTCCTCGGAGCGCTCTGCTGTCACCTGACATAAACCTGCAGACGACGCTCAGGGCACGCTCAGCCCCTCTTCGGTTTAAACACAGACTCTGAGAGCAGATGCTGCGTTCACTGCCTGCAGCCAAAACAAAAAAACGGCAGCTTCTGTAAACCCTCATAATCATCCGCTGGAAACCGATCAGCGTCTAATTACAGCGTTTCTACTTCCTGTGACTTCATCGCCATCTCAGCGCCGCCGAGGTTTGATCCAGATGTCAGCGCGAATAAAGTTTAATAACAACCTGCTGCACACACACACACACACACAGACAGGAGGAAACACACCTGATTTAGTGGAAAACTGACGAGCTCACACACGCCGTTTCCGCCCACATCAACAACCGTCTAATTATTTCACTGAATATGAAATCATGAATCAAGTTTGAGTGACAGGGAGTGAGTGTCAATCAGAAACGACCAAACTCTTCATGAATCAGTAAATTTAAAGGTGTCCCTGAACGCAGCGCTGTCCCTGAACGCAGCGGTGTCCCTGAACGCAGCCGTGTCCCTGAACTAAGGCTGCACGATATTGGAAAAAAATAATATTGCGATTTTTTCAACCCTGCGATATATATTGCGATATTAAAAATACAGGAATTTTCACCAGATGACCTGAATAGCACTTAATGTTATGCTGCACTGCTGAAATCTTGAGGACAGTTAATCTGCACTGATCTTACCTCTTTTTGTGAATGTTAGTAGAACGGCTTCTGTCTGTCTCAGAGATATTTTTAGCTTTTATTGTGCTGGGACGTTATTGTGGCGACAGATGAACACAGAAGACGTGTTTTGGTCGACATCATCCTTCTTTTAACCGAAATAATTCCAGATAACTGACTTTCCTTTTCTTTTTGGCAACAAATCTTCATTTTCGGTGGTTTTCGCTTGTTCGTTGTTCATTTTGCGATCGTTGTTGTTGTTGTTAGCGGTGTTGTGCCGAGAAACGCATGTCCTCCGAGAATTGCATGCACCTCGCAAAACGCGCACTGCTTATAGTAGAGTGGTCCACGGAAATGTACAATTTAAAACCCATACAGTTCTTATTTGTTGGGCTTAATAGTCATGAGTAAAGTTCCGAAAGTAATTCTCAGCGGACACACGTCTCCCTCCATGTGCAGAACATGTGCAGGGGTGGGTTTTCTCCTCCCTGATTTTGATTGACAGCTGGCAGGGTAGTCTGATTGGCAACTGAGAAGTGAGTCTGATTGGCAACTGAGTTAAGGACGAATGTGATTGGTGGATCGCTGCACAGCACATGCAGAGTCACATGGAGTGTATCTCAGTCAGTTACCCTTGAAATTAAATGAGTTCATTCACCTCCAATATCACAGGCTCTGCGATGTGACTATCGCACACACGTACATCGCGATGACGATAGTCAAACGATATATCGTTCAGGCCTACCCTGAACGCAGCGCTGTCCCTGAACGCAGCACGGGCCTTTTAATTAACAGGAGGAGAGAAGAATGTGGAGAGCGAGCTTCAAAGTGAGCAAACAGAGAGCAGCAGGTTAAACAGACGAGAAGAAAAGGACGCTGTTTGTTGTGAGTGGGTGGAGGCCGGCGTGTCGGGGGGGTGGGGGGGGTAAATAAAGACCCTCCAGCAGCTGCACCCTCACCTGGAGCGGGACGAGAACCCTCCAAAGATCCTCCTTTAATTTTCACACGTTCATTTCAGCAGGAGGATCAAAGATCTGAAGGAGGATCTGGAGGATCGGGGACTTTAGGAAAACCGGGTTTTAACAGCCGGGTCAAAGGTTCGGATCAGAACCACGCTCAGACACGTTCTCTAGGTTCACCTTCAGGACTTAAAAACTCCAGAACCTGAACCAGAACCAGTCCAGCAGCTCTGCAGAAACGTCCCGGACTCAGAGAGAGGACGGAGGTTTAAGGACGGGGGGGTGACCACACAGAAGGAGAGGCCCCTCCCCCACCGCTCCTCCTCCTCACTAAAGAAAAGACAGAGGGGTCTGTGAGGTCTGAGGACCCCCCCTCTGATCTCCTGATAGGACCTGTCCCCCTTTGAAGGGGGTCCGGGACAAAAGTCTGGATTCCTGACCCTGAGATCAGACCTGAAGGGGACACACAGACCAGGAAGAGGTCCTCTCTAATCCGGAATCCTCTTCACTCGGCTGTTCCACCTTTTATTAAAAACACTTTATTAAAAACTTAAAAAAAAAAACTTTAGTTAAAAACTTTAATTACATTTTTCTTATCAGTTTGAATAAATAAAAATCTATAAATAATTAAACCACGACACGTTCACCACCTCACTATCAACCGCCATTTTTAAGTCTCACGTCTACAGCGAGCATAAAGAATGACTTCAGCCTCTAATGAACCAATCAGAGGACAGCACCAGATCAGCACTTCCTGTCTCTAACAGCGAGAATAATGAAGTGATGGTGAATGACGGTATCATGATGATGATGATGATGATGATGATGATGATGACGGTCAGGAGGATCCTACATGAGCGTGTGTCGAGGTCCGTTAACTAAACTCAGGAGCGACGTGTTCATGAGACCTCCTTTATCCTCCCTGTTACTGAGCATGTGCAGAACTCTCCGGACTTTGACTGCAGCCACAAAAACGAGCGTCCATCTTCTTCTCTCTCATCTGTGGATGATTCATGAGCAGGTGGTCGTCGATCGTGAGCGTTTGGAGAGGAACTTCAACTCTGTGCACGTGTCTGTTTGTGCACGAGTGTGTATTTGTGTGTGTGTGTGTGTTTGTGTGTGTGTGTGTGTTTGTGCAGGAATGTCACGACAAAGTGAGGACGTGGGGTCGTCTCTCTGAGAGGAAGTGAAGATGTTTGAACAGACTTGAACCACTGAGGGTTCTGAACGCACCTCAGCTCAGCAGGGTTCAGGGTTCAGGGTTAGTGGTCTGAGTGGGACCTGGTCTCCAGAGGAAAAACTGAACTCAGAGTTAAAAACTGTCTTTAAAGAGATAAAAAGGTTCTGGTTCAGAAAAACTGGCAGAAATCTGAACAGGGTTTGGTCTGTGTGTCTCCTCGACCTGCGGCCTTTGACCTCAGAGGACGCTGAGATATCCCAGGGGCCCTGAACGCCTCGTGTTGAACCTCCATCTTTGTTTGGAGAATCACTCTGAGGAGTTAGACCAGCTACTGTCAAAGATCTGACTCCAAATCAAGATCCAAAAACAAGATCCAAAAACCCTGAAACAGGAGAGTCCTTCAACGGACCGGGTTCTCACAGAAAAGCTGCTTAAAACTGGACTCCCAGGATCCTTCAGTTCTGGTCTGAAGGGGGCTGAATATTCATGTGTCAGACTGACGGGTGGGGGGTGGGGGGATCAGGGGGCCCCTCAAGTGCCGGATTAACACAAAAACGGCCCCTAGAGGCCCCCGAGCTGAAGCAGAGGGAGGAAGCGAGAGAACAAACAGAAACTCTCCAACGAACCTTCAGCCGACCCGACAGGGACCATCAGAGTCTCTGTAGTCGGAGTCACCGCATGGACTTAAAGGGATATTCTGCTGTAAAATTAATTCAGGGTCAAACCCACCGTAACACCGAGTTAGACCCCCCCTCCAGAGATGAATGTTGTCGACCGCTTCCTTCTCTAGTTATACCAACTTTAGTAACGACCGCAGGATAGAAATACAGAGAGCCACGCCCCCAACCAAAACGCCACTCTATAGCCACAAATAATGCTCAGAACAGCACCTAACTTCATCAACAGGACATATAGGGTCACAGACATAGTTCTATATTCAGAGTTGTTCTGACTCCTAAGAAAACATAAACTTAAGCGGGGGCGTTTCTCCACCTCTGTAGTCTATAAGCTGGGCCAATAAACTTCTACTGTAGTAAAATGAAAAGGTAAAGGTGTTTTTATTGAGCCGAATTATCAATAAAATCATGATTTTGTTAACAGGTATGAATTTATGTGCTGTCGAGTTAATATATTTGAACAAGAGCACAGTAAAGTTAAATCAGCTAATTTTCCAATGAGGTTCTGTTATTAAACTGAACTACACCATGATCTACTGAGGTTAGTACATATAGGGTCACAGACATAGTACTAGACACCAAACATCTTTTTAACTTTGACTCATTTCTTTAACAAAGAGACTAAACACAACTCACCTACTCTCTTCCAGCAGACGCTTGTTTGTAGAGAGACCTCAGGCCAGTCCATTACAGACTACAGCGGGGTGCCGCAGCTCAAGGAAGAACATTTATGATCATTTCTTCATGGAAATACAATCAGACCGAGACGCTAAGACAGAAGAACTACCGCGTCTGTAAAATGATTAATATGGTGATTATTACTTCAAGGAAATGATGAAGAAATGATCATAAATGTTCTTCCTTGAGCTGCGTCACCCCGCTGTAGTCTGTAATGGACTGGCCTGAGGTCTCACTACAAACAAGCAAGACCTTTAATATCACTCGTCCATCAACTGTCCTGAGGTCTGATGAATCAGAATCTAATATTCTTTCAACGAAGAACTGGAAATCATAGATGCTGCATCCTCAGTTTTAAACAATATCTCCAGGTTTAGGAGCAACATCTGAGTCCATCCAGACGATCGGAGAAGACCTTCAGATGATCCCAAACCAGATTCTGTAGATCACTGAGGTCTACAGAACCTGGTCTGGTGGCCTCACCGGCTCTCGTCCTAAATAAATCACCTGAGTTTAGAAACTGAACAGGGTCAGCAGGTTTCTGAGAGTCTGAGCGAGCGGGAGCAGCAGTGCACTGTGGGAAAATCCCTCTGAGTGTCTCTCCGCTCCTCCTCCTCCTCCTCCTCTCCGTCTTTCCCAACCCGTCATAAAAGACCGAGCCCACTTATTCCCTCTGGAGCGTCCAGCTGTTGCAAATTATACCGATGTGAGAGAGAGTGTGTGCTGGGCGAGGAGGGGGGGTCATCATTGTTCGGCGTGCGAGGAATGAGCTCGGCGTGGGAACTTGTTCTGAGCTGAGATTATGAGAGCTGCACAGCTGGACGCCGAGCTCGGGAAACACTGAGGGCTCGCTGCTGCAGCTGACGACAGAAACACGCAGGAAGTACCTTCAAACCCCGCCCCCAAAATACCAGGACTGACTCAGAACCTGGACTCTGCAGCTCTGGGCTACTGTCTGACCTGAGCGGGAACCGCCAGAGGATTTTACAGCAAAGGTTAAAGGTCAAACCCGAACAGAACAAAGATTTAACAACAGACTTAAAAACACACGGTCACAGATTAAGACTCAAGACTTTACGGCTCAAACTTCAGAGAGGAAACGTCAGAAAAAGGAGCGTTTAACAACAAAAACATGAACGCTGAAAGACGGCGTTTAAAGTCTGAGGTCAGGGTGACGAAAGGTCAAAGTTTAAATGGGTGAAACTACAGTTCACAGATGAAACGCCAGAGCAAATAACAGGTAACGCCAAAGTACAAACAAGATCATAAACATGAAACGCAAGATTCTAAACATGTAACACCAAATTATAAACATGTAACGCCAGATTATAAACATGTAACGCCAGATTATAAACATGTAACGCCAGATTATAAACATGTAACTCCAGATTATTAACATGTAACGCAAGATTATAAACATGCAACGCCAGATTATTAACATGTAACGCCAGATTATAAACATGTAACGCCAGATTATAAACATGTAACGCCAGATTATATACACATGTAAATCCACATTCTAAACATGTAACGCCAGATTATAAACATGTAACGCCAGATTATATACATGTAACGCCAGATTATAAACATGTAACGCCAGATTATAAACATGTAATGCCAGATTATATACATGTAACGCCAGATTATATACATGTAACGCAAGATTATAAACATGCAACACCAAATTATAAACATGTAACACCAAATTATAAACATGTAACGCCAGATTATAAACATGTAACGCCAGATTATAAACACGCAACACCAAATTATAAACATGTAACGCCAGATTATAAACATGTAACGCCAGATTATAAACATGCAACACCAAATTATAAACATGTAACGCCAGATTATATACATGTAACGCAAGATTATAAACATGCAACACCAAATTATAAACATGTAACGCCAGATTATAAACATGTAACGCCAGATTATAAACATGTAACGCCAGATTATAAACATGTAACGCCAGATTATAAACATGTAACGCCAGATTATAAACATGTAACACCAAATTATAAACATGTAACGCCAGATTATAAACATGTAACGCCAGATTGTAAACATGTTAAGCCAGATTATAAACATGTAACGCCAGATTATAAACATGTAACGCCAGATTATAAACATGTTACGCCAGATTATAAACAGTTCACACCAGAGCTTGATCAGGTTACAGGTGTTTGATCAGGTTACAGGTGTTTGATCAGGTGTTTGATCAGTTTTAGGTGTCTGATCAGGTGTTTGATCAGATTACAGGTGTTTGATCAGGTGTTTGATCAGGTGTTTGATCAGGTATTCGATCAGGTGTTTGATCAGTTATAGGTGTCTGATCAGGTGTTTGATCAGGTGTTTGATCAGGTGTTTGATCAGTGGCGGTTTTTCAGTCACACCTCTCATCAGCTGTTTCTCTCACCGCGCGGCTCTAAGAAGCTCAGAGCAGATATTTAATCTGGTGAAGGACGGAGGATGTTTTTCCTCGAGGTTCAGACTTCAAAGAGTCTCTCAGGTACTGAAGCGAGAAACAAACCCCCCCCCCCCCTCAGACAGTCAGGGTGAGTCCAGCTGTTTTCACGTGACGCTCGGTCTCGCCTTAAAGCAACAAACGGCGGGTTTGTTTCTCTGGTTCATGTTCACAGTCTGAAGGGAAACAGCGGACTCAGAGCAGACAGTCGATGTGTGGGACAGACACAGACTCTGAGGGAGAGAGACATCTACATCTTTACTATCTGTGCTGAGAGCTGAGCCACAGGTGAACAGAAACACTCGGTCAAACAACGGTTTAAAGACGAACAGGTTCACAGTCTGACATGAGGTGAAACGCAGATAGATGAACCCTTCTTCTTCTTCTTCTTCTTCTTCTCCTCCTCCTTCTTCTTCTTCTTCTTCTTCTTCTCCTTCTTCTTCTTCTTCTCCTTCTCCTCCTCCTTCTTCTTCTTCTTCTTCTTCTTCTCCTTCTCCTCCTCCTTCTTCTTCTTCTTCTTCTTCTTCTTCTTCTTCTTCTTCTTCTTCTTCTTCTTCTTCTTCTTCTTCTTCTTCTTCTTCTTCCAGGGTCTTTCATGTCCCTCCCCCTCCTCTCTGCAGCCTGATCTCCTGAGTCGAGTCGGGACACGTCGTCTTCCTGCAGCATCAAAGACTCAGAGAGCCGAGCTGCTCAAACGTGGCGTTTCCTCAGATCAGGACTCTGACATCACGGCTTCAGTCTGAGCTTTATCCTTTTTAAAGACTCTGCAGAACCAGACCAGGACCACAGAACCAGACCAGGACCACAGAACCGGACCAAACCTCACACAGGTCTGCTGGCAGGGCCGGGAACCGAACCTTCTGGACCCCCTTCTTTTATAAAACCTGATTTCAGCAGTCTCAGACCTGATCATGGACTCTCTGACCACACGGGTCCAGACTACCTTCAGACTTCTGCAGACCTCTTCAACATTCGACACCTTCAGCTCCTACAAAATAAAAGTTTGAAGCACCTCACATCATCTGTGCCTTTATTTTGGTAGGACAGCTTAAGAGAGACAGGAATGACCCGATCACAGCAGGACCAGGACTTGGAGCTTCCTTCACCGTCGCCACGACCGCATGGAGACCTGTGAAAACATGGACGCCGTCCCTGAGACATCAGTCACTGACCAGTTTAAGATCACTGATACTGATGAAGGAAAAACCGTCTCAACCAAACGCTCGACCAACCGAAACACGAGAAAACCGAGAGAAGCAAAGACGTCTCTTCAGTGTGACTCTCGGTGGTCACCCTCACAGACGGCGTTTGAGCCGTTTTAACTGTTATTTTTTGGGTGTGGTTTTGTTACTCGCACAATCACCACAAGGGGGCGCTTCAGGTGAATGGGCAGGTAAAGGCTACAAAAGGGACACAGGTGAAGCACACGGTTTTTACCGCTAATCTCCGACACCACTCTCACCCTCATCAAACACAGATTTACAGTGAAAATACAGAGCTGTCCAAGAGTCTGAGGGCGCACAAACAAAGAACCTGATTGGCTGAAATAAACAGCCTTTGGACCTCTCAAACTGGTTTAATGAATATGGCGGCGGCGTGCAGCCGGCCGTCTGTCAGGACTGCGTTTGTTGGGACTAAATATTTAGACGAGGAGGAAACCGGAGCAGGAAACAAACTCTTCACGCAAACATGAAACCCAACGAGCCGTTCAACTTTCAACAAACACTCAAACCAGAGCCGCCGACACCCGCTCCAAACACTGCATTACCCACAAGTCTGCGGGGCTTCAGTTTGGACTTCCTGCGTGGAGCAGGTTGTCCCACAGAGACCTCTCTGACTCCTGATGAAGCAGCAGGAGGCTCAGCTGGTGAGACGACAGCTGCTTTTTAAAAATAAGAAAATCTGATCCCGTCTTTCCTGCAGGACCTGAGCTCTGCTCTCCTGACCGACAGACATGTGAGAGAGGCCGAGCTCCAGTCAGGAAGAAAGCCCGCCACAGCCGCCGCCGCCGCCGCCGCCGGCCCTGAAAACACGGCCTGCAGGAGGGGAAAGCTGAGTGTGTAATTAAAGACATTTCCATGTGAAGGAGGCTGCAGATAATCAGAGTTTATCACCTGAGGCCACAGAGACTGAGCTGTGAGCAGCAGCATGACTGAACCTCTCAGGAATGTCAGCTCTGTTAAAAACAGTAGTGCTGCTGCTGGAGGCCCCGGGCTCCGGGCTCCGAAATAGACAGGTATTTTTAAAAGGAAAACTAAGACGGCAGAAAGAGAGGAGGGGGCTGGGAGTCAGCACGGCTGCAGATAAATCCACTTTGATTTGATCCAAAGGTGTGGAAATATATCTGCTGTGTCATGATACTGTGACAGTGGACCAGGTATCGTGATATTATCATGACTGTTGGCCGTGAAACAAGCATTACATACTGCTGAGTCATGTACTATCATAGTGTTATGATAACATACGAAACAGATTTATCTCAGGATCAGGACGAAACCAGGGCTAGAAACCAGGATTTATATCATACTGAACCATGAGCTTTACTATCATGACATATTCTATCACGGTATAGTGTTAAATTATAATTATCATGAGCCACATCTGACATACTGTCATATCATGACATTATCATTATCATGGGCCGTGTATTTCATATTATATCAGGTCATAAAATATCATGATATAATTACTATCGTGGACCATTCATGATACATCATATTGAACCATGCCTGATACTATCATGATATTATTGTTACTGTGAGTCACATATGATTTACTGTGAAAGACAGTATTACTTATGGACCATGTATTACTATGAAATACATGACCCATGATAATGATTTCATATCATAACAGGTCATAGAGTATCATGATATAATTACTATTGTGGTTCATACTGAACCATGCCTGATACTATCATGATATTATTGTCATTGTGAGTCACATATAATTTATTGTCTCTAATTTTCTCATAACTTAGCATGATATTCTCATGGATCATATACCTCCTATAGTATGGAGTCATTCAGTATCGTGATATAATCATGTATGACAGTATCATGATTGAATCATGACGGGTACTATCGTGAAATTGTGAATTTAGTCCGATCATGACTAACTGTATCTTACTCTTAACATATCGTGATATTATCAGAACTGTGGGCTTTGAATCAAGCAGCACACTGTCCAGTCCTGCAGTATCATGATATCATAGTTATCATGGGCCATCTATCATATCATATCTAACAGTTTCCTATGGTATCATGATATTACAGTTACTTTAGGATGAGAGTTGAGCACTATGTCGTCTCAAATCATCAACAATCATGACATATATTGTTGGCCCAATCTGACTGACTCTCTAATTCTGTCATAATGATTCCTGATATGATCGCTGAGATTGGCCATGTCTGACCTATCATATCCCTGTATCATGATACTGTTATCATCACTGGATTATGTGCTTTAGTATCATGACATAATCATTATTGTACTGAGCATTATAACTGTGTAATGATATAGTTGTTATTGTGGACCACATACAGCTTATTGTCTCTTCTATCACAATAGATTCTCATAGTGTAGTGTGATATTACCATCTTTACGCCATCCTATCAGAATCATGATTCTACTCTTATTACACTGTAATATGTGGAGTTGTACCGTGTCGTATTAGACCGTCACTGTTGCAGTTTAAGAAGTGAAAAAGTTGCAGAATATGTTTTTGTTTCTGATAAGTTTGACCTGAAGAGAATGAGAACCTCGTCAGATTCTCAGGCACCGATCAAAGGAGGTACTATGAGGTTTTTCAGCACAGATGTTGCGCCGCGTCCAAAGTGTTGCAACAAAGTCGTTTAGTGAGCGAGTCCACAGAGTCCCACTGTATCAGGATATTATGAAATCACTGCTGAAATTCAGAGGTAATACTGCGACGTGACTCAAGTTTTTACGATGATAAAAAGTCGTGAGTTAAACAAACGAGCAGAAAGTTTCCTCACACACTGGGACTGAACTCTGCTGCTGTGTTTACTGTGAAAAGCAGACGCTCCCTGCTGCTTCCTCTGTTATTTACACTGACTGATGTGTTGGGACTGATTCTGAACACAGCTCCACTTCCTTCAGGAGACACTGGGAGACCAGCTGTCCTCAGAGGACGCCTCAGCACCCCTCCTCCTCCTCCTTCTTCTCCTCCTCCTTCAGGACACCAGGCTGCTACCTTCACACCTCAGCAGAGAGCAGAACAAACACTGGAAATCACAAAGTCAGTGTGATCCAGCTTCAAGTGCTGCTGTTCCTGCTGGGACAGGCTGACCCTACAGTCAGGTCAGAAAATAGCTCCAACCCCCACACCTCTGCCTCCACACACACACACACTCCTCCACCCCCAACCATGAAAACTATGCCCTCCATGCTCCACTGCTGGAGGCAAAAATCCCTCATTTCCAAACTCTGCAGGTTACATCACTGATTTAGTGTCTGCTCTGATCATCTGAACATGACGAGCACAGACACAGCTCGGAGAAGCTCCTCTTTCAGCTGCTCTGAAGCTGCTTCACTTCCTTCATGTGGGAAAAAAAAAAGTTCAACACAACAACAAGTCTTTTATCTCCAACGACAGAAAGTCCCACCAAACTTCAGTAACAACTTCTTCAATTTTAGACCAAAAGGCGCAACTGTGCCTACATCACATCTTATTTTCACTGTGATGACTCCATTTTCAACCCGGAGCACAGCTAAAGAAGCAAATCTCAGTCTGCTTTGTGAACTTATCAAACATACTTTTCTCACAGCTGGATCCGGCGACACAGAGGCTGCAAACAACCCCGATGAGAAAACTCTTATTTCACTGTGTAGATTATAGTTTAAGGGTTTTTATATATGCCGAATAAATAAACACTACTTCAAACATTGACTACTAAAATATCACTTTGATCTGAGAGATCTCCGTCAGAAACAAGCCAAAAAACGACAAAAATAGACGTTTTTTTCAAGAGGGTTCGGCACGGCGGATCTCTGGCGCAGGAAGAAGGGGGTGTTTGAAGGGGCTTACCGAGGTGCAGGGTGATTACTCCATTTTCATTTGGGGACACAGCTAAAGAAGCAAATCTCAACCTGCTTTGTGAACTTTTCAAACATCCATTTCTCACAGCTGGATCCGGCTGGAGTGTTTTCAGAAGAGCAGCGACACACAGGCTGCAAGCAACCCTGATAAGAAAACTCAGATTTCACTGTGTACATTACAGTTTAAGGTTTTTTTATTTGTGCCGAATAACTGAATACTACTTCAAACATTGACAACTAAAATATCACTTTCATCCATATGATCTACGCTAGAAAGAAGCCATAAAAACAAAACTAGACGATTTTTTCAAGGGGGTTCGGCACGGCGGATCTCTGGCGCAAGAAGAAGGGGATGTTTGGAGGAGCTTACCGAGGTGCAGGGTGAGGTTGATGGAGTTCGGGTACTGGATCCCCGCCAGCATGGTCTGGCTTTGCCACCAGGTGGTGTCCTGCTGGTTGTTGTAGTCGGTCAGGTAAACGGCACTGTGGTGGTTCCGGGGGTCCCGGGCGTCGCAGATATGGCAGGACTTGGTGACTCCGGTGGCCCCGGTCTGCACGCAGTACTCCTCGGGCGGAGAGCCGCAGGTGTTGGTGGCCACCACCGTTACATTGAAGGCGGCGTTCACGAACTCGGGCATGCAGCGCTGCGCGGAGCCCCGCTCGTCCGAACACTCGTCCATGGCGGCGCGGACCGACACCAGCACCACCCAGCTCAGAGCCACCAGAGCCCGGATCAAACTCGGCATTTTTCCTCTCCTCTCCGTCCTCTCCTCTCGACCAGAAACTCTCCGCACCGCTCCGACACAAACTCCCCGAACTTTTCCAAAGTTTGCTCGAACAGAAGCGCGGGGCTCACGGCGTACAGTGAGCGAAGGCGGCGCGATTCAGCAGCGGCGGCGGATCGTCTTCGCTCCAGGCCGCGTCCAGAGCTCGTGTTGTCCCGGTGAACTGCTGCTGCTGCTGTGAGGGTCTGCGCTCGGCCTCAGCTCTTTGTGTCCTCCTCCGCCATGCACCAACTCCAGCAGGAAAAGACGAGACTCCAGACTACACCCAGTGCCAAACTGCGCATGTCAGGGGCGCAGAGGACACTCCGGCCACTTCCGTGTCAGCCCCCGAGACCAAACTCCAGAAATCTGACCCAAACCCCCCCAACATGAGAAACAACACTCTGACTGACCGTGACGAGTGAATGTGTGACAGGTCCAATCAAACCTCAGCCTCACAGACCTGCAGAGACTCTGTTTGGTTACTCACTAATCAGTTACTTTAATTAACCACCTTTAAACAAACAAATAAAGCAGTAACAGGTGAAAAGAAGGTTCCAGTGAAATAAACCTGCTTGTGTTTTTGTATCACAGCTCAAATAAAGTTTCTGTCGTCTCTAAATCTTTGGACCTGAACATCTAAAGTGTTCACAAAGACCAAACAAATTTTTCTGGTTATTTCACACAGTTCAAATATATATAACATGTACAAATGTTTAATTCTTCAGACATTTTAAAAGTTGAATTTATTCTGAAAAAAGAGGCGAAAGATTTCACCCTGAAGACATTTTTGACACATTTACAGATAAAAAAGAGAATATTGACCAGGAGGAGTAAGGTTAATGTTACAGGATTTAAAGGGTTAATGAGTTTTCGTCACTTTTTAAGTTTTTTTTTCACTCTGAGATGTAGTTTAATTTAGTTCATGAAGGAGGAGAAACTCTGAAAGGATCAGAAACTTTCATCTCCAGCCTGTACGGAGGCTCCTCCAAGTCAACGTAAAGATGTGATTATTCGCTCTTACTACTCTGGTGGCGTGAGTGTCGATACTGGTTAGATACCAGTGAACAACCGTCTGTTTTCATACTGGACCGACTGGAGGATGTCGGTGTAGAGTTATCTTCAGTTTAACTTCATATGGACTCAGGCTCTACATGGTCTAAAAAAAAAATGACACGTTAAAAAGTTTACGAAGTGAAATTAAACAATAACCTTTACACTGACTTTTTTCTTCGTCTTCTGTGTCTAGATCGTAAAACTCCGGTGCATCATCATTATTGGTCCCTGACAGATCACTTCTGTTGTGTCTTTTTTTATTTACATCCTTTTATTTTCACAGTAAATAACTTTTCTTTTTTTTCCATGGCCACTTTTTTGCGTCATTATCTTCCGCTGTTGTTTCTTTTTTTTTTTTTTGCATCAGTAACTTCCGTTGTGACTCTTTTTTATTTTTTATTTGCAGCAGTGGCGATTCTCGGCCACCGTAGTTCTTCCGTCTTAATTCTTGTTTTACTTTATCACAGCTCTTTTAAACTCAGGGTCATAAAGTTTTTGAGTCTTTATTTTATTCTTTAAAATTCTTTTAAATTAGTTTTGTTAATTTTTATTAGACGCTTCTTTTAAGTCAAATTTAAAAACTCACTTTTACAGCTTTTATATGATGCTGTCTTTTCTCTTTTATCTTATTTTGTCTTACCGTCTTTTTAGCTTTTGTTTGACTGATAATCTTTTCCTCTTTAACCTTTTATTGATTTTATTGTTTTTTTCTGTTCATTTTTGTTTTTCCATTTTATCATGACTATTACCATCATCATTATTTTATTATTATAATTATTATTATCGTCTTTTACTCTCCTGCTTCCTGCTTTCTTCCCCCTCTTTTATTTTATTTCTTCTTCTTAACTATTAAATGTTTTTATTTTGGTCCTCATGGTCTCAGTTTATGTTGTAAGTTTTTGTTTTGTCAATCCTGAGGTCTTGTTTTTAACTGAGCTTTTGTTTTTATTTCCATGTACTTTACGACTGTTTGTCAGAGCACTTTATAAACTCCTGTTTTTAAAAGTGATATAAGAATAAAGTCATTAATTTAATTTGACGTTTTAAGATCCCAAAGTCCCTGAAAGTTCCTGCGCTGTAAAACTGTTGCTGGTTGAAGTGACATGAAGAAAATGAAAGTGTGTTCAGCCTCAGATGTTTCAGACCTTCATGTCTGACCTGAGAGTGAAGCTCTGCTCCTCTGATCTGAACGTCGTGTCTCTTCGGTTAATTAAAGGAGTTTTATTGGTTTTTAGATCTGAAGTGAAAATGAAAGACAAACAAAGAGGTGATGAAGAGTCTGTTCATTACCACACAGTTCAGCTGTGATCACATCTTCATCATCATCATCATCCTCACCTCAGAGCACTTTCACCCCTTCATCTGAACCCTGTGATAAAGTCAGTGATGAGTTTAAAGGTGTCGGTAAACAGGCAGACAGAGGAGGAGCAGATTTAATCCCTTCATCCAAATGAAAGTGTGATTGACGAGTTTAAAGACGAAGCTCAACAGGATCTGAAGGAAGAAGAAAAACTTTATGAAACAGAAAAAAGAAGAAAAAGTCTTTAAATATCAGACCAGTTCAGAACGCAGCAGCTCGACTTTAACTGGTTTTAGTCGACGGCGTCACATCACTCCAGTTTTATCCTCCCTTCACTGACTTCCTGTCAGTTTGAGAATTGATTTGAAGATTTTATTGATTACTTTTAAAGCTCTTAAAGGACTCTCTCTGAGCTTCATTTCAGAGTTTTTAATACCTTTATGAGTAAAACTCTCAGATCCTCTGGTGAAGTCCTCCTGGTCGTTCCAAAGTCTTTAAACTAAAGCTGATCGATCTTGTCTGGTGATGATTAAACAAAGTATGATCGATCTCGGTTCTTGTATGACATGAAAATAGTTTTAATTGATCTTTTTGTTTTTATTTGTCTTTTTCCATGTGCTCTATGACTCCATGTCAAACCTCTGTTTTTAAAAATACAAATGAAATTCTTATTATGATCAATAATGTTATGGGTGAGGAGTTAAAACAACGTCCAAATATAAAACAATTTAAAACAGAATATAAAGAATATGTTTTCATAGGATACAGGGATGTTCAATCATAGTAACTATTATCATCATTGTTTTGTTATTTTCACTGTGGGGATTATTTTTATTGCTATTATTACTTTGATGATTAATATTATTATACAATATTATGATATATATTTAAACTGTAGGAGAAGTGGGACTAGATAAGTCTCCACTTCTTCCCACTCCTTTTTGAACATAATTATCTTTTTGTCATTTGTTTTTATATTCTTTATTTTATTATTATTATTATTATTTTATATCTTTAAATAAACTTCAATTAATCAACTTTTAACTATAATTAACATTAAAAAAATAAAGACTTTATTAAAGGATGAGCAAGTTTCTGTCTGCTGTGGTTGTGTGGCGCCCTCTGGTGGTTGTCTGCTGCTACTGTCTGTCGTTTCTGTATACGCTCTCACTCTCACACACACACACACACTTGGACTGAACTTGAGCGAGCGAGTCGACCTGAACAGAAAATCGTTTTTATTTATTTGAAGTTTTTAAAACAGTTTCAGTTTTTAGTTTTTTTAACATTTACGACATTCAGAGAACGGACACAGAAAGGTCAGAGGTCAAACGTTTGTCGAGACGAAGAGGAGAACGTTTTCTTCGTCAAACATTTACAGCGACAGAAAGATCGACACCTGATCGTCAATAACCTCCTCTGTACCCTCCACCTCCTCCTCCTCTATAACCTCCTCCACCTCCTCCTCTATAACCTCCTCCACCTCCACCTCCTCCTCCATATCCTCTGCCTCCTCTATATCCTCCACCTCCCCCTCCATATCCCCCGCCTCCCCTGTACCCTCCGCCTCCCCCTCTGTATCCTCCACCTCCCCTGTACCCTCCTCCTCCATATCCTCCTCCTCCTCCGTATCCACCCCCTCCCCTGTAACCGCCGCCTCCTCTATAGCCGCTCCCTCCTCCTCCATATCCTCCTCCTCCTCCTCGGTATCCTCCACCTCCTCCACCTCCTCCTCCTCCGTCGAATCTCGCCATCTTCGGAGGTCGCGGTCCGTCTCCCATCCTGCGAAATAAAGACGATCTTAGAAACGACGACTGGAGTTTAAAAGACGACTTTAACGAGACCCCGACCACGATGGGGGGCCGGCTGATGTGTGTGAGTGTGTGTGCGTGTGTGCGTGTGTGTGTGTGTGTGTGTGTTTAAATGTGTGTGTGTGTGTGTGTGTGTGTGTGTGTGTGTGTGCACCTCTGGTTGTTGGCCATCATGTTGAGCCCGGCTGCAGACGGTTTGGATATTTGTCGGATCAGGTTCAGGACCCTCTGGTTGCTCGGGTCCATCTGTTGGATGTATTCGGGGTCTTTGGTCACTTCCACCACCAGAGCCTCCAGTCCGGCTCGCAGCGCCACCACGCCGCCCGCCACCTCATGAGGGATCCTCAGCTTGATCCTGCAGCGATGTCAAAGTTCATGAACTCGACCTCAACAGGAACTATTTAAGAGAGACGTTTAGAAAACCGATCTGCAGCTAAAGGCCACGTTTCCACTGCAGGAACCAGGACCTTTGTGCTACCAGGACCAGACATTAAATGGACCCTCAACTCTAGAACTTCAAGGGGGGTCAGGTACCAGAAGAGGTTTAAGGAGCGTTATTTCATTTTCACTGAAAGGTGTTTCCCCCGGGTCTAGAACCTTTCTTGGTACTTAGAAAGATAAAAGATAAAAACTCTTTATCACGTTTGTAAATAAAAATAATCAGTTTGAGAGTTCTGACCAGTCGTCCAGCTCCACGACGTCCCCGTCAGAGCTGATCTTCTTACAGGCGAAGAGCAGCAGCTGCAGAGGACTGACCAGAGTCATCCCTTTAGCCGAAATCGCTCTGGTCCGGATCTGAAACACGGAAACAAGAGGAAATTTAAGAAACATCTACGGGAAATCAAAGAAATAACAAAGAAACAATAAAAAAAACAAAGACACAACAAAAAAAACAACGAAAAAACAAAGAATTTTTTTGTAATTTTGTGATTTTTTTTTTTGCTTGAAATGTTTTAATTTTTACTGAAAACTTTTTAATAACTTTAATGTAAATATCTCAGTTACTTCTTTTTAAATGTTTTCGTATCATCAAATATTTTTTGTTTTTTTTCAAATATTTTTTGTTTCTAGTCATTTAAAATGATTTTGCTTAATAAATTATTTTTGTATTTTTTTTTTTATATTTTTTTTAATTTGCCTGAAATGTTTTTAGTCAAATAATGTTAATAAAAATGTTTTATGTGAAATATTTTTGATTTGAGTGAATTTTCATTGAGTGACGGTACAGTGACAAGTTCACGTCTATTTGGCCTCCAGGGCCACCGTACAAACGCCCCGTCTGTTCATGTTACTGTGTTGTTTGTTTTTTTGATTATGCGCTCTGAGGACCTCCATAAAAAAAGTGAGGCTGACCTTCTCGCTGAAGACGAAGAACGGTGACGGGTAGCTCATGTCGTGGCTGCTGAACGGACAGTTGACGGAGGATTTGTGGATGAGGGCGTTGCGCCCCTCGGTGGTCAGGATCTTCCTCTTCTCTTTGTGGTAGCAGACGTTCGGGTACGAGCCGAAGGTCAGCAGGGAGACCACCACGTCCAGGTTGTTGTCGGGTCCGACGGTGTTGAACATCTGAGTCATCAGACACTCTGACGGGACGCAGAATAAAAACGGATGAAGATGATTTCAGTTACCGGGAACTTTCATCAGACGGAGCCTCTGTGGCGCCTTCAGGTACCTTCAGGGAATCCAGCGTTGACCAGGATCTCTTTGAGCTGCACTTTGGCCTCCCAGGTCATCCTCAGAGTCGCCATGTTGAGACGTTTGTGTTCGCAGAAACGACTCTCTGCCTCCTCGCCGTTAACCCTGAACAACAAAAACACAACAAAAACAAAACTTGTCGGGCTCTGAGAGGGTTCATGACCACAGAGTAATGACGTTTGCACAGAGCGCGCTCAGACCGACCTGACGTCGTCCCAGGCCTGAAACACGGACAGCAGCGCCACGTGGTCGGAGAATCTGCTGCCGGCGAAGTTTCTGTGGACGAAGCTGAGACGTTTCCCCTCGTTGAGAAACGGCTCCTGGAAACAGGAGGCGGCAGAGATGGTGCACATGGCGTCTCCGACACTAGAGGGCGACACAGAGAGGAGCAGGCGTTATCGGGGACCGCAGAGACACGGGGGGTCATGTGACCTGACTGATCAGAGAAGAAGAAGAAACTGACTGGAAGATGCAGCCTTTGATCATCATCTTCCCCAGACGAGGCTCGATGGGCAGACGGGCCAGAATCCGACCCAGAGGGGTCAGCTCCTCGTTTGAGTCCAGAGCGTCCAGCTCTGAGCCGAGACACACACACACAACCACACACACACACAAACAAACACACACACACACACACACACACACACTCACAGAGTTACTCAGAACTCGTTTTTATTCATTTTCCACAGCCTTGGACTGAGACATCAGCTCCTCCTCCTCCTCCTCTTCCTCCTCCTCCTCTGTCCGTCTGTCTGTCTGTTTGTGTGTTTCGTACCTTTCAGAGTGTGTTCGGCCTCAATCACGGCGTCCAGCGGCGGCGGCTCGATGGCCTTGGACAGGAAGTGTCCGATGGCGCCGAGTCTCAGCAGTTTGATGCTCAGAGCGACTTCATGCAGCGGAGTCCTGAAGATCTCCGGAGTCATGTGAGTCTCCAACCTGAACGAAGACAAACAGGTGAAGAGAGGAGGTACTGAAGGGACCAGAACCAGAACCAAGACTGAATGGTTCTGATCTTCAGGGCATTAAAAACAGACAGGACTCTGGAGTGGAGATCACCACATGGAAAGGACAACTGGACTTAGTGGAGACGTTTAACCAATGTGGAAAAACAGAAAAACAACAAAGAATAAAAAAGAATAAAAAACGGAAAAAAAAAACCAGAAAAATAAAAAAGAATAAAAAAGGAAAGAAACAAACAAAAAAATAAATGAAGAAACTTAAAGGGAAAAAAAAGGAACAAAAAAGAAAAAAAGAAACAAAAAAACAACAAAGAATAAAAAAGAATAAAAAGGAAAAAATCAAAACAAAACAAAAACAAAGAAACAAACAGGGAAACAAAAAACAAGAAGAAAAAAATAAAGAAACAACAAAACAATAGTTTTTTGTGTGAATTTTTTTGCTTGAAATATTTTCATGTTTACTGAAAAATTTTTTGGTATAAAATTAAATGTTAACATCCCATTTACTTCTTTTTTAAAATGGGGTTACATTAAATGTTTTTGTCTCATTAAATATGTATTTTTAATTTATTGGTTTCTCGTTATTTGAAATGATTTTGTTTAATTTATTTTATTTTTGCATTTCATGATTTTTTTTTACTTTCCCTGAAACGAACGAGAAATCATAGATGCTGCATCTACCACTGTGGTCCAAACTGGACCTTCAAAGAGGAGACCAGATAGAACCAGGATCCAGAACCTCAGGACGTCTCACCTCTCGAAGCGAGCGTGGCTGCAGAGGTGGAAGCAGAACCCGGGCCGGACTCTGCCGGCTCGGCCCTTCCTCTGCTCCAGGTTGGTCTTGGAGGCCCAGACGGTGGCGTAGTTGGTCATGTTGTTGTGGGAGGTGAAGAGCTTCACCTTCTGCCTGTCAGGAAGAGTCAGAACCGGTTTAACCTTCAGACCCAGAACTAAACCAGGACCCACACCGGGTCTGTCAGAACTCACTTGCAGGAGTCGATGACGTAGACCACGTCGTTGATGGTGATGCTGGTCTCTGCGATGTTCGTGGACAGAATCACCTGAAAATAAAAAAACACGTCTGAGTCCGTTAGAGAGACCAGACCCAGGATTGGATCAGAGACGGCCCGGTTCATGGTCTACAGAGTCTCTGACCTTGGTGACGTTGTCAGGAACCGGTTCAAACACCCTCCTCTGCTCCTCTCGGGGGATCTGAGAGTGGAGCGGCAGGATCTGGTACCGGTTACTTCCTGGAAACAAAAACATCCAGTGTCAGCGAGCAGACGGATCAGTACCAGGACCAGGACTAGAAACCCGAGGAGCTGAGCTGTAGTACCGAAGTGCGGGTTGGTCTCCAGGTGTCTCTGCATGGAGTAGATGAGGTTCCAGCCCGGCAGGAAGATGAGGACGGCGCCGGCCACGCTCAGCGTCTCGATGTACCTGAGCAGAGCCTCCACCAGCTCGAAGGACGTCTCCTTCTCGTTAATCTGAGCCATCGAGCGCTTCGTCTCCGCCGTGTAGTCCGGACCGCAGATCACGTTACAGTTGGTCTGCAGGGGCGAGGAAACAAAACCCGTTAGTCTGGACCGTTTCAGTGAGCGAGAGCTGGATCCATCAGGGACAGGGACTCACATCCTCCTCTGCTCCCTCCTCCTCTTTGTCTTTCTTCTTACGGTCCATCGGAGGAGGGACAAAGTTGGTCATCTGGATACAGTCCTCCAGGAAATACTCTGAAACATGAAGACATGGGTTCGAAAAGGTCTTTGTCTCCAGCGTCCACTCCAACACAATACACTACCAAACATAATACACTACTAACCTCAATACACTACCAAACACAATACACTACCAAACATAATACACTATCAAACTCAAAACACTACCAAACACAATACACTAATAACCTCAATACAATATGAAAACTCACTACACTACACAATACACTACCAAACATAATACACTACCAAACTCAATACACTACACTACCGAACACAATACACTACCAAACACAATACACTACACTACACTACCGAACACACTACACTACACTACCGAACACAATACACTACCAAACACAAAACACTACCAAACTCAATACACTACATAATACACTATCAAACTCAATACACTACCAAACACAATACACTAATAACCTCAATACAATATGAAAACTCACTACACTACACAATACACTACCAAACTCAATACACTACTAATCTCAATACACTACCAAACACAATACACTACCAAACTCAGTACACTACCAAACACAATACACTACCAAACACAATACACTACCAAACACAATACAATACCAAACACAATACACTTCACTACCAAACACAATACACTACCAAACTCAATACACTACCAAACACAATACACTACCGAACTCAATACACTACCAAACTCAATACACTACCAAACACAATACACTACTAAACTCAATACACTACCAAACACAATACACTACCAAACACAATACACTACCAAACACAATACACTACCGAACATAATACACTACCAAACACAAAACACTACCGAACTCAATACACTACCAAACACAATACACTACCAAACACAATACACTACCGAACACAATACACTACCAAACACAATACACTACCGAACACAATACACTACCAAACACAATACACTACCAAACACAATACACTACCGAACATAATACACTACCAAACACAAAACACTACCGAACTCAATACACTACCAAACACAATACACTACCGAACACAAAACATGATCTCAACCTTCACCTCCACAGAGTCACTCTGTCTCTGAGGACCTGAAAAACTCTCCTCCGTCTGTCTCTTCACTGAGTCTGGACTAACGTGGTCATGGTTCTGGTCTACAAAGACCCTGGAACAGACCGGGTCGCTCCAACACACACAAACCTTGAACAGGGAAGGTGCGTCCGAAGACCTCGATGATGGGACAGTTGAAGAAGTACTCTCTGAACATGGTGGTGTCGATGGTGGCCGACATGAGGATGACTCGGACCTCTGGGTAGGCCTGGACCACGTCTTTGAGGACCACCATGAGGAAGTCCGTCTGCAATGATAAAAGGTTACACTCACTCAGGATCAGAACCTGAGAAACCTGCAGGACCCTGAAGCTCCAGAAAAAGTTTAAAAATGATGATTTTATCGAGACTCACGTTGATGTCTCTCTCGTGGATCTCGTCGACGATCACATGACTGATTCCTCTGATTCCTGCCTCCAGCTTCCTCAGGAGAACACCTGAAACACAGAAGAACCCGCCTGAGAAGGAGGATGGAGGTCTCGGGTCACCTGGTCTCTGGAGAACTCGGTCTCCTTCGGTCTCTGATCTGGGTCTATTCACGTACCGACGGTGCAGAAGAGGACGCTGGCGTGAGGACGGGGGAGGATGGACTCGAAACGAACGCTGTACCCGCAGCTTTTCCCAAGATCCTCTCCTCTCTCGTAGGCTACTCGCTCGGCCACCGACACGGCGCTGATCCTGCGGGGCTGGAGGGAGAGAAGGAGAGACGGTGGAACCAGAACCAGAACCAGAACCAGGAGGAACAGGAGCGATCACCAGGTCCAAAAGGATCAGGTGATCTTCTGCAAACATCTCAGAAGTTCAGAGTTTTCATCGAGCTTCTCTCTGTCGTCACGGTTACAGAGGAGTTCCTGTCCCCGCTGAGCGTTACCTGGGTGACCACGATGTTGCAGTCGGACGCTCGGCCCCCTCTGATGAAGCGGTCCAGGATGTACTGAGGGACCTGGGTGGTTTTCCCGCAGCCTGTAGCTCCTCTGATGATCACCACGGGGTTGTTGTTGATGGCCTCCATGATCTCCTCCTCAAAGTGTTTGACGGGCAGCTGATCCCGCTCCGCCAGGACCTGAAACACCAGGAGGTCTTTGTTTCTACAGGCTCTGGTCCAGTTCTGAAGGATTCTGAGGAGGACTTGGTAAAACCTGGACTGACCTTCTGCAGGTTCTCGTCGTGGTCCAGCTGGTACCTCAGCTCAGTTTCCAGGTCGCTGCTGATCTGCTCCGGCGTGCACTGGAGGAGAGAAAAGCAGGTCCATGTTGAGATCTTCTGACACTACCACACCTGGACCTGATGGAGGAACCAAGACTCACGAAGGCCAGCGGTCCCTCGTCGATGTTGCTGCTGGTCCAGGGGTTCCAGTTCACCTGTGGGGGCGACCACGGGACCACCCCGGCTCCGCTCTGACGCTGCGACGGTTCAAAGGTCACCATCTTGGCCTGAACCAGAGACACTGAGCTGCTGGGGTCTTCAGGCTGGACGGGGAGAGAGGAACCGGGTCAGTCCTGATCATCTCAGAACCATCAGTCAGGATCAAACCAAGACTCACCGGTGGGGGGATCTGGACTCCCAGCTCCTGGACGACACTGGCCAGCTGCTGCTGAAGGTCTGGACTCACGTTGACCTCGTAGACCTCCAGCTGGACACAGAAGAAGAAGAAGAAGAAGAAGAAGAAGAAGAAGAAGTGAGACACCGAGGAGATCCAGCAGATCAGTCAGATGTTCACTCTCGTACCATCTCGCCCTCCTTCTTCTTGGTCACTCCTGAGTACGCCTCGATCACGCCCAGATGGTAGAGCTGCCGGACCAGAGACAGGGCGCAGGACTGGGCCGCCAGCTTCTTGTTGGACCCGTGTTCTCGAGCCGTGATCCCTGCAGAGCAGAAGGTAGACTTTAGAGACCTTCAGGAGGAACCGCTGAGGAACCGGTGAGGAACCAAGAGGACAAGAAAGAGGAGAGAACAGAGGAGAGGAGCTGGACTTGAACTCACTTCTGCCCAGATGTTTGACGAACAGCTGCATCTCTGCGATGAAGCTCCTGTAGGACACAGACACACAAACAGCCCGGCGTCACTTCCTGTTCCTTTCAGAATAAAACAGGAAACCTGCAGACAGAGGTGAACTCACCTGCCGTGTCCTCAGGAGGAGGAGGAGGAGGAGGAGGTCTGTATGTTTTTCTGCCGGACTTTGGGTTAAAAAATGAGCAGCTCTGATTCTCCCGGCTGACCTTTGACCTTCGCCCTGCGATGAACAGCGACACCAGAAATCACAACCAGACTCAGTGAGCGCCGGGCCGCACCATGAGACGGCTTTAGTGCACCTAAACCCCGTCCCATGTCCTTCTTGGGTCTGGTTGTGAGTTCTGGAGTCGCCTCAGGGTGGGATTTTCTCAGGGACCAGGTAACCTCACACCTGTCTGCTGCACCGGCTGAATGTCGGCTCAAGGTCAGACAAACTCCATCATCTCGCCAACGACGATTCAACCGTGGAGCCGAGCCGGGATTCAGCCGGTGGGTCTCTGATCTGGATTCGGTGGAACAGTGAGATCTCTCTGGTGTAGCCGACACACTCTGGAGTCTCTGAGTTTACAGCAGCAGGCCGGCAGAAAAACATACAGGGGCGGACCGGGGGGGTGTCTTTCTCACACACACGCACACACACACACACATGCACACGCACGTTACCTGATCCAGGTCGCTCTGAAGTTTCTGTTTTTTTAAACCTTGAACTCTCAGGTGTGACTAAAGATGAAAGACTGACACAGAAAGCTCTTACAGCAAATATATAAAAAATAAAGTGTTAAAGTTTGAAGGTCAAACTTTTACTGAAAATGGTAGAAAACTGATGGTTTTGTTCTTGTTTTTGTTTTTGTTTTGTTTTGTTTTGTTTTTTGTTTTGTGGTCTGACTGTTGCTCGGTGATCGATTATTAGAACGTTTAGACTCTGTGTGAGGAGGTCAGCTGATCTAAGATGTTTCTTCTCTCTTCAAACTGATGGATCAGAGATGTTGTGATGTGACACGATGTTGTCAAACTGAGACACTGACTTGGCTGGAATAAAGAAATAAATCACGACCCCCCCCCGACTCAGTAAAGACCCTCTCCAGCCTGATCTGCCCTCTAAACCCCCTAACAGTCTAAAAACCACCCTCCCTGGTTCTGGTCCAGACCTGTTGTGGTCCGGTCCCACTTGGCTGTATTTATACTCAGCGCTGGTTTTCTCCTTCTGGAAGAACTGGTTCAGACGGGCCCTGGCGTTCTCCAGCGTCCAGTTACCATGGAGACTGGCGTTCAGGTCCACCTCCTCTGACTCCAGAGTCTGCAGGGACCAGAGACAGGGTTTACGTCAGTCATGAAGTTCTGAGTTTTCAGGGTTCTGGGTCAAACTAAAGATCTGGGACCTACAGCCTGGGCCTCCTGCTCGTCTCTGCGGGCGTAGTACTCCTTCAGGTTAGCTCCTCGGTCACTCTGAGCTCCTCCTCCTCCTCCTCCTCCTCCTCCTCCTCCTCCCCACCCTGAGTTTCCTCCTCCTGAGTAACCCAGTCCGGTCACTCCTGGTATCGGACCTCCACAGCCGCGCTCCTCTGTCAAAAACACACAGATGTAAACCAGTATCAGCGCTTTCTCTCAGTCGTAAATGTTTCCTCTCAGGTCAATTATAACTCAACAGTGACGTGCGGTCAGGGGAGCCATCATGGAAAGAGAGAAAATATATAATCATAAAGTAATTTAAATTGTTATATTCATCCGGTGGTTTGTACTAAAAAATATTTATTTTTCATGTAGCTTCACCAATTTCGATTTTTATTTGTTCAAAATCGCTGAATTTTCTTATTTTCCCATTCAAATGCTTGGAAGCGATGCCGGTGAGGCAGCACCAAGCTCTGCCTCACCTTGGATTGCGCAACCCCTGGCTCTGCGCTGGCTGCTAAGCGGAGAGAGCATGTTGCTGTACGGCGTCAATAAAATGGTTTAAACAAATTTAATATGTGAACTTATGTCCAATAATTTAGCTTATGTATATAATGTACAGTGCTTTTTGTCACCAACTGTGTTTGTGTAACGTGTTTCGTGTAATGAGCGATTATAAACGGCAGAGAACAGGTTCGAGGTGAGGCAGGCAGTTCTCTTGCCTCATGGCAGGGGGTGCTCAAGATCCCAGACGTTCGTCTTGTTCACTCCTCAACTGCCGAGTAAGTGACAGCGAGCTAGGCTAAACGATTCGGGAAGCAAGTCAAGTGCAGCGATAGATTATAATAGAGATAGTGATTTTTTTCCTCTCGCTTATCCCGACTTTCGACATGGATGACTACATTACAACACTAAAAAAGTTTTCTCAAGTGGACTTTTATCTCCTGGACAGCTTCTCAACTTTTTAGCCGTGAAGGATCTTGTTGTAACTGTTCCTGAGGCGACAAAGTTGCTCCAGCTCGTGCTCACGGTGCCAGCTACTACAGCGTCAGTGGAGCGGTCATTCTCAGCCCTGAAGAGACTGAAAACATACAGCAGGAACAGGACGGATCAAGGAAGGCTTTCTTCCCTGGCAGTGATCTCCATTGAGACAGAGAGACTTTTAAAACTGAAGGAAGATAAGGAGGACTTCTATCGCAAAGTGACGGATGTTTTTGTGCAGAAGGAGCGACGCATGGACTTCATTTATACGTAAAGGTAAGACAGTAATAACATTTATTTTGTTTTGTTTTTTAAGGAAATGTGTGTTTTGTGAGCTACAGTTTGTATGTGTAAGGATGCAGAAGTGAAACATAACCTGTAAACTGCTGTCAATCTATGCATCTATTTGCAAATCTGATTCTGATGACGTCAGTGCCTCACCAGCTATGAACCTCACCGCACGTCACTGTAACTCAACACAACCTTTAATTCACTGTTACACAGATGACCTGCTAATACATCCACCAGTGAAGCCAAACTATGGCAGCGTGCGTAATTCTTTGTTTGCTGTGTTGTTGATGTTGAGCTGTGATTGGCTCAAAGTTTTCTTCATGTCAATAATGAGAAGAGTGAATGTTCTTGTGTTTGGAGACACGGTGACGGCTGGATTCAGCTCCTTGTTTCCAAAGTTCGTCAAACTGTCAGGAATCCTGTTCTGGTTTTTGAAGAACAAACTGATCATGTTTTCAGGACTCGTTTCTTCCGACTTCGTCTCCTGGACAAAGTCAAAATGTCTTGAAGCCGTCACGACCTCGAGATCACCATCCACGCTCAAGATTCGACTTTTGTAATTCACTTTCTGTTTTCATCTCCAGATCATCTCTAAGTCGTCTTCAGCTTGTCCAAAATGCTGCTGCCCGTCTTCTAACCAACACTAACAGACATGAGCTCATCACTCCTGTCCTCAACTCCCTTCATCATCATCTTCCGTCTCTTTTAGGATTGATTTTAAACGTTTAATGTTTGTTTTTAAAGCTCTTTTAAAAGCCTTGCCTCCGTCTATTTAACTGAACTTTTAACCGTTCAGGAGCTGAGTAGAGCTCAAAACACAAACACTGGGGTGACCGAGACGTTTCAGTCGCTGGTCCCAGACTCTGGAATAAACTCCACACTGAAATGAGACTTCTGTCTGACCTGGGTTTTTTAAATCCTGATTAAAAACAAATTTATTTATTGATGCTGGTTTTTAATACCCAGCAGCGTGGTCACACTTTGTTTTATTGCTTTGTATTTTATTCTTTTTGATTATTATTTATTTTTATCTTCTATTGTAAAGCTCTCCGGTTCACCTAAAGGGTTGCATAAATAAACATTTACATACAGCTGGTTTACGGTTCGATACCTTGTTCGGCTTTGACGATGAGGTGAGGAGGTAAAGGACCGCTGGACGGGAGCAAACCAAAACCTGCTCCATTCCCTCCTTCTCCTCCTCCTTCTCCTTCTCCTCCTCCTCCTCCTCCTCCTCCTCCTCCTCCATCAGGTATGTCGACTGGAGCGCTCACCTGAGGACACATACAGACCCCATTAGACGGATATCTTCAGAGGTCAGGCTGACAGGTCTGGATTAGGAAGGACCCGGGTAAAACGGACTCACCCCCAGAGCAGGAACCTCTGCCGCGTTCATCTCTCCGATCCGAACCAGGTAGTTGACAAAGTCCCTCGCGGCGTTGGACTGAGCGTCCTTCTTATTGGTGGAGTTTCCCATCCCGGTGTAGTTGTAACCTTCAACACGGACCTGAAGGGAGAAGACGAGGGTTCGAAAACAGGCGAGAGACGTACAGACGAGTACCTGATGACATTAAAGGAGACAGAGAGCAGACTCGCTCACCTCACACATGAACTTCTGCCTGTTCTTGTTCCCTGCGGCCCGGATGTCGTAGCTTGGAGTCATCTTCTTCTTCCCGCACCAGGCGTACAGGAAGTTCTTGATGTCCTCCATGACAGGCAGACGGACGGGGGAGTTCTCTCTTCTGCAGACCCCTTAATCTGAGATTAAGAGTCAATCAAACATGTTCAAAGTCAAAGTAACTACAGTGACAGTGTAATCTTAATGAGTGATTATTTACATCTTAGTGTTTTTAAATTAAAGTGTGGTCAATGAAGGCAGTTTGACTGATACAAACTTGTGCTGATAGTATGTTAAATCATTTAAATAAACTATAGTTTTGAGCTTAGTTTCCTGTACTAAGATAACCATAAACAAAAGCACTATTTTCTACCAGACCTCAGAGAAACAACCCTACATCCTAACCAAACTTCATTCATTTTTCCATCATTTTAATATTTTGCCCTCATCAGGGGAATTTTCTCACTGATTTTGTAACTGAACAACTGTGTTCATTAAAAATCATCTAACGTCTTATTCGGGCAGATTTTAAAAGCACAAAAGTTATTAAAACACCTCCACCTCTTGGTCAGTATAATAATGCTCAGTGAGTTAAGAGGCTAATATCATCAGAAAATTTGAACAGGGTTTGGTTCGCAGCTCTAATGGAACATTCTCCCCGTTAAATTGTTTTACCGATGTGCAACATCTCTATAAAACCACGATTTAGTTAACGGTGTAGAATATTTCAAACAATGTCTTTAATTAACCTCACTTTGTTCGCATTTATGAAAATGAGCGTAAAGAACAAAAACGTGTCTCTGAGGAGCTAATGAAGCTAACGTTAGCTTTAACATACAGACGCGAAACTGTGCCTAATTCAAACTTATCTGTTCGGTTTTAGAATCAAACAAGTCTTTACTAAAATCATTTTATAAAAATATTAATAAACAGCACGTTTGAGACTCACAGACAGAACAATAAGGATAAAAGTCCAGCTTCAGTGTTGTTGTCGCTGCTCAGTGTAGGACGGTAGAGTGTCGGTTTAGAGCGCCTCCTGTCGGACTGGAGGTCGAACCAACAAACAAACAACAAAATGGTGACCTCACACTCTTTACAGTTCAGTGTTTTTTTTTTAAAACAATAATAATGATTTAAAACACGAAAAGAAAGTAAAAATATGAAGATAGATGTTAAAGGGTAATTCATTAATTTAAGAAAAAGATATCTGCTTATAAACCCACCATTAAAAGCTGTGTTGCTAAGTGTATGTTAAGTGTGTTTGCGAGTGTGTCTTTGAGTGTGTATGTGTGCTTGTGTGTTTATGTATTCACAGGGCCCACCAAAGCCATAATTTTGTTCTGATGTTTTTTTTCAAACTTTCATCTCTCTTGGTTTTCAATAATCAGCTTTAGTTCTCATGTATCACTGTTATATAAAGTTCCTTTATTGTTTCTGTAGGTAATGTAATAAAAATATGCTGATGTTTTCAGGTTAAAGAAGCAAACTCACAGTTTTATGTTGTGAAAGAAACTGGTGCATTTAGTGATGTAGTTTGATGCAATTTTTAAATCTGTGCGTTGGTTATCTGTGTCTAATTTTAGAGTGGATTTTAAGTTTTTTTTTGTTATTTTTTAAAGCTTTTCATGGTCCTTCTTATTTTACCGTATGATCCTGGTAGAGCCCTCAGGTCTTCGGGTCTTTTAATTGTTCCCAAAGTAAAAACTCAAACATACGGTGAATCATCGTTCCAACATCATGGTTCCCATCTGAGGAACAGCCGACCTGCAGACCTGAGAGTAGGGCCATAAAAACCCCTCAGCTTCAGGGCCGACCGTTAGGTTAAGGCGTCTCTGATCATTGGGGGAAAAGTCAAAAACAGATCCAGCATCCAGGATTTCAAACACGAGAGTCACATTTGATTCTCAGCCCACGGGAGATTATTCTGTGGATTTGGAGACCCCTTGTGGACACAGTGTGTAGTGTTAGGTCTAAATTCTGTAGGAGTGTTCGTATCTGGAATGACTCTGATCTTTAATAATAAAATCATCATTTTATCCTGTTTTCCTTTGAAAATCCAGATTAAAGTGATCTGGATCAGCTGGTCCTGGATTAGATCTGATCCAGATTGAAGCGTTCAGACCGCAGAGTCCTGATGACTGATGGGAAATCTTTCCATCCAAAATGAAAACACAGAAATATGTGAGACATTCCTCCGACACGGTGTGTGTGTGTGTGTGTGTGTGTGTGTGTGTGTGTGTCCCTGAAAAGTGAACTCATGTTGAGTAACTCTGAGATCAGCCAGGTGTTGATAAGGTGTGTGTGTGTTCAGGGTGTGGTGTTGACACGGCAACAGGAACAAGCCGGGCGTGGCTGTGTGTGTGTGTGTGTGTGTGTGTGTGTGTGTGTGTGTGTGTGTGTGTGTGTGAGCAGGCAGAGGCAGGGTGTGTGTGATGGATCATAATGTGTCTGAGGTTCAGGGTGTGTCTGCAGCCTGAGGAAACGTTTGACAAAGACACAGAAATCAGCGCTGCAGGCGTCTGAGATTCACTGAGAGACACAAACAAACACAACACCGTCTCTGAGAGAAGGACTGGATCAGAACCTCCTCAGGTCAGGTTCTGGACTGTTCAGGGTTACATAATCCAGACTCAATCTCTTACCGTGTGTTACAGTCAGGTTCATGAACTCCTCCTGGTTCTGGTCTGGGTTCTAGAGTCTCTGCAGAAACACTGAAGCACCGGTTCTGTTCACTCAGAGGAGGATTTTACAGGTTCATGTGGACGGAGTAGACAACGTCAGAGTCCAGATTCTCCTGAACCGGTCTGAGGTTTTTAGGTAGAGCACACCAGGACCTGATTTTAAAAGGACTAAAGAAGTTACCAGACCGTACTCAGGAACTGGAAAACAAGACACTAACTGGTCAAACAAACATCAGACTGGTGAGACATCCTCACAGAATTAACAGATCTATGGAAAAGATCTCCAAGACCAGACTCAGTACTTTGAAGTAAACTGGACCCCTCTACTTCTCAGAGCCCGGCCCCCCAACCTCACAAGTGAGGACTCAAAAACATCATTATTATTATTATTTTTTATTATTATTATTATTATTTTATTATTATTATTATTATCATTATTATTATTATTATTTTTATTATCATTATTATTATTATTATTATTTTATTATCATTATAATTATTATTATTATTTTTATTATCATTATTATTATTATTAGACAGGAGTATCACCTTATGTTCAGCAGACCACATTTTATCTTACTTCTGCTCGGTTCAGCTCTGTTCTCAGTTTTCATTCTAGTCAGGTTTTTGTTATTTACTCCTTCGATCGGTTAGAATTAAAGAGCCGAGGACGAGGGACAGACACAGTCTCTATATCAAAGTGATAAAGTTAGGAGGCTGCTCGGACAGAAGTGCAGAGGAGCGTGTAGGACTGCAGCTCTGCTTGTGACTGATACTCCTGTCTCATTTGTGTTTTTGCTCTTTTTTTTGTTGATGTAAAATTATCTTTCTTTTTCTGTTTTCTTGTTTTCGTCTTCGTTGGTGTTGTTTTTTTAATTTCTTGTTTCTTTTATATCACACTTCACTCTTTTGCATGTTTTGTTAAATGTTTGCAATAAAAAAAGTTCTAAAAAAATGAAACTACAGCAACACCACGTAGACAAACACACAAACACAGTTTACAGGAAGATCAAGTTTAGAGTTTTAGCTGAGCATCCAGCATCCATCCATCCATCCATCCTTCCTTCATCGGTCCATCCATCCATCCATCCATCCTTCATCCATCCATCTGTCCGTTCATCTCCTTCATCAGGTTCTGGTCCCACAGTCAGACTGGTTTCTTCTTCCTCTCTGGTTTGTGTCGTTCTGAGGGACTCTGAAGATGAGGAGATCTGTTGAGACTCAGAGAGCAGACAGAGGAGCTGTTTCTGTCGATGGTTGAAGATGAAGTCACTGTGAAACGTTTACGGCAAACACGGATCAGTCATCCTGAAGGACACCGCAGAGACAGTTCACTGTTTTTGATTTGTGAAAGTTTCCCGTGTGTGTCTTTGTGTCTTTGTGTCGTTCAAAAGTTTGTTGGTTTATTGACAGAAATCCTCTCTTCATTTCTCAGACCATGTTTGTTTGTTTGTTTATGTTTGAGCTCCGGGTTGATCTCAGCTGATAAAGTCTGATAAAGCTGCTCTCTGACGGTGTTTCATTAACTTTTATTGGCATCATTCACCCTGACCGTCTGAATCAGAATCTGAGTGTTTCGTTTCTATTTTCTGAACAGAGACGCTCTTCTCTTCATTTTCAACAACATCGGATGTTTCATTCCTGTCCTGTAAAACCTCTTTGTGTCAAAAACATGTAAATATGATGGAAGAGTCCCAGAGAGAGACGGCCAGAACAACGCCCGCCTGTCCCGGCACACACACACACACACACACACACACACACACACACAGGCTGCCGTCATATCCTCTGACTGTGTGTGTGTGTGTGTGAATCAGAGTGAGTGAGTGTGTGTCAGTATGCGAGCGTGTTGAGGCGTGCAGCAGCAGAGGACATAAAAGTGAGTCTGCGGGCAGGTTAGGGATCAGTTTAGATTTGAACTTCGGAGCAACAATCATCCGGTTTGATCAAGATTATTTTTTATCGAGTTTTATTTTATCAGGTTTCATTTTTGAAGGATTGTCGGGGATGAAGAGGAGCAGCTGTCTGGTTTCTCTCTGCGGGCTCCTGGCTGCACTTTGTGCCGCTCAGGCCACCTACACACACCACTGTGAGTACCTGAGTGATCCTCACCTGACTTTGTCCTGCTGTCAGCATCTGTCAGCATCGGCTGCTCTTTCACTTTCCTCACTTTACTGAAAACTCCTGAGATTATTTCAGATTATCAGAAAAATCTGCTGTTTGGTTTGTCAGAGATGGGACAGAGTTTAATCTGACAGTGATCTCAAATAAGAAACGAAAACGTGACCTCAGGGCGAGGTTTTCCGTCATGTCTGAGAAATAATCTTTAAACAGTTTAATTGATTTAGAATTTAATAAAAAATGTTAAAAAAAAGTTCAGAGTACAAAAAAGTCAGCTGTTTAGGATTAAAGAATAAAAAATGAGACGTTGTCTTTCTTGGGATAAATCTGAAATATTAACGATAAAAAAGTTCTGAGGGTGTTTTTGTCGATTAAAGTGGGAATATTAAGAGGAACGTGAACACATACTACTCTATAAAAACGGTTCTTTAAATGAATTTAAAGAGTTTAAAAAGAGAGAAAATGTTCTGAGAGGACCTGAGTGAACATTTTAAGATTAACAGTCTTTAAAGATATCTAAAAAGATTTTAAGTGTCTTTCTGTGAAGTTCAAGCTGATGATGATTCTTATGATGAGTGGAGAATCTATTTATAATTGTAGATTTCTATAAATGAGACGGAAATGTTGAGGAAAAAAGAAGCTAGAGACGTTGTATTGATTAAAACTGATTTTAAATCTCTCACTTAAGTTTCTACAAAAGAGCATCAATGAAATCCTGAATTAGTTTTTTTATTCTGTTTTCTAACAGATTTAAATTCTTCATGAAATCTGAGATTTTAGACTCTGATCTTAAAATTCTAGTTTTTATCTCAGGATTGAAGCTTTAACCTAAAATCTTTAATCATCAAAGTAAACTTACAAGAAATCTGAATTATTATTTTTATAGTTTTTTTAATTAATCAGGTTTTGAAAAATAAAGTCAAAAAGCTCAGGTACGAAGTTTAAGACTCGTAAACAAAGTTAAAGTTCAGTTAAAAAGTTCAATTGTTTTCTTGAATCTGATATTTTTGATTCTTGATTGAAGATCTAAGATTTTTTTTTCTTGAATTAAATAATAAAAAAAAAATCTTGATGTTTTAGTTTTCCAACCTGCTGTATCGAGTAAGAACATCCAGTTTTATTCTCTCCTCTGATAAAATAATTTACATTTTGAATGTTTACGTCGTTTTTGCACACAGACAACGTTTCAAATCAGAGAGAATTACAAACTCTGAATTTGTTTAATTAAATTTAACAGGAATTAAACACGGAGGAACCAGAACTAAAAGAAAAACAAAGAAATGAAGAAACAAAGAAATCAGACGTTCACACAGAGACTTAAAAAAAACGCTTTTTAAAAATAATTAAATGTTTTTTTTCTATCTGAATGATGAATTTTCCACATACGCCACTCGACAGCAGCCTGTGCGCTCTGTGAGCAGGACGCACCTGTGGGCGGGGCCGTCCTGCCCTCACCTGTGGGCGGGGCCGTCCTGCCCTCACCCGTGGGTGAAGCCTGAACTTGAGCTGCTCCCGCCTCCTCAGGGAGGGAAGTTCTTACCTGACACGCTGTAGTTCACCTGAGTTCACGGACAGATGAGTGACGGCTCAGAGGAGGACAGAAACGTGTGGAAACAGAGTTCTTCCTGAAATACAGAGAGAACCAGAACCAAGTCAGAACCTCCTGAGCTGAGGTCCACCACACGTGTCAGAGCCGGTGTTGATGAGCTTCATCCTGAACGATGGTTTATGGTTCACTGTTTGTTTTTGGTGGTTTAATGAAGAGGTGGAGACAGATATATGTGTGTGCAGAACCTCAAACCAAAACACTGGAGCAGATCTTCTCATGGTGCTGTGATGTTCCTGTTTAGTTATTCTACATCACAGCAGATCTGGTGAAGATCTGGAGCAGATGTAAACCTGGTTTTCAGCTCTCAAAGTGGATTTATGATCTTCTAAAGAGGAGAACACCAGAGTTCATCAGGAGGACTTCAGTTTGAATCAGAAACAAACCTGCTGCTCTTTAAGTGGACCACTCCTCAGGTTCTGGGATCAGACTATTACCTGGATTCTTTGCGTGTACGTTGATGATGATGCTGTCAGGTCCCTCAGGGTTCTGGAAGTGGGTGGGCTCTTCAGTGTTTCATGTTGGAGGAATCTTCTCAGACAGACACGAGTCTGAGTCTGTCTCATTCCTGAGCGCTCAGGTGACCATCAGCTGAGTCAAGGTGGATCAGATACCCTCAACCTCTCAGAACCAAACCGTCTGTGTGGATCCCTGAACCAGATCCCAGAGGATCTGAGGTGAACCTGGTCCAACAGATGGACCACAAACGATCAGACTCCTCTGGGTGTGAACAGAAGTCTGTGTGGAACATCTGCAGGAACATCTCCAACTGATGAGGTGAAGGTCCAACAGGTTAGTCACATGACCGGGTCACCACTCTGTGAGAGACCGCGTGACTCTGGAGTGGAAACCACCGCATGAACTCAGAATCAGTTCATCTACTGATGAGGTTCAGAGCGGATCATGAGAGAGGAGGAGAACCTGTCCCAGGACCTGAAGAAGAGGACCCTCTGTTTGGACCCTGAGACGGGTCCCTCTGAGGTCGTTCTGATTCCTGGTTCCTGTCCTGGTTCCTGTCCTGGTCCCTGTGGTCTCAGTTAAACTCCGTCTCTGTTGTTGTGATTCTTCATGTTTCTGCTCTCAGCGGTAACAAGCAGCAGCCTGTTGAAGCTGTCAGGACTTTAAACGTGGCTTTAAAGCGTCAGCGGCGGCGGCAGCGGCGGTTCCTCTGCTGTTTTATCTCCTCTCAGGTCTCTTTGTGTGTCAGAGCTCAGGTTGGGCGTTGGCGGGTTTGGGTGGGGCCCTGTGGAGCCTCTGTGGAGCCTCTGGATTTGTCTGCAGGGCTTTCTCTGAGATTTCTGAACAAACCACAGAACATCGGAGGAGCTTCTCTCTCTGTAAACATCTCTAAACTCTGATTGGTCGGAGGGAAAAGCTCGGCGGGACTTTCAGGAAACCCCGTTTATTTTCACGGACAGGCGGCCCTCCCTACTTTATTCAACACTCTGTTTCTTTCATCCCAAAGACTGAAATCACCTCTGCATGTTCTGACATTAGACCTCCATGTTTCTGCACTCCTGAATTCCAGACGAGTCGACTATGAAGAGCGAGCGCTAACTCGGACTCTGTTTTTACGGTTTATTATGAGTAAACAAGAACATTTGTCTTTTTATATTATTTAATTTGGTTTTTATTCCACTAACAAAGTGCAGTATCACTCACCATGCGGCTGTTTTACCTTTTTAGTTTTTATGTTTTTATTTTTCTGTATATTAAATTTAACATCATTCTGCGATATGGAGGCCAAGTGACGACATTTCACTGCAAAGAGAAATCACTGCAGTGTTTAATTCAGCGCGATGACAGATAAAGAAAGTCGCAGTCAGATGGTCTGTCCCAAATCACGTACTTCCACACTAAATAGATTCAGTCGCGCAGTGATTGAGTTTTGCAGAATTATCCCAAATCGCTTACTGCCGCGCGGCGCCCTCATCGGGAATGACGACGCGATTTTCTTCTTCTACGCCAGTTTGTCACCGGCTAGCTCTGCATCAGCTAATTACACCACCTTTTGCCTGCGTTCGTTCGTCCACTTTTGAGGTAAAATCAGCAACAAAGTGAACGTTCATCGCTCATTTTTACGTCTCAGTCTGCGCCGACATCGAGCGTCCACAGTCTGATACTCAAAATCTTGACCGGTTTGCGTTCGTCATCCGGGTCCTTTTGACTACTCAACTTTCACATACTGTGCACACTGTTTTTTTAATTTTACGTTGAGTATATTAGTATTTAGTATGGAAGTAAACGTTAGTATGCATTATGAGTTAGCCTGACCCTGACCCAGGAGAGGGAGGAGGAGGAGGACGAAGGTTTTGCCTAAACTGAATCTATAACTGAATCTATCTGCTCTACAGCTATACTCAAATGTGAATGCAATGGGAGATCCAAGTACTGCCTTCGGGACTCATTGGGTCTGCACTGCCTCGACTGCCAGGGAAACACTGAGGGACGGCACTGTGAGCGCTGCAAGGCCGGCTTCTTCCTGGAGGGGGCAGCAACGAGCTGCACACCCTGCCGCTGCAACCTGACAGGTACGAGGAACCGCGTTTCTCTAAAACAGTCCCAACAATGATCGGCTTTTTTCAGGACTCATTTTGGATGTCTGCACTTTTCTTTTCCAGGTTCTGTGACCAACACGTGTGACAGCAGGGGGCGCTGCACCTGCAAAGAAGGTGTCACAGGAGATAAATGCGACCAGTGCCAAGATGGACCGATCGGACCAAACGGCTGCAAGCAAAGGTGAAGACACACATCCCTCTAGATTCTTCAACTTCCTCTTTAAACTCCTTCAGAAGTTTAATTCTGTTGAAACTTCAACCTTCTACCTCTTCACCCTTTAGTTCCTGTTAATTTTAATCTTTAAAAATGTGACTGTCAGCTCAAAATAGAGATGAAGAAAATGACGAATGTCCTCAAATGGGACGTAGTAGGAACCGAGGGTTAAACAAATCTGGCGAGTCCTCCAGAAGAACCCGCACCAGTACCACTGTAAAAACAAACACTTGTAGACTGAGTCAGCGTTGGTCGGGTCTTGGCCTGATGAAAAGGTCCTTCAGTGCCGATGAAAACTCGGGTTTGGACTGACCCTCATGTCTGTTGAGGCGGTCTGAGGTGAAGGTCAGTCCAGCAGATAAAGCTCCAACTGGAGACTCATCGTGTTGTTAAGAAATTCAAAAGTTTGTATCTCCAAGGACTCCAGGAGACCCCGTTTGGACTTAAGTTCTGTTTGGGTTCTTAGTTCTGTTCGGTTCTTAGTTCTGTTCGGTTCTTAGTTCTGTTTGGTTCTGACCCTTCGTGTCTCTTTGTTCGCAGTCGTCGCCCCAGACAGGACTCTGGAGGTCAGACCCTCGCCTGTTTCTGTTACGGCCACAGCACCAAGTGTTCGCCAAAGTCTGGTTACTCCGTCCACAACATCACCTCCACCTTCACCACAGGTACCCTCCCTCCTCTCTGCCCCCCTATGGTTTTACATTTCAAAATAAAAGCCCCTGTTTGCTGACCGACCCTTTTGTGTTTCAGGTCTTGATGGTTGGAAGGCGGCGACGGTGAAAGGTGACACCCCCGATGACGTTCACTTCCGCTGGTCACCAAAACACCAGGACGTGGAGGTGATCTCCAAACACAGCCTTCCACTTTACCTGTACGCCCCAGGTGAGAACAGGCCACGCCCACCTTTTTATATTTACTCTCTTTGTCCTTTCCATCCTTCCCGTGCTCGCTTGTCTCCTTGTCCTCTCCATCATCCTTCTTCGTATCCTTGTCTCATCATGTTTTCATCCTACAGCTTCTTTCCTCGGGAATCGGTTGCTAAGTTACGGTCAGAACCTGACCTTTTTGCTGCGTCTGGACCGTGGCGTCCGTCATCCGTCCACCAATGACGTCATTCTGGAAGGTTCCGGCCTCAGAGTCTCCACCTCACTGGGCGACCTGCGATCCATCGTCCCCTGTGGACAGAAGTTACGCTACAGCTTCAAGTAGGAGTTACACCTTTACCTGTGTTCTTTCTAGTGTCCAGCAGGGGGCGACCTCTCTGTCTAACTGTGTAGAACTCTATGAGAAGATGGTCCTACTTCTCAGTGGACCGTCTAAATCTTTGACGAAGCTTTTCTAAACTGTGAAGGTTCTTGTGTGTCAGAGCGGAGGAACCTTTCTTTTGTAATCAGAGCGAGTCCAAACCCAAACAGAGCCCGGGTTTTACCCAGAACCAAGACGTCTCAGATTGTTCTGTGTTAGTGTGTTAATGTGAACTCTCTCTGGACAGATTGGACGAGGCTCCCAGCAGCAGATGGCGGCCTCAGATCTCCGCCCTCCAGTTTCAGACGCTCCTGCAGAACCTGACCGCCATCAAGATCAGAGCCACCTTTGGAGACAACGGTGAGTCGGACTTTGGCGAAGTTCCCCGGTTGAAGGAAAAACTCGGTCACAGTTTAAGTTTTGGTCTTTGGATGTCGACAGCAGATGCTGCTCACATCTGGACTTCTCAGAGCTTGATGCTGATTGGTTTGTTGTCTTTCAGGACGTGGTTACCTTGACGACGTGAAGCTGATGTCAGCCCAGCGTGGAGAGGGTACCCGGGCCCCCTGGGTCCAGACCTGCAGCTGCCCCCAGGGGTACGAGGGCGACTTCTGTGAGCGCTGCTCGGCAGGGTTCAGGCGCAGCGTCCCCGCAGACGGCGCCTTCAGCTCCTGTGAGCCGTGCAGCTGCAGGGGAGGCAGCTGTGACCCCCAGACCGGAGACTGCTACGCTGCTGATGAGACCCCCGCAGAGCGCAGGTGCACAGACGGATACTACAGGGACCCCTGGAGCCCCAGCACCTGTCTGAAGTGTCCCTGTCCAAAGGGAGTGTCCTGCTCGCTGGCCGTTGGCGCTCTGTGGCCTCAGTGTAACAGCTGTCCACCTGGAACCACAGGTAAGCCCAAAAAACGTCACCGACTGGACATAAAGTCAGCGGACATTCCTTACGGCACAGTTTCCACACATTACTGAAGGTTACTTAAAACCGTTTTAAATAAGTTTAATATAAATAAGCTTTCAGTTTCTCTTTAACTATCATCACATCATCGACATCGACACCATCAGGACTCAGAGTCTGCTTCTCCTCTCAGGTTCAAACTGTGACGTCTGTCAAGAAGGTTTTTACGGCGGATCCCCCAGGGGCGATGGAGTACCCAGTCCCTGCAAGCCCTGCGAGTGCAACGGCCACATCGACGTCAGCGTGGCGGGAAGCTGCGACCGTAAAACCGGTGAATGTCTGAAGTGCGTGAACAACACTAGAGGAAGTAGCTGTGAGCAGTGTGAGCCGGGTTACTACCACGGCCGAGTGACGGACGCCTGCAAACGTAAGGATGAGTCTGAACGAGGTCCTCTGACCAAACTGATGAGAAGAACTTGATTTATCCCTGAGGGGAAACCGCGATCACCACGATGATCCCCACTAACAGATGAATATCTCTCTTCTTCACCCCCCAGCCTGTAACTGTGACCTCCAGGGCTCTGAGTCCACTCAGTGTGATGATCTGGGTCGCTGTCGGTGCAAACCGGGCTTTGAAGGTCCCAGGTGCCACCAGTCCAACTGCCCGGCCTGTTTCGCTCCCATCAAAGTAAAGGTAAAGTTCCTCATAATCAAACTGGAAATGGAAAGGTTCGGTCTGTCGTTGAATTTCCTCGCTCAAGTTTCCTCTCAAAGTTTAAGTTTTCACCTCTTTGACCTTCTTCTCGGGGGTCTGCTGAGCTGGGATGTCAGGGTTGTAAGTGTCTTTGTTAATCCTGTTTCAGATGGGGGTCTACACCATCAAACTGAAGGAGCTGGAGTCTCTGATGAAGGGGGAAGTAAAACCAGCCAACAGTGCCGAGATGGAGGCCGCCCTGAGAGCCACAGAGGAGCTGGTGGAGGACCTGGAGGGCGATGCCGAGATGCTCGGAGGTGAGAGGTCATTCCTACGTGTGCTAAAGGTGTTAAAGAAAATACGTTTTCACTGAGGTCCTCTGACCACACCTCTTCTTACAGGACTGGAGAAGAACCTGCAGAAACGTCTCTCATCCATCAGCAAAAGTCAGCTGGCTGAGGGGCAGGACATCCAAAACATCGCAGACGCCGCTGACGACATCAAAGAACGCCAGCAGACGTACAAGAACAAGGTGGACCAGGTCAAGGCTCTGTTGGAGGAGATGAAACGCAAACTGGACCAGGCCAAGGCCGACATGAGATCCGCTGTAAGATATGACAGTACACACGACGCTAACATGAACTCAAGATAGTGAAGGACTTGGGTTTACTCTTTAGACTGCCTTTAACCCTTTTGGGACCTGAAGGATCCTTTAGAAACCAAAGTCCACTCTTGGTGGTTCCTAGGACTGTTTCACGGTCTCTAACAGCTGATCTTCTCTCCTCTCAGGAGTTTCCTCTTGGAGATGCTCCTCTGGGATCAAACCTCCTCTCCTCGTTGGTGAAATCCGCCACCAGTCTGGCAGACACGTGAGTCCATCGTATTTTATCTCTGTTATTATTGATCGGTGATCGGATTTCCCTTAAACCGAGTGACAGATGACCGTGTCTTAACTGGCCCCTCTCTGTTGATCTTGCAGACATCAGACAAAGGCCGATGCTGTGGAGAAAATCGCCAATGACGCTCTGAGTGACTCCGAGAAGAGTCTGGGTCTGGTCCGGACTCTCATGAACAGAGAGAACAAAGTCAAAGAGACGATCGGAGACCTGAAAACACAGTGAGTCCCCTCTTCCTGTCCGTCCTGCTCCTGGTCTTTAGGCATGTTCGACACTCAAAGATAATATCGTCCATGTTTGTTCAGGTACGATCAGACCTCAGCCAGAGTGAAGGGTTTGGAGAACCAGGCCAGCCGACTGAGCGGCGAGGCCAAAGACGAAAGCAAGATGGCGGAAGGCATGCTGAGAGACATCAGCAACATGGAGCGAGGCATCCCAGCGTCCCTGAAGGTAGGTCTCTACAATCCAGATCCGCTGACGCTATGACTCTAATCAGCGTCTCTAACCTCCTCTTGTTTTCCCATCATGCTCAGGGAGCCGTAGACGCCATGGTGTCCAGAGTGGACGGGTTAAAGGACACCATTAACATCCCGGGTTTGCAGGCTCTGCAGGACGGACTGCAGAAAAGCAAGGTCTCAGCGATGGACCAACTGGCAACGGGCAAGGCCGCCCAGAAGGTACTGAGGGATGATGGGAATCTAGTCAAATGTACGGTGGCCTTGAGGGACAATTCCTCTGAGAATATTTGTGTTTTGTAAAATATTTTTCTCTTGGAAGAATTTAGTTTGATGAAAGGTTTTAAGACTCTTCAGACCAGGACTTTATTCATGTGGACGTCTGAACCTGGTTTGAGCCTTAGAAGAGTTTTTAATGTCCCCGTTAAATTTACCGGCGTGAAGCAGATCAGACCCTGACTTTGAGTTTAGTCCTGGATTTAATCATGTGGTTTTTCTCCGCAGGACTTCGATAAGCTGCTCGGCAGGGTCAACGTGGCCAAAGCCGACACTGAAGGCGCTCTGCAAACCATCAACGGAAACACCAAAGACCTGAACGACGCCTTGAGCGCCCTTCGAGGTAGAGACACTCACAGACAGACCGATGCAGAGAAGACTCTTGCTTTTATTGTGAAAAACTTGACTCCTCCCCCTTTTCCTCCTCAGGGTTTGACCAGCAGATCGCCTCCAGCAAAGGTCTGGCCGACGGCGCCATCTCACGCCTCCCAGGCATCAGTGCCACCATCCAGCAGGCCGTCAACAACAACGCAGAGACGGAGTCACTCCTGAAGGACGTGGATGTGGATTACAACAACGCGCTGGGAACCGTGAACGTGCTGGAGAACCTGGTGAACGGTCTGGAGGTGAGAAGAGCTTTAGAGTTTGAACTCCAACCTGAAGGTCCTCCCTTTTCAGAGGTCATGATGAAGGTCGTTTCCTTTCCTCTTTGTTCTGAGTGTTTCTGTCTTCTCTTCTTCAGGGATCCTTCCAGTCTTTGCCGTCTCATTCTGATCTGCTGAGCGGCATCTCCAAACTGAGCGGTGATGTTCAGGGTATGAAAGTGAGCACCAACGCAGCAGCTGGAGAGATCAAAGCTGAGCTGGACGCTGCCCGGATACTGCAGGACAACGCCAACGAGGTACCAGAACAAAGACCAGTCCCTCAGTCCCGTATATGTCACCCCAAGTCTCTGCAGAACTGGAACTAAATGTCTCAATGTCTTCTTCACAGGCTGCTGAGGGGGCGAGTTCAGCTTTAGGCGCCGCCAGACAGACCAGACAGGCTGTGGGAGATACTCTATCGAAGATCAACGGCATGCTGCAGAACATCGGTGAGTTTTAACCCCCAACCTCCACCTTCATCCTGATCGTCTCCTAAAAGGTCGTATCCTCCGATCGTAGCTGATCGTAACCATTCAAGTTAACGTGTCAATTTACACCGACTTCTTTCCGTTCCTCTGCGGATCGCCGGACTCCTCAGCTGATCACAAGAGTTCTATTTTTTCTGGACGCCGGAGCATGGCGGATAAATTCAGCACAGATTAACCCGTGCTGGAAAGGAAGTCGGGCACAGACACAAAATAAAACATCCGGCTTCTTTTCAAAATAAAACACACATTTCATTTCATGAAGTCTAGAAGTAGATTTCCTCCTCTGGAAGGACACAATCTACTGCTTTTATGTCTATGTGTCTGTCTTTAGAGAGACAACTCGTTATCGTGAGATTGCTAGGAATCCGCGGTGCTCGCAATTCCTGCTGTCCGTAATCTGCTACAAAATTCACCTCACAAATGGATCCGGTCGGAATTGGCGGATGGTGAAAATTGTTGCCTTTCCAGATCTGAGCCGGTCCTGATGGGTGTAAATTGGGAGTAAGAAGAAAGGTGTCCTGACGTGGACTCTGATGATCCTCAAACCATCAGGACTGTGCGCTCTTCCATCTTTCCTCCGGAGAGACTCCGCCTCTTTTATACTCGGTCATGTTGACTCTGGATGACACACAGTTGTTGTTCGTACTTCTGTCTCTCGTGCATCTTGTGAGCGTTTGTCTTCCATCTCGTTGTGTCGTCTCTCTGACCTTCTGTGTCTCTCCTCCTCAGGTCAAACCGGCACTTTTGATGAGTCCAAGCTGAAGGAGTTGGAGGCGTCTGTCGCCAACGCTCAGAAGGAAGTGGAGGGGAAGCTGAGGCCTTTGTTCAAAGACATGGAGGACAAGGAAGCCGCTCAGAGACGCCGTCTGATTGCCATCAACCACGACATCGACTCCATCCAGGGAGACATCACTAACATACACAACATCCTGGACGCCATCCCCATCGGATGCTACAACACTCTGCCCATCGAGGAGGCCTAAAGAGGACTCAGAGCCCGGCGCCAAGTTCTGGTTCCACCAAACAAACGCAACCACCTCCACCAAAAACCCAGGAGGAAGACTTTCCCACAATTCCCACCATCTCAAACAGTCCTGCAGAGCTTCTTCACCATGAATCGCCGACACATCTCAAATATGGCGCTCTGAAGCCTCATTTCAACCAATCAGGAGAGCCCAGACGGAGGAATGAAGCTGAACACTTCTGATGTGTTCTCTTAAAGAGACATCGCTCAGAGTGTTTTAGATCCTTCAGTAACTCCTCTGGAAGCTGCAGGAAATCAAAGTTTCTCAGACATTATTAGAGGCCAAACTATGGGGTCATTCAAGGTCGTTCTATCCCGACAAACGTCTGACCTGAACAACAGAACGGCCCGTTGATTCTTGTTTAACTGTAACTAACCCAGAGTTCACTATGAGGGCGTCGACTAACAAACTAAACCAGAACGACTGTTTTATTTTGAAATGTTGTTGCACACGCTCACCTCTGTTTTCCTCACCTCTACAGCTTCTTTCAGGTTCATCAAAATCAAACTCATATCAAACTTTGACCTGATGTTAGAATGAGACGGTCTTTGTGTTCATTTTCCTGTGTTTGAATGTAAAAGTATTTTATTTATAACTGTACAGACAGTTTATCCACTTTTTAAAAACAACTTTTTTTTTTCAGGTCAGTGTTTTAATGTCCGACTGTGTTGGTGAACCAGCAGAAATATTTATAACAGCTCTGAATAAAACCTGCTGCACTTTGTCCTGATTTATCCCGTCTGTCTTTTCATTTCACTGTTTTAACATCAAACTGATCGATCAGAGAGAGTCCTGCTGCTAATCAGAGCGCCGCCGAGAACAGAGAGGCCCTTAACTTCCTGTTCTGATCAGAACATGTTCTGAGACCGTCTGGATCGGGTCCTGATCTGTGGTGATCCATGTAGTAGCATTTCTGTTGTTAGTTAACCCCCAATGTCCACCTTCATCCTGAACTAAAAGGTCGTATCCTCCGATCGTAAAACGAAACGCATGTACAAAACGTCACAAGTAAATCCAGTTGTCCTTTCAACGAAGAACTGGAAATCATAGATGCTGCATCCTCAGTTTTAAACACTTTCACAGTTTACCCCTGACCTCCACCTTCATCCTGATCGTCTCCTAAAAGGTCGTATCCTCCGATCGTAGCTGATCGTAACCATTCAAGTTAACGTGTCAATTTACACCGACTTCTTTCCGTTCCTCTGCGGATCGCCGGACTCCTCAGCTGATCACAAGAGTTCTATTTTTTCTGGACGCCGGAGCATGGCGGATAAATTCAGCACAGATTAACCCGTGCTGGAAAGGAAGTCGGGCACAGACGGACAACCTTGGGGACGAACAAGTGAAAGGTTTTTAGACGTCATTTCACCCCGATGACACCATGGATGAGGAGATGCTGATTCTAGAAGTCTAGAAGTAGATTTCCTCCTCTGGAAGGACACAATCTACTGCTTATATGTCTATGTGTCTGTCTTTAGAGAGACAACTCGTTATCGTGTGATTGAACGTGTGAGTTCTCGTGATTCCTGTTGTCCATTATCTGCCACGAAACTCGCCTCAAAAACAGATCCAGTTGGAACTGGCGGGCGGCAAGAATCGCCCCCGTTCTGGATGCAGTGAAAATTGGCGGTAACTGCGCTACAAAAGTTCCTGTGCACAAAACATCAGCTGACTTCTAACCGCAGAGCCATCAGCTGATGTTTTGAGATCTCTGCAGACTCTCTCTTCAGGGTTAGACCATCCCTCAGCTTTTCAGACACACACTCAAACCTGCCTCCTCTCCTCCTCTCCTCCTCTCCTCTCCTCTCTCCTTTCTCCTCCTCTCTCCTCTCCTCTCTCCTTTCTCCTCCTCTCTCCTCTCCTCTCTCCTCCTCCTCCTGATATGTGGGTTCAATAAACACTCACAGGTTAAAATTGGTACATCATGTTTAAGAGTGCATTACAGTTTACAATCAAATGAAGTCAGAGCAACAGAAGGCAGATAAACAAGATTCATCATCAGCTACTTAGTACAACCAAAAGTGACTGACACCTCCTCTCTCTCTCTCTCTCTCTCTCTCGCTCGCTCACTCACTCGCTCACACTCGTACAGAGGAATCATGAATCGACGTACAAATCTCTGCACACAGATGTAACGTAGTTCACATTGATGAGGCATTAGTCTGTTCATTTACAGAGTGGATAGAAAATGGACGGTGGGTGACAACGACCCCCGACGACTGTAGAGTAGATTAATATTTATATAGATCGACTTTTTGTGTTTTTCTCTTTATGCAAACACATTCACCACAGACTGTTTTTTTTTTTTCTACCGAGTGATAAACGTTCATGCCTGAACCGAAACAGTCTAAGCATGCAGTCTAAGAAGAGCTAACAGCAGCACACCGAGAAGAGAAAACACCCCTGTACACGCCACAGCAGCCGCACAGCTGCTGAGGTCTGCTCTTACAAAAGATCACCATCATCTCCGCCTGCTTCATCTTCATCATCATCATCATCATCATCATCATCGTCATTTTTAAACCATTGTCCACACAGTGTCCACGTCCCGCAGTAAGACTGAACGTCCTGATTTTGTCGTGTTACAGGATGAAGACGTTGAATTTGGTCGGTTAACCAGATAACAGGGGTGTGTATAGAGAGTGACCGAGGGGGGGCATGGACCCCTGGAATCTGATTGGCCACCCTGGTGCTACGCCAAAATCCTAACTTTGATTGGCTTTTGATTTGAGTGGGCGGGGCTTATATTAAAGTACATAGGGCAAAGTAGTGACCTGAATTAAACCAAGATTTTAACTTTATTCTTGTAAATTAAACTTTTGTCACTCAAGATTACGACTTTTTCTGTGAATTTACGACTTTTTTCAGCGATAACTTTAAAGTTTTAAATAAACGACCTAAATCACCAAAGATGACGACTCGACTCTTTAATCTTGTTAGTTTTCTACTTAATTTTTGCAAAAATACGTCATACTTAAGTTTAAATTATTATAAAGTTTATTCTCGTGAATTTATTGATTCAGTCTCATAAATGTTTTTCTCATGCAGTTGGAGTTTTTAGACTTAATTTTATTCTGTTAAAGTCGTGATTTTGATCTCGTAAAGCGAGGATTTAATTCTTGACGTTGAAGAATAATTTGGTACCTAAAGCCGCCCTGATCCTCGGTCGTTGCCACGGGCGCTCGTACTTAAATTTGGCACTTTTCCTCGAGTTGGTTCTGTCAGATTTGGCATCATGAGTTTCACACTGACTGTAAAAATGTTGAAGTCTCAGTTTTGGGACTTAAACTTAAGACTTCCTGCCTGGCGTTGGCTGAAAAAGCCCGTCTTCACCTCAGACGTGGTTGTTTGGCGGCTTTAACTCCATCAGCTGACGTTGGATTTGCCAACGTTTGGACTTTTAACTCTGAGACGTCAGGAGCTCGTGTCTCGCTCTGATCCTGTTTCTGTTCAGTCTAACAGCTCAGATCATCCACTCCCTCAGATCCTGGACCATCAGTACTGTCGCCATGGTTCCCCTCAGGTGAGCTCACCTGTAGCATGGAGGTTACAGAGTTGACCTGAACTATGATTGATGTGTTTGTATGTACAGTTACAGAGGCTGAGACGGTAGCAGAGTCAAACACAAGCACTGCTCTACCCTTTCCTTCAGACGGCAGAGAAAACTGTGGGCCTCATGCAAGAACGACCACGACCACAACCACGGCGTTTTAGTTCAGACCTTTCTGAGTCCTAGAGGAGCTCACAGTCGACTTTAGAGTCAGTGTGGACGTAAACAAAACCAGCAAAACCAGCAAAACCAGCAAAACCAGCACGAAGACGAAACTAGCTGGTCGCTTAAAGGGGCGCTAACTGGACCCACAAACAGGAACTTCAGATGTTTGAACTTCAGAGGGACATGTTACTCCTTCATGGACAGGGTTAGACTCTAACTTTATTCATGAGGAGCAAACAAAGAACTTTAGGAGATTGATTTTTCTTATCCGCACATGTGACCCTAAATACATTTGATAATTCACACACATCTATTTTTAGTCGCAAATGCGAGTGAAACGGTCGAACTGCTGAGCCCTGATTGGTCTGATACGAACGCCAGAGGACAGTCGCTTCACAAACTAATGAGCTTTTAAATCTGTGCAAGTTAGCTAGCAGTGCTAGCATGAGCTGTTTTAACTTACGGAACATCAAATTCAGACAAACTCACTGATAACTCCACCTGCTCCTGATGAAAATCTATTGAAAATATAACCGCGATGAGCTAGCTAACATCTTCATCTGTAGATTAAACTAACTCTTAGATTTACTAACGATACCTTTTCTACACGGCTATCATATGTTAGCCGACAGGTTAGCTTTCAGGAGACAAAACACCAAAAAAAAGAAAAAAAGACTCTTAGCTTAGCTGGCGCCGCTCCGTTAGCTTCACTGGTCATATTATCTGAGGCTGTTCTGTTTACTGTTTCTGTAGCAGGTCGTTAAAACCTTTATTACTGCTGTCACTTTAACATGGACGATAACTGCCTCTGGTGGACACTAGGAGAACTGCACTTTTCTGCACAGGTTTAATTTTGTGCCTCTGGAAGTTTCTGCTCGGTTAAATTGTCGTATTTGAATTAAAAATCATTAAAATAGTAAAACAGAAAATAAAACCTTCAAACTGAACAAACAGAAACCTTCAATGATCGGCTGCAGACGAGTTTTTCTGTTTTAGTTTAAATAAAGTTTTAAGATACTTTTTTAAGGAGGTGTAATAGACTGAATCACTCGTGGACTCCTCTGTGTTCGGGTCTTGCATGAGGCCCAGAACCCGGTCCCCCTGAGTCTGAACGGTACCCTGACATCAGTACAGACTGAGCATGCTCGGCTGTGTGTCATGCATCCTCAAACATAGACAGAGACAGAAAACGCCGCCGCCGCTCTGCAGTGGACATATTTGCACAATGACATCTCTGCAGCCCTTAGAGATAACCCCCATCTCATCCCCACCTGACCCCCCACCCCCCCAATCCCTGATGGTATAAGGTCACATGACACAGACAGAGGGAGGGACACTAATGCTCCTGTTGGAAAGCGACAGTTCAGAGAAGAGTAAATGTTTGACACAGAAGACAGAGGAGGGGGAGGGGTTTCTGATTTTTTTAGAGGGTGGGGGGGGCGGTGTCTGATAGATGATGGATGTTCTTGGTAACCCCCCCCACACACACACACGCCGCTCTCCCTGCTCTCATGCGTGCAGGTCGTGGTCTCTATCCTGAGGCGTTGATGTAGAGCTGACTCTGCAGGATGTAATCGATGACGGGCTGACTCAGGTAGTCCACAACATGGCCGTCCCCGTGCTGAAGGGCCAGTCTGAGGGCGAGAGAGAACGAGAGAGAGAGAGAGAGAGCAGTTAGAGCAGCATGGACCTGAAAACCTGAGACTCTCTGAGACCTGGTCCTGAACCTTCAGATCATCAGGGGAGAAGATATCACGTCTCAAATCAGCAGTTATTTTTATATCAGAGTTATCAGGGTCAGATTTTAGTTAGAGGAGGATAAACACTCAGAAATGATTCCTATCTTACAGATATCTGCTGATTTTATATGTTTATATATAAAATTAATTTATTATGAACTAATTAATTCGATCGTATTTGATTTGGTCGAGGACGAGGTTCGAGAAGAGGAGGTGAAAATGTCGAGTTTTTCTGCTCCAACAGACTGATCAGAACTTTATCAATAAATATGACATGATGAACAAAAACTGGAATAAAAAGGGAAAAGCATCAGATTTTTATTCATTACTGTTTTGATAGTTAGAGCTGAAGGTGATGAAGAGATTTGAGTCAAAAAAGTTAAAAAAAAAGTTTTAAATGATTATTTTAAGAACTCTTCTCTTCATGTCTGTTTTGGGGTCAAAGCTGGATGGAGCTTCAAACGAACAGGAACTAGATGATCTACAGACCAACCATCTACACATGAAGAGGTTAAACTCCCACCTGCTCTTGGTCGAGCTGACGATTGACATGGGATGAGTCATGGCGTCCTTCACCACGACGATGTTGTCCTGAAACATCAGAATCACAGACGTGATGACGACAGAGAAACGTGGTCATCAAACTGAAACGTTCGTACCGGAGCGTGGAGAACATCTGACCTTGTATTTGCGGAGAATGGAGGAGTGGTTCATGATCCGCTCTGTGTCGACGCCATCACGAGGAACCACCACGATCCCGAAGTCTCCGACGATGACCTCCATCTGAAACCATAGAAACGTCTTTCAGAAACGCTCTGACGACAGCCAATCAGAACTCTCTATTTCTGCTGGTGCTGGGAGGAAACATTGAGGGTTCAGCTCTGTGATTGGTGGCTTTGAGACAGTAATGACCAATCATATCTTTATTATCTCTGAATTTATGATAAGCTCCGCCCACCATAGGATACACCAATCAGAAGTTAACCTCTGGATTAACTTTAAGTGAGAAGCTGGAGTCACTCCGTCCGTTTCCATGACACTCGAGAAAACCGAATTATCGCCTTATTCCGATTAAGACTGGACAACTGAAGTTCATGTAAACACTTTAGTCCGACTATAATCAGAGTTTGAGAACTCTGATTAAGACACTCAGATAATGAGATTGGAATTTGATTTTCTCTTCCATGTAACCAGCGAAGTCGGAGTATGATCGGACAACTTCAGGAACGACGAGGAGAGCGCCGTTCTGCTTCCTGTCCTGACAGAAATGGACGTTTTAACATATATGGACGGTCGCAAAACAACGAATGGAGACAACTTTAAAAAAAGTCCAAAAACAGCTCAGCTGAAAAGACCCATATCGCCCCCTAGTGTTGGGGAGGAGGACACGTTCACGTCAATAATTCAATTTTCTCAGCTGCATGTAAACGAGGACGAGGAGAGAAGTCTGATTCAGAGGAAAAGACGAATTATGAGTTTAGTCGATTAAACTGAGACTGTAAACGAACTGATTGAGTTCATTAATTAAGAGACATGAAGATCATTTCATCTCCATCGATCAGCCTTTAGGAGACACCTGTGGATGACGTCATGGGCGAGTTACGCTGCTGCGTGTAATGAGCTGTCAGTCAGTCAGTCAGTCAGTTTACACATATAGTGACAATTTTCACCACATCAATTTTCGCTGTCCGCCAATTCCCACCGGATCCATTTGTAAGGCAAATTTTGTGGCGGATTACGGACAGCAGGAATCAGGAGAACTCACAAGAACCTGTAGATTCACGATCAATCTCACGCTAATGAGTCGTCTCTCTAAAGACAGACACATAGACATATAAGCAGTAGATTGTGTCCTTCCAGAGGAGGAAATCTACTTCTAGACTTCTAGAATCAGCATCTCCTCATCCATGGTGTCATCGGGGTGAAATGACGTCTAAAAACCTTTCACTTGTGACACGTTAACTTGAATGGTTACGATCAGCTACGATCGGAGGATACGACCTTTTAGGAGACGATCAGGATGAAGGTGGGAACTGGGAGTAATGGACTTAAGCTGTTCTTACTGTAACACATGTTCACTGTCAGACTGTTCTTGTTGTCCATGGTTCGTTTGTTGGAGATAGAGAAGCTGGAGTCACTCAGTCCGTTTCCATGACACTCGAGAAAACCGAATTATCGCCTTATTCCGATTAAGACCAACCGAACATTTCAAATAACGCCGCCTAAACTCTTTCACCAGCTTCATCCTTGATGAAAGTCGTTAGCTAAAACCGCTTGCTAACAGCTAGCATTCACATTAGCAAGGTTAGCTTGTTAGCGCTGAGAAAGAAGAGTAACGCTGCATGCTTCAGGGAGTTACGCTTTCTTTTGCAGATGTTTTCCTTCGTTAAAACATCGCCATGACTTCTTGGTTATCATGATATCCTTCAGGGGGCGGGGCTTCATGGTAAGTAGGATGGGTCTAAAGAGTCAGGGCTACATTAAAGGGGCGGGGCTACAGTGTGCTTACATCACTGTCCTTCCACAGGCCAGGGATGCAGAAGGACTCCAGGAGGTCACTGCCACACAGGAGCAAGATGCGTAACTCTACAGACGAGAAACAAACAGGCAGGAGGAGAGAGACAGGTCCTCAGTAAACCACTGTTTACTGGATACAAACAAACAAACAGGAAGGATCCAGACAGAGCAGGAAGGAAGGAAGGAAGGAAGGAAGGAAGGAGTCACAGGAGCCGCTCCACAGAGGTGACTCACCGATCTCCTCGTATCTGATGGCGGTGCCCAGGTTAGCGTTCTCATCTGACAGGAGAAGAAGACACACGTTTAGATCGGAGTTTATGACGACAGACACACTTCTGAGTGTAGGAGGAGAAGTTTGTTACCGACGAAGGTGAAGCGCTCCATGTGAGGGCGGACGCAGCAGATCTTCCCCAGACTCTCGCTGACCTTCCCCCACAGTTTGACTGAGCAGAGGCAGAAGAAGAGGAGTGGGCGGGGCTTAGACGAACTCAGTTATACAAGAATCCATCATAAACAGTCCTCCTCTATCTCAGAGCTTCCTGACTGATTATTACATCTGAACATGTTTATGCTGCGTCCCTGTTTCCTCAGAAGTCTGATGTCGGAGCTGGGAATGACGATAGACACGTGTTGACGGCGTTCCAGTTAGCAAGTCGGAAAACCAAGATGGACGCCTACTGTTAGCCATTGTTTACAATTGTCAGCTATCATTAGCCATTGTCAGTTGTTGTTAGCTGTTGTTAGCTGTTGTTAGCTGTTGTTAGCGGTTGTTAGCTGTTGTTGTTAGTTGTTGCTAGCTGTTGTTAGCTGTTGTTAGCTGTTGTTAGCGGTTGTTAGCGGTTGTTAGCTGTTGTTGTTAGTTGTTGCTAGCTGTTGTTAGCTGTTGTTAGCTGTTGTTAGCGTTGTTAGCTGTTGTTAGCTGTTGTTAGCGTTGTTTGTTGTTAGCTGTTGTTAGTGGTTGTCAACTGTTGTTGTTAGCTGTTGTTAGCTGTTGTTAGCGGTTGTTAGCTGTTGTTGTTAGCTGTTGTTAGCTGTTGTTAGCTGTTGTTGTTAGCTGTTGTTAGCTGTTGTTAGCTGTTGTTAGTGGTTGTCAACTGTTGTTGTTAGCTGTTGTTAGCTGTTGTTAGCTGTTGTTAGCTGTTGTTAGTGGTTGTCAACTGTTGTTGTTAGCTGTTGTTGTTAGCTGTTGTTAGCTGTTGTTAGCTGTTGTTGTTAGCTGTTGTTAGCGTTGTTAGCTGTTGTTAGCTGTTGTTGTTAGCTGTTGTTAGCGTTGTTAGCTGTTGTAAGCTGTTGTTAGCTGTTGTTAGCTGTTGTTAGCTGTGGTTGTTAGTTGTTAGCTGTTGTTAGCTGTACCATTTGTAAACATAACAGTATTTTACTCGCACCAACACCGTATCACCGTGTTCACAGTTAGTCGTTGGTCAGTTCAACATAAACCACTTATTTAATTTTACGAAAACAAAACAGAAGTGCTGATAAATAAAACATTACGAGAGTTTTCACTGTTACTCTTTACTGTCGATTCACTGTGCTGCCATCTTGGATTATGGCGTTGTCGTCAAGTCGCGGGTGGTGAGGATCGTCTGACTTTAAGGTGGCGTTTCAGGTGAGTTTCTGACTTGGAGCTCAGAAATTCCGACTTCCAAGTACAACTAGAACGCAGCATTATTCATGCTAATTATTCCAGTAATCTCAAACTGGGGGGTGGAGACTCACTGGCTGTGGGCTTGTGGTTCATGTTGTTGTGGTTCTGGTAGATGGGCGGAGTCTGGTTCTGCGGCTGGCCAATGACAGGAGTCGACGAAGGCGTGTTGACGTTGGACAGGATACAGCCGGTGACTCTCTGTGGAGCAAAAACATGGAGAGCATCACTGTAGACTGAGTGATGGGTTTCCATGGCAACTGCTGATGCTATCAGGTGGTAGAGACCCGGTATGAAAGGAGAGCATCGGAGGGAACGTTAAAGAGAAAACTGAACAGGTCTTCAGGTAGGTCCTGGTCTGAGATGTTCCCTCACCTTCATCAGGTCACGGTGATGCTCCAGCACACTGCAGGTGGTCTGCCAGGTGTCCTGGTAACACTCCCAGGGGTCCACCCTGCAAAAACAAGAACCACAAACCGACTCAGAGAAGAGTTCAGGTCCAAACGCTGCAGAGAGACCTTCACGTTTCAAAGTCCGCTCCTTTAAAGTCACACTTAAGAGTGGTCTCACCTGATCCAATCAGAGGACTGGACCGCCAGCTGACACATGGTGAGGCGGTGTCTGCTGGGCACCAGACCCTGAACACAGACACACAGGTAGGTCAGTACAGACGTGTGTGTGTGTGTGTGTGTGTGTGTGTGTGTGTGTGTGTGTGAGTGTTACTGTGATCACCTCCACCTGTGTGAACAGATGTTTGTTTTAACTCTGAATCAAGATGTACTTCTCACACACACACACACACACACACACACACACACACACACACACACACACACAGTGAACAGCTGTCATAAATATAGAAGTGATCTATATAGATTCAAACTGTTTCAGCTCTAGACTGTGAAAATCTCTTATTTCTGCTGTCAAGTTTAACATGAGGCTCTATGGGGACTGACTCACTGCTGGACACGGCCTCTAGTGGACACTGGAGGAACTGCAGGTTTCAGCTCAGTTAAAATGTCAGTCTGATAATAAAATACTGCTGATTGGGCGTTCAGATTCTCCTCTCTCTCTTTATTATTGGGGTAAATTTGTGAGTGTGGGACGACCTCCAGGTGAGTGAGTCACCTGTCTGTTTGATTGACAGGTGATTATTATTATTATAATTTATCTCCAGCCTGAATAAAACAGAGCTGTGGTCCTGATGGAGAAATCACATCAGCTCAGAGTGATGGTGTGTTTCTGCAGCATCTATTATTCATGATTCTGGAGCTGCACAGCAAAAGTAGGACAAGAGCTTCACCGTCATTAAATCCTGCAGGGAAACAAGAGCAGAGAGCTGCACACACACACACACACACACACACACACACACACACACACACACACACACACACACACACACTGTACTCTGCAGCTGGATGTGATGTTAGTATCTGCTCTGTGAAACACTCATCTCTCAGTCTGATTTCAGGTTTACTCTGATTGAATCTGCTTCAATAAAACATCAGGAAATTAAACCTGTGTGTGTGTGTGTGTGTGTGTTTGTGTGTATGTGTGTGTGCGTGTGTGTGTGTGTGTGTGTACAGGTGATGTCCGTCACTCACAGGTTTCCCGTAGGAGTCGTGCACAGGGGAGATGATTCCTCCGATTACGATGAATCGGCCTGATTTGTGCAGATACTCTCTGGCTTTTTCTGCAAACACACAGACGGGAGAACATGATTTATCATTTTTAACTGATGTGTTAAAGAGTCATCGTCCTCAAACTCAAAAACCTCATGAATCAAATCTTAAAACAAAAAACAAGAGTCTCCAGGAAATACTAAAGGTCACTCAGACGGCACTTCTTTACATTTTTTGAAGCGTTTTCCTCAGAAAGGTCATCGGTGCATCTAAGAGGTCACACCTGTGCACCTGAGGGAGCTTTGACGGGACTGGATCCACCTTACCCGGGATTTTTACAGCATCTGAGACAAGCTCTAAAATAACTCTATAGCTCTAAAATAACTATCTTGTTTCAGGCCTCTGATTTTGCTTTTTTCTGACTTGACATCTGAAACGCTGGGAACTCGGTGTGACGTAATGACAAGTTGGGGTTGGTGAGGACAACTGGACTTTTGGGACGTTGGGACGTTTTGCCGTGGGCGAAATGTCCCAACTAAGTCCAGTTGTCTTTTCAATGAAGAACTGGAAATCATAGATGCTGCATCCTCAGTTTTAAACCAGATCTCCAGGTTTAGGAGCAACATCTGCGTCCATCCAGACAATCAGAGAAGACCTTCACATGATCCCAAACCACATTCTGACGACAGCGTGGCTCTGTAGGAGAAGATGTGATACACACACACGGGGTTAACCATGCCAGGATTCCTCTGAGACACACACAAAGGTAAACGCCGCATGTTCTGTCTTTTTCAGCGTCTCGTCTCCTCGGTCTCCTCCGTAAATCTGAACGGTTTCACGGCCTAAAGGACGACGACACACAGAGATGAAGAAGCTGCTGCTGCTGCTGGTGGTGAAAATAGGTCAGGATGTGGAACATGGCGGCTGCTGCTGCAGCGTTATCAAAGATGCTAAGTACACTTCCTCAGCTGTACTGCGTTACTGAGCCTGAGTCTGCTTTATGCAACAATCCAGGAGGAGATATCAGCTCCACAACATCTTCATGACAGAGATGTTCAGATTCTTCATAAAGACATTCGTTCACCTGGAACACGTCATCTGAAATAACCCCGTTCTTCTTATTTGAGGACTCCTGCTGGACTGTTTACCTCTCAGACTCATCAAGAATCTCAGCAGGTCGGCCCGTTTATTTCAGTCTCTGTGATCTCAAAGGTCAACATGAGTCAGCTCAAAACGTTTCCCTGCAGGCTGGAAAATAACACCCCCTCCTCCTCCTCCTCTCAGGTGATTGGACCACGCTCTGAACGCTGGCCTGTTACTGCCGATGGTTAAAACATGCAGCTGGAAGAAGTTTGAAGATCTGTAGACGTGTCTGTAATAATCCTCTGTGGTATTGTCCTTCCTCCTGTGTTCGCTTTTCCTACACACCCTCCATGTTAAGGCTCGGTTCTGACCCGTGTCTTAAATCAGCTGTAAATTAAAAACATTTCTCTATCATCCAGTTTGGTTCTCATCTCTCGGTTATCTTGTTCGGCTTCATTATCCATGAAAATATTGATTATAATAGTTTTTGGCGTGGTCCTCTGCCTCACACAGACGTCTACACTGAACTGATCTCACATGTCTGGACATGAAAAACATGGAAGAATGAGAATTTACTAAATCCCACATGATTGGACGAGGATCTGACTGTCAGCGCACAGATGATTTTAGTTTTTGCTCTAATTATTAAATATCAATCTAACCGGGTCAACAGCGACCCTAACAGGACAGGTGGCATCATTTTAAAGTCAAAGAGTCCTGATGCAGAAAAGTGAATTTAAGTGTTTCTTTTAAGTATTTAATATCAAAAACTAACCCCAACACAGGAGGAGGGTCAGACAGCGAGTGTACTACGTTTGAAACATGGCGGCTGACTCAGTAACACTGCTGACTATCTTTAGGAGGAGTGAGTGAAACATCGTTTGACTCCATGAATCAAACATTTTCAGCACCGTGAATCCAAGAGTGACACAGCACTGACCTACAACACATGACAAACATGACGAGCTGTATGTGAGAATCATTGCTGGTTCTGTGATTATAACATTAGCTGCCTGATGTGTAAAACATTGCTGGCTCCATGTCGAAAATATTTCAGTCAAAATGAACCGTTACAAAAACCACAAACTGCTGTCTGAGACTCTGTAAGAAACATTTCTGACTCCACCGTTAGAATATGTAAACCCTGATGAATAAACTCAAGTTTGAAGCAGGTAGAAATCATTGCTGGCTCTAAGTTTGAAACATAACTGTCACTGTGTTCCAAACATTACAAACACAGAATATCAAACGTTGTTGGAACAGCGTTAGAGAAGTTGTTGGCCGACTCCTCAGATGTTACACCACATCGACTGAATATCTGAATATTATCTGTTTTGAGTCCATAACCCTGCCAGTATAATAGTCAGAGTCATTGCCGGCCTCAGGTATCAAACATTGAGAGATAAGTCTGGCTCTGCGTACAGAACATTGATGGTTTCATGTGAGAATCATTGCTGGTGTTGAGTGTAAACATTGCCGTCCCCACATGTTTCGAGGTTGACAAAAGCACGACCACAGAACTCCGATTTTAGCGACACCTCACTGGCTCCCGGTCCACTTTGTTTTGTATTGATTTTAAAACTCTTTTAATGGTTTTTGAAGCCCTCAGTGATCTTTCCTCTCCTTACAGAGCCTTAAGGTCCTCTGACCAGGTACAGCTGAGCGTCTCCAAAACCAGAAGTTTAGAGGTGACCAGGCTTTTTCAGCGGTTTCTCCTTGACTGTGGAACAGTTTACCGCTCCATATTATTATCTTTTATTTATCCCATGTACAGCACTTTGTTTGACTGCTGTCTTTTTAAAGGTGCTTTTTAAATAAACCGTGACTTGACTTGATAAATGATTATTGCTGAAACCCCCATTCTTGTTGTTGAAAATGGTAAAGCGGTAGACTTGTGAGATTAATCCCTAAAATACTGGTCTGGTTATAACCTCGGGGTAAACAACAGGTTAATATTATTTTATTCATTTGGATCCTCATTAGCTACTACCTAGGCAGCAGTAAAATATTAAAGTAAACATTCGTATACATCAACCCTCTTTAGTCTGGGGTATAATTGGCCATTTTGGAAAAAAGTCAATTTTTTTACTGTGAAAACCACAAATATGTTTAATGAACCATTTTCATAATTTAGACTGCAAATATAAATTGTAAACTCCAAAACATATAAACAACTTTAGCAAATATCATAGTAATTTACCACTATTTACATTAAAATGCACCAAACATGACGAAAAAAATCAGGATAAGTATGACGTACATAACTGATCATAACTCTGGTTTAGTTTGGTCCATCAACATAATTTAAAAACTGATATATTTTGAGGTCGTCACTTTGGAGACAAGTTGAAACTGAGACTCATCGAGGCTCCATCTTGCGGCTACATCCACTTAAATATGTCATGTGATTTTGATGCGCAGGAGTGTTAATAATAAAAGTCCAAACTTTTCCAAACCAAAGGAGAATTATAAATGATGTTAATGACATTTCCAATTACAATAAACACCAGTAAAGGCCAAGATAAGTGTACCAATAATCAAACATCTCATTGTCATGTATTGTACGTTATCTCAGTCTAGTCGAGGTGTTTCTTATTTCAGTCAGTCTGGGTCTTTAGATGTTAGTTTACCTTCTTTGTAAAAACATGTTAATCTTGTAATAACAGAAGGAAGACTCTTCCATATTTTCATCCCTCTGAACACGACAGTACGCTGTCCAGAGTTAGTTTGATGTTGAACTCATGACCATTAGGACTGATCAGCGGTTGATTCTGTTCACTGTACCATCCATGTGAAGGTGATTCAGAATCAGCAGAAATGTGAATAATTCATCCTGACTGTCCCTCACTCTGAGGCCGAGCTGTTCTCTGGAGGATCCGTCAGGGAGGCGTCATTTCTGGGCTGCGCCACACGCTGTTTGAGGCCTGAGGACCTGAATCACGGATCCTCTCCGTCTATAACGCCTGAAAAAACCGGTTCAGACCGCGATTAACGGGGGTTATCCGATCACGAAGGCCCGATTATTCCGATATTTTCTTTGTTTTGGTGACACCTCGTGCCGGATGGGAGCCGTCGCCCATTTCAGCACCACCCTGCTGGACAGCGACCAGACCCACCGAACCAAACCCCGGTCATTTTTCTGTCAATTTAAGCTCCGGGTCTTTGGTAAGGGGTTAATGATGTGGATCTAATAATTTCAGGAGGATTCAGGCTGAAAACAAACACGCGCACACACACACGCACTGACACAGCGCGCACACACACACTCACCGAACATATGGATGTGTCCCTTGGTGATGGGGTTGAAGCTGCCGCAGGACAGCAGGATGACGTGGGTTTTGGTGGTTTCTGTCATGGTTCCGGTCGGTCTCTGTCTCTGATCTCGTCCTATGTCCCGGTCCGGTCCGGTCCCGGTCCTGTAAGGGTCTGAGCACCCGGGTCGTCGGTTGTTTTCTCGCAGGCAGAGCAGCCGCAGAGAGAGGAGAGAGGCGAGGCTGGAGTGAGTGTGTGTGTGTGTGTGTGTCTGCGGCAGGAAACAACGTCAGAGACACACACACACACACACACACACACACACACACACACACACACACACACACACACACACACACACACAGTAACATGACTAATACACTAATCATGTTCAGGTAATGGGATCATTAGAGAAAATCTGAGACGTTTCATATTTTAGTTCATAATTCAGTCTGAATATTTAAAATAAAACTAAAACAAAATAATAAACTCAAAGAAACAGAAACTGAGGATTTACAGTTACAGTTATAGAGTTGTTGGATAGAGTGAAAAAATATCAGGTGTGAATAAAAAAGAAAATAAATCATTAATTTAAAGACTTGTTCATGTTTCATATATGGAGAGATTATCAGGAGAGTAGGGGAGACCGGGGCTTGTTGTCACATGGGTAAGTTGTCACATTGCAGTTATCTTTGCCACCAGAGGGCGCAATAAAAAAGTGGACCTTTACATGGTCAGGGGTTGTATCCTGTCTGAGAAGAGAAGAGAACATTGTGAGCTGAGATGAGCGACAATTACCGTATTTATCGGACTATAAGGCGCACTTAAAATCCTTAAATTTTCTCAAAAATTGACAGTGCGCCTTATAATCCAGTGCGCTTTATGTATTTGTTGTTACAACTGAGTTAAAGTTTGATTCATCGGACTGTGTTTTTTTGCTTAATGTGTTTATAATCCGGTGCGCCTTATGGCCTGAAAAATACGGTAACCATTTCCCACAACCCAAAGTAAGAAAAAATGACTTTATATATTTTAAAATAATCTTCTTCCAGATAAACATGTGAATGCAGTGAAACATGTGAACTTGTTAGAGGAGAGATGAATTCATCCTGTCAGACCTCAGTCATTGTTCTGTTTTAATCTAACTTTAATCTAGAGCTTTAATTAACAGACATGGTAGTTTAGGTCAACATGTCTCAGTCATTTTGGGGTTAGTTTTCACATGTTTAAAAGGGATTAAAATTAACATAGAGAGTCTGATTATCAGCAGTCGTCATACTAAAACTTTGATTTTATTTTACAGAGAACAGAGTGATTTAAAGGAGAGGAGAAAAAGGGAAAGACAATGACATGATGCTGAGGACAGTCAGACAGTTGATCCTCGATAATAAATCAATCTGGAGGATAATAAAGACTTTAATGTCAACTACCTTAGCTCTGTACTGTAAAACATTCACCCCAGCTGAAACAGAGTCAGACAGATCTCCAAACTCCAGAGCAGGTTTATAATATTTTAAATGTTTATGTTTATGTTTATGTTTATGTTTGTTTATGTTTATTCAGCTTTCAGCATGATCACATGTTCTGTGTCTGACTTTAATGTTCACTTTACTGTAAAAAATGAGAACAATAATAATGTATAGTAGTTTTAGTAGTATAGTTTTTGTTTTATTAGCTGTAAAATCCACTGTGACATCTTACCCCATGTAGTGAGACAACTTACCTGATGGTGGCGCAACATGTCACATGATCACACTCTCTATTTGATGGTTATAACTCTGCACTGACACTAGATATGAAAATGACATGAATATGAAAAATAAACCTGAGACTTTGGTCTGTAGTCTGGAACATGTTTTGTTTATATCTGATGAATTGATTCAAAGAAATATATAGGAATGTAAAAAGTGTGACAACAAGCCCCGGTCTCCCCTACACCCTCTATTATTGTTGTTATAGTAAAAGGGTATTTCGACTGCACTTGGCACTTTTTATTTGTGTCATAGTGAAATGGTGTCTGGAAGTTTCTTTTCTAACATTCTGAACTGGAAGAACTGAAACTTTTTAAAGTCTGATCAATTACAAGAAAAGCCCAGAAAAGCCTCTAAAATGTCATCAAACATCAGAACTTCTCGTTGAGTCATTGGATCTTCGGGTTTCACAGAAAATGAAACCGTTTTCTCTGTTCCTGCTTTTCTCTTTCATTTCTGTGTGTAGGATCATTTTCTCTTTTTTCTCTTTGGAGCTCAACAGCGCCCTCTGGCTCCAGAAGAAAAAATATAACCTAATAACACCAGAGACTGCTTTGAGACATCCTTTTTAGAAATCATGGACACTGCATCCTCCTCTCTAAAGAGTCGAGGGACCACAGCTCCCGGTCCAAAACCAGTATCCCTGAAGGTCACAGGTGTCTAAAGGTAACCATGACTCCATTTCAGCTTTTCAAAACACGCAGTGGGCCTCGATCTTAAAATGACCAAATATTTTTCACAAAATACTTTTTTTTCACCATAAACATGAAAGTACGGGGGCTGAGAACCGCCACCGCTGCAAATAAAAAAAAAGTGCAAAGAAAGAGATCACAACGGAAGTTACCAATTTAAAAAAAAGAGAGAGAAACTGAAGCTCGCTGCAAACAAAAACAAAAAAATGGTGCAGATTATTTAAAAAAAAAAAAAAAAAAGAAAGAAAAGAAGCTATTTGCTGCGAAAATAAAAGGATGCAAACAAAAAAGCCACAACTGAAGTGAGCTGCCGGGGACCAAAAATGTGAAGGGGTCTGCGAACTTATTTATATGAGTAAAGCAACCGAACCGTAGCTAACACGACACCGACATCCTCCAGTTTAACTTCATATGGACTCAAGCGCTACATGGTCTTACCATGACCCATTAAAAAGTTTACAAAGTGAAATTAAACAATAACCTTTCCATTAACGTCTTTGGTCGTCTTCTCACCGTCGTCTTCTGTACCTAGATCATAAAACATCGGCGCATCATCATTATTGGTCCCCGACAGCTCACTTCCTTTGTGGCTTTTTTATTTGCATCCTTTTGTTTTCGCAGCATAGTTTTTTTTAATTTATTTTTTTATTATTTTTTTTTTATTTTGAATTGTGAATCTTTCTTGCTTCAGTTTTTTATCTGCGCCGTTTTTTTTTTTGTTTTTTTTTATTTGCATTGTCGAATTCTGTTGTGGCCTTTTTTTTTTTTTTTTTTTTTTTTTGCACTGGCGGTTTTGGACCACCGTATCAAACGAATGATGAACGAAGAACAAAATCGTTTTCTTTTCTCTCTCTATCTCACCCCCCCCCCCTCCCCCCTCCTCCTCTGTGGGTCAGACAGGAACAATATGGCGCCGGGTGGTGGAGCGTTAGCTTCTGCTCCCGTCGTCGATGTCTGACAGTCTGTTTATCCGGCAGGATGAACCTCTGCGCTCAGTATCTGCGGTAAGCTGTGGTCGGGGTCCTCTCTTTAGCCCCCCGGTGGTTCATGTGTTGTTATAAACGGACACGTTATCCCGGCAGGTAGATTGTTTTGTTCGAGTTGCTAATGCTAAAGCTAACTGGCTCGGGGACCACCCCCCTTTGCTAACCGTTAGCGTTAGCTTAGCTTCACATATCAACAAACTATCGACGCCGACACCGAGCCTCAATTCAGCCGAACCAGCGACATTTTTGACTCAATATGGAGAAAATGGACGTTTCCTTATCGATTATTTGTTGAGTGAAAGTTTGAATGTGTGTTTACCGCCACAGACAGACAGACTGTGTTTACTCTGTGTTAGCTGTTAGCATTAGCACGCTGGCGTCTGTCTGCGTATGTCAGGTTAGCATCAATGTTGTGATTCTGTGAGGTTATACTCTGGAGTATTGAGAGTTACAGGCTCAGTGTTAGGAGTTAGAGGGTCTGTGTCAGTCTGTTTGTGTAGTTTAGATGTTAAAGTGTTGGGATTGTTTAAGTGTGTGAAGTTAAAAGAGCTAACATGATAATAAATGAGGATGATTCTCACCTGTGGATCCAGGTAAAGGTCTCAGTCTGTCTCCTCCTGTCTGTCTGCTCTGATCTGAGCTGTTCAATGACTGAATGAAGAAGGTGGTTTAAGCAGCAGGACCGTGAAGAGCTGATGAGGAAGAGTGTGTGTGTGTGTGTGTGTGTGTGTGTGTGTGTGTGTGTGTGTGTGTGTGTGTGTGTGTGTGTCTGATGGATCAGTCTAACCCCCCCTCTCTTTTCTCTCTGTTTGTATCTGAGCAGACAGGCAGAGGCCCTGAAGGCTGACATGACAGGTAGGTCTGCACCATCACCTCACACCTGTTCTCACCTGTTCTCACCTGTGCAGCTCTCAGGTCTGCTCTGTGAAGGAGGGGTTTGGGTTTTAAAACAGAGACGTGTTCATGAGGGTGGTCAGAATCTAGGTTGACTGCTCACAGATGAAACTCTTTATTTCACGATCGTCTGTATTATGTGTCATGAACCTCCCTGGGTTTACAGGACACCCTGACATGCAGATGTAGAGAACATCTGCAGAAAGGTTCCTCTCCTAAAACACAGCTCAAGTTTTTTTTTTTACAATCAACCAACCAGAGGAGATCATCACGAGTTGAGAACATTTAATCACAGAACAAACTTGATGAGGCAGGAGAAGAAAACCTGAATCTCATGGTCAAACTTTCCTCAGAGGTTCCTGTTTCTCTGCAGCTGAAGTTCTTCTGTTTCCTCTGTTTGTGTGTCAGACTCAAAGCTGGGGGCTGCAGAGGTGTGGACGTCTCGGCAGGCCCTGCAGGACCTGTACCAGAAGATGCTGGTCACGGACCTGGAGTACGCTCTGGACAAGAAGGTGGAACAGGACCTGTAAGCCGCTCCGCCTGCTCCATCACTGTCAGGGAACAAAAGAGGGAGTCCTCTCTTCACTCAGTCCTGATTCTCTTGTTTACAATCTTCCTGCAGGTGGAATCACGCTTTCAAGAACCAGATCACCACTCTGCAGAGTCAGGCCAAGAACAGGGCCAACCCCAACCGCAGCGAGGTCCAGGCCAACCTGTCCCTGTTCCTGGAGGCTGCCAGTGGCTTCTACACCCAGGTGAGAACGAGACGAAGAGTTCAGAAGTTAACGAAGATCTAATCCTCCAAACTACGATAATAATCAATATCTAAATCATCACGCTGACTTCATCTGATGATTGGTCCAAATGTGTCTCTGTCGTCTCGTCTTCAGCTGCTGCAGGAACTCTGCACCGTCTTCAACGTGGACCTGCCGTGTCGCGTCAAGTCGTCGCAGCTCGGCATCATCAGCAATAAACAGAGCAGCAGCAGCGCCATCGTCACGCCGCAGCCCAGCTCCTGCTCCTACATCTGCCAGCACTGCCTCGTTCACCTGGGAGACATCGGTGAGGAGACACACCTGAGAGGAGAGCCTCCTCATGTTCTCACAGAGTCACTCAGACACTCACAGTCCGCTCTTTCTGTGTTTCAGCTCGGTACCGGAACCAGACCAGCCAGGCGGAGTCCTACTACAGACATGCAGCTCAGCTGGTCCCATCCAACGGTGAGAGTGACCTCTGACCTCTGAAGGGGGTTTGAACCGATGTGATCAGAGGAAACGATCAATCCTGAGTTTGGACTTTTTATTTGACTGTGACCTCCGATTTTAACCTTCATCCTGATCGTCTCCTGAAAGGTCGTATCCTCCGATCGTAGCTGATCGTAACCATTCAAGTTAACGTGTCAATTTACACCGACTTCTTTCCGTTCCTCTGCGGATCGCCGGACTCCTCAGCTGATCACAAGAAGCATGGCGGATAAATTCAGCGCAGATGAACCCGTGCTGGAAAGGCTGAAACATCTGAATGATCGCTGTTGTCCTCTGAATGTAAAACCGTTTTTCTCCAGCAGTCATGTTGAGGAGTTTGTTAAAGCGGTTTACCTGTCCAGCAGAAAGGTTACAGGGTCACCAAGATCCCCAAGCGTCCCCCATCGTTTATGTTGACCCGGCTTTTTAGCTCTTGTCCGGTCTACCTCCGTTTTAAGCGCCCGTTATTCCTCCAGAGTCTCCGGTATTTACTTTGTTTTCTCGCTTGTGTCGGCAGTCGTGGCCAAAGGAGGATTCAGACAATTTTCCGAACTTTCTGGTTGGTTTCTACTGTCCGATATTGTAGCACGCTAACTTTGTTTGGGCTCCTGAACGACACGGGGGAGCAGCGTCTGCCTCACAACCAATCAGGTTAGAGGAGGTGGAGAACGGCTTTGTTTACAGTCAGAAAGAGCGGACCGCTCAAAAATGTTCAAATGTTGACGACACAGACAGAAGAGAACACAGAGATATCGATATATTACCAAATAATCAATAACTAATAACTATTGACTGATATTAGAAGGTTTTTTGCTTCTTTAAGGGGTTCCTGTCTCCTCCACCTTTAAACCTCCATGTTTGTCCTGCAGGTCAGCCCTACAACCAGTTGGCCATCCTGGCCTCCTCTAAAGGAGACCACCTCACCACCATCTTCTACTACTGCCGCAGCATCGCCGTCAAGTTCCCGTTCCCAGCAGCCTCCACCAACCTGCAGAAGGCCCTGTCCAAGGCCCTGGAGAGGTGAGAACCAGGACTACAGTGAACCACATCCTCCTCCTCATCTACTGCTGCTGAGTTTAGATCAGAGCAGAGTGAAGATGTTTGAAGGTCGAAGTATTTTCAGGAAACATCAGCTGAGACTCAGAGAGACTTTAGAGACGGACTGGACCTTTGAGTCCTTCTTTAGACCCGTTTGTCCCCCTCAGTCTGACCCTCCTGTCCTCCCTCTGTGTCTCTGCAGTCGTGACGAGGTGAAAACCAAGTGGAGCGTGTCGGATTTCATCCGAGCCTTCATCAAGTTTCACGGTCACGTCTACCTGAGTAAGAGTCTGGACAAACTGGACGCCCTGAGGGAGAGGCTGGAGGAGCAGTTTCAGGTAAAACTCTGAGACCCGGTTTAGATCTCAGACCTTCATCCTGACCCTGTAAACGGGTTTTTAAAGTATCCTGACCCTGTTTTTTGGTCCTGCAGAGGCTGATCCTGCAGAAAGCCTTCAGCTCTCAGCAGCTGGTCCACATCACCGTCATCAACCTGTTTGAGCTCCATCACCTCAGAGACCTGACGGCGGACGGCGGCGGCGAGCAGAGCTACAGCAGCGAGCAGCAGATCAGCTGGTTCCAGCTGCTCGGACTCTTCAGTAAGAACCGGTCCCACTACAGAACCGAGAGCGGCTCTGAAGACCCCCCTCTAATCATCACTCTTTGACTTCCTGTCCCCTCAGTGTCCTTCCTGGGCGTCATGTGCAGCCGCGCTCTGCTCAACAGGAGCCGGGGGGAGGAGATCATGGGGGAGTGTCCTCTGCCCGCCATCAAAGTCTCTCTGGATTGGCTCAAGCTGAGGCCCAGCGTCTTCCACGAGTCCGCCGTGGATCAGAGGCAGCAGTAAGTCCTCTGATGGTGTCTGTACTGTGTGGTTACCGTGGTAACAGGTGTGTAACTCCGCCCTCTCTGTACCTGTGCCTCAGTATCTGGCCCTGGCTGGTCTCCATCCTCAACAGTTTCCAGCCCAAAGAGGACGACCTGTCCTGTTCCTCAGGTAGGACTCGCCCGGTTCAGTTATTCAGTTATTGATCCATCAGAATTACAGGTGACTCATTTCCTGTTACCCACCAAAATAAAAGCCTCTCTGTCTGCTGTGAATCATGTGACCGCACAGACGGCGTTTTTTTCAGATCCTTTAAACTGGAGGTGTGTTTGTTTTCTCCACAGTGACGCCCCTGCCTGAGGAGTTTGAGCTGCAGGGTTTCCTGGCGCTGCGACCCGCTCTCAGGTACCCAATCAGTGAGCGAATAAACCAAACAGACAGGCCGTCAAGACGTGGTCATGATCGGGGGTGTCGACTAACTGTTCGGCTCACCTGCTGAATATCTGCCGGACAAATAATAACAGTCCTTTTTATGTTAAATATACGTGTGTTTAGGTACTTTTCATCGAGGTAACAGGATCATATTACAGTTTATAATTAGAAAAGAGACCAAAATATTTTCAAAATAAACTCTAATCTGATTAATCCAATATTCTAACCTGAAATCATCACAATACAACAAAGACTGATGTTGTGTGTTCAGAGTGGAGCTCGGCCTCAAAGATCAAACCAACTAAACAACTTTAGCAACTTTAGCAACTTTAGCAACTTTAGCCCTCCTACAGTGTTCACACGCTGAGGTCACATGATGTAAAATGTCACGATTAGCTCAGGCTGATAACTAGTGGTGCAACGAATCATCATTGATCCGTGATCCGTTCGGATCGACGTATTCGGTTCGGCACACATGTGATCCGCGGATCGATTTCTGAAAGCGGAGAAAGGAGGAGCTCGAACGCCCCGCGACACTTAAATCCCCTGTATGGGAGCATTTTGGCCTCCCTGTCAATTATGATGAAGAAGGAAAGAGGTCAGTGTACAAAACTGCGACGGAGTGTAGGCACTGTGGCATAAGAAAGCCATATGACAGTGGAAACACATCGAGCATGTTCACGCATTTGAAGCGACATCACCCGGGTGTTTTACTGACAGGTGTTGTGCCGTAGATTGCACCCCTGCCGTAGAACGCACCCCCTGCATCCCCTCCACCCGTTAGCTTCTTAAAGTGGAGATAATGATCTCATATTTGATATGAATAGCCTGAATGAAATTATTAAAGGCAAACGCTGTTGAATCCATCCAACGTAAGGAAAACTTGTATTATTTCGCCTTGTTATGTACTTTCAACCGCGCTCCCGTTAGGGGGTGCACTATACGGCAGGGGTGCATTCTTTGGCATAACACCTGAGATAAAACGAAAGCTGCCCAACAACCGCTCATCACCGCAGCATTTAAGCAGCCTCTTCCTGCGCAATCCGACCAGGCTAAAGCTTTCACAAACTCTATCGGTGTGTTTATAGCTGCAGACATGAGGCCGTATTCAGTTGTGCAAAACGAGGGCTTTAAAAACATGCTGAAAGTGCTTGAGCCACGTTACGACATCCCATCGCGCACACACTTCATTTTTTTTTCATTGTTACATTTTAAAGGAAGGAGATATGCCTGTATATTGTACTTTAAGTTGTTTTTCATTAATAATTATGTTAAAAAGAAGATATTATGCCCTGTGCACTACTTTTAATCAGCTGAATCTTCAAAGACGTTCATACAGAGTGAGACTAACGAGGCTGCAGTCGGTGTTTCTGACGTCTCCATGTCTCACGTCTGTCTGTGTCTCAGGTCCCTGGACTTCTCCAAAGGTCATCAGGGGATCCTGGTGGACAGAGACGGT